TCTCATATTAAACCTGAAAAAACTGAATTAAGATACAGCAATTTATCGCAGTTTTTTTGTAATTATTCGCCAGAAGTAAGTACTTAGGCACATATAATAGTATATTAGATTAATTTAACTACTAATATTTTACTCCTGAGATACTAGTCTTATAAGAACGAGGTTTTAAAGCTAAAGCCCACCACGTCGCTGTACTGCGGAATGATGGTGGGTTTCAACGAGTAAGTACTAATAAATTAGTGTTTATAACCAACCAATTGATCTCTCAATTGATTTTAATTTAAATTTTTTTAGTACCTTTCAAATATAAAAACCACTATTTGTCCGAACTTGGATTCCAATACTATGCCTAGTGATATTTTGATTGTATTTATTATTTATTATCGGATAGTTTACACTGGCGCCATCTGTTAGGAGAAATACGGTATCAATTGTTATTAGTTTACAATTACCCAAAACGAAGTTATTTACGCCAAATCTCATTTCTATAACTCATATTAATTAGTGTTTTCCTCCGGATTACCATTTTATGAAATTGTTTGCGGAGTGTTATCTTGGGGTTTGGGGCACTTAAGAACTTTAAAAGAATATCACAACAGTAAAACTTTATACTGGCAATAATACATACAGAATTAGTATATAGTAGTAAACTGTAATATTATATTGATGTTTCTAAAATAATTAAATAATAACATTTGTAGATTAGGTTTGCCTTGAAACCCTAATGTCGATGTAAGATTTTTGATAAGTTGTTTAAATAAAATTTTTAGTTTTAGCGCTAAGCATAAATATAGCCACTTCTTGGAACGTCTGTAGGTCGAATGCTTAGCTAAATTCTTGAAGCCAGAGGTCAGAACGACCCCATGGTTGCGTCAGATTAGAGTTCTAAGAGTTGACAACCGAATTATTCTTCATGGTCAGTTTGTTGTACAAGGCAAACGTGAATCTATGGTTTCCTAGTATATTTAACTGAATGATATGTGTAACAGTGTTGTATAATTTAAATAAAACACGGCAGCTGCAAAGCATCCGAAACGCTGGGCCGTGGTTAAAACAATTTTTAATTAAGTTTAATAAATTTACGCGGAATATATTAGATATTGCGCGTAAAGTGCGTGTAAAAATATTAAGCCGTTAAAGTGTTTTATTTCATCGTGTAATACTCGCGCAAACTACAGACAGTTTTAAAGTTGTATAACTTAATCAAATAATGATGTTTAAATTTTTATTAAAACATTACGCAGGTTTTTTATAATCCATTTAATGAATATAATTTCATATAATAATTTATTAGAAAAACAAAACCACAAAATTATGTAATGCACATTTAAATGAAACACTTTTAAGGTTTTAAACGTGAAATATATTAGTTAACTTATTTTTAATTTAATTAATATATTTTATTAATTTAATTTTTACTATGACCCGACATTTCGGATACTTACAGCAGCCCAGGAGACGCGGGGACTGAAGATGGAGCCTGGAGAGGCCCTAATATGAACGTCAAAACTGCTACGCTAGCGCCATCTATTGAGTCGTGGTGGTATTTAAAAAAAACTGACTGTTACCGGAAGGCTGTTTTAGGGATAAAGTGTTTTAAACAGTTAGAAATTTAATTCACAAAAAAATAACTTAAATGTACTTATAGCAAATAACTGACCTGTAAGAAGAGATAAACAAAAAAACGTTTTCTAAGAATAAATAAAGCATTTTACACCATACTTTCCAGAAGGGATTTTTGATTAGATTTTTTAACAATATTTAATTGTAAACTTAATGTATTGATTCTATGCTTAAACGTATTAACCAGCACGTGGTACAGTGGACTGATGAATTCATGTAAACAATTGAAACGGACTAGAAGTATAAATAAGTCCTGTCCTTTTATAAATTGACAATGGTTTTAAACGCGAAAAGCATTTATTAATTTATTCACAATTCATTTTAACTACGGCCCGACGTTTCGGATGTTTTTTTCTAAGCCCAGCAGATTTCACTACTATTTTTACATTTCGCGTTACCGTAGTTAAACCGTGATAGGTAGAATACCGCAGTCATATAACATCTGAACAAGATGCGTTGTGTTCTTATTTTGGCTTTGGATATTCGGAAATCCACAGACTGAAACCGAAACGCGATCTCAAACTTGACGGCTTTTTCATCTGTGGACTCGTGGTTCGCGACTCGGAATTTCGATATTCCTACCCTCCATTTAATATCCAGATGTTCCAGAAAAATTATAAATATCTTAGAAAAAGGTATGCCCGGTGGAGATTAAAACGCCCCGTTGATTATTCGTCATACATTGCTTCCGTTCCAACAAGACCGTCAAATATGTGACTCGCGTAAACTATAATACTAAAATTGACAATGGCCGAAACTAAAAACTATAACATCTACTTCAATAGCTGCATATAAAACTCGTGCTTCTAGAATCGAAGCAACAGCGGATTCTTTTTAGAAAATAACACACGACGTCGCGGTCCCTCCTAAACTACGGATAGCCGTTAATATTTCGTGGATAAAGGCGATTCTCGCGCGACGCCCGCGCCGCAGTTCCGCGAAAAAAAGTTAAAAGAAGCAAAAATGAATCGGGGATCGGCAAAACAACGATGTTGTTATGGATACGGCCGCATGCGACTGCAGTCGTAGGAATGGCGACCGAACTTAGTATTTATCGAGTTGAAATAATTGGCTCTGAAAGGATTCGTATGGTTTTAAAGGGGAACGAATTGAGCCCTCGCTATGCACGATTTTCGATGAATAGGCTGAGTATTAATTTAGTGGTTTGCGTTGAAAAACGACACGGACGGGACTAGAATCCCAGATCAATCGTAGAGCCGCTAGGTAATCGTGGTAACGAGTCTTATCTGAATCATTGATTTTTCATCTAAGTATTATATTGTACTCTTAAGTCTAGAATTAGTTAATAGTAAATACTTTTAAGTTTAAATAAAGTTAAATTATTAAAAAGTTTTTAATTGATGATTTGGAGGAACCGTGTCACCCCGTGACCACGGCTGCTGCAAAGCCTCGAAATTTTTCGTTTTTTAAACTTTAATTATTCATATTTAAATGTGTATTATTGACAGTATTTAGAAAATATAAGATACGATGGAGGAACAATATACGATCAAATATAGTATGGTTTACATAAAATACAAATATCTCTGCACTATTATATTATAATGAAAAGATAAATCAATTTCTAAAAAAACAAATAAGTCAAATAGGTACTATTTTTATTCTTGTAACTAGTTTTTTAAAGCTTTTTAAATCTCAATAAAACTTCATTTCGTTTTTATCATCTATTATTATTATTATCTACTTCTACTAATTTATTAAGGTAAAGAGTTTGAAGGCGCTAATCTCAGGAACTACTACTGGTGGGAGTTTAAAAATTATTTTAGTGTTGGTTAGAGCATTTATCGAGGAAGGCTATAGTTTATAAAACATCGCGATGCGACATATAGCAGCGAAAAAAACGCGGGAAATGTGAAAATAAACTGAGAAAATTACTCATCCTTGTGGGTTTCCGTTGCGTACGCTACGAAAACGGTTTCCTATACCCAAAAAATATGTATGGACATTTTTTAAGATCATAAAAAGTGTAATCATTTTTTCTATTTTATACCAGATATTTTTTGGGCATCATCCGTTTTCGCAGCGCAGGCAAGGGTAACTTTCAAATGAATAATTTTCCCCGTTTGTTAGATATCTCCCATTGTATCTTCGCTTTTATTGGTCGCAGCATAATGTTTTGTAGCCTTCCTCAATAAATTATCTAACCAACCCAAAAATATTTTTCCAATTCGAATCAGCAGTTTCTAAGATTATGTTAAAACAAACTCTTCAGCAATAGAATATTAGTATAGATATTCATTTTTTTCTTCAATAATATAATTTTAAATATTTTGTCTATAGCATGTTTAATAATCGTAAGACATCTGAAACAGAAACGTTTACCTATCGCTAAGTAAATGTCATAGAGACTTGAAAAGTGAGAACCCTTTCGGAAAGTCGGTTAGCGCCCAATTGCTTTGGGTGAAGCGTTTGCAACGAAATTAGATAACGGCACAAGGTGTATTGATTAAGAATTTATATCGGAATAGACGCCGTTCACGACAAAGGGGGTTAAAATGAGATTTTTAGAAAGTGCATTGTGCCTCCGATGTCCGATAACGAACGGGAAATTGTTTACAAACGCAGTTTTGTTATTCACATGATCTAGAATGTGAGTGCTACGAACACAGTTTACTATACCACAATATGCCTTATCTTTACCGCGGCGCTTTGCCAAAATATCGAGTATAAGTCCGTATTTTGAGTTGTTTTCTAATCCTGTCCTAAGTTCTGTCTAGTAGGGATGGCTAAAATATTTTTTTTTTGCTAAAACAATAATTTAGGATCAAATAAAGATACACAATCAAGTGAACTTTCGTTTAATCCCGTTATTATTTAAAAAACATACAGTTTTAAACACTTTTCTTTTTGTTATTTATTATTCATAAAAATAACGTCAAGGGCGTAATTAAAACTAAGAATAAAATTAAAAATAAATAAATAATCTTTACTAATTCGCTTCCTAATTAATGAGTCTAACATTATTTCTATAATAATATTTGTATTAACGACAATTATTACATTAAAAAATAATGTTAAACTAGACTAAAAGTGTTAATTGAGGGACAAGCGAATTAGCATACATAGATTCTAATATAAAGAGAAGAAGTCCGTTTTTCTATAACATACCTACAATTCTTGCTAACATTACAATATTATTAATTAATAGTGATCAAACAATTACAAGAGAATGATTTTTATATACAGATTATATTAATGGAATCGTCATATAACATGTAGTGTATTTGACATTAACAAATGTCACTGTCAAACATCGCTGTCAAGTATAAGTATTTTTTATATATAGAACGAAAAATCTCTGAGGTTTATTCGCAGACAGTGTTTTGCAATATTTATTAATTTATCAAATAACAACCATGCTATCCAGCCTAAGGTCTGGAGTTCAGAGTTTGGTAGGTTGGATTCGGTCACTGGCTTTTATTCTAAGCGTGTTGGATATAAACATTACATAATATTAATGTCACTTTAGAATTGTGGAAACCTTATTTGTGCCTTGTTTTTTAGTGGAGAGTGTCTTCTAGAGCCTTACAGACCTCCTCGACTCTTCAGCATGACAGCCTTTTTGTACACAGAGACACCCCTGAAGATAATCCAAACACCCCATTCGAATTTACGCCAGAGAATAAACAGGTGATTTTGACATTATTATTTGAATCTAGAAGAATTACGTCTTTGACATCGCTGTACTTATATTTAACAAGTGCTTAAGCTACATCCACGAAAATGATTAAGAGATCAATATGTTGTTCTTATTGTCTTGTATATTAACTTGTTTTCGGCTATAATTTTCAGCGTATCGATGCACTCCTCGCTATATACCCAGACGGTCACAAACGTGGTGCAATGATCCCACTATTGGATTTAGCTCAGCGTCAAAATGGTGGATGGCTACCTATATCTGCTATGCACAAGGTAGCAGAATTATTAAACCTTCCAAAGATGCGAGTTTATGAAGTGGCCACATTTTATACTATGTTTATCAGGTAGAGCTTTTATAATTAGTAAATTCTAGGTTTTAAGAAATAGAAGTGAATCTATTGTTAAAGAACATATTCTTGTCTTCTATATTTTGAGAATATAACCTTACAATGATATTCAATAATAATTAATTTCTTTATTTGGCATTGATATAGCACAATACTAGGAAAGAAAAAATGTTATTACCATAAAGTAATTAACTTTTAAAGATTACATTTAATTTGAAGAAAAGTGATGCCCAAAGGTCTTGCATATTAAGTTGTAGCACAACACTGATTTTCAGCAAAACTCTACTGTTTGTCTGTTAGACAGCACTCATAAAACCACTTGATTTTTTAGGTGATAAGCCTACCTGGCTGAAGCAAGATTTCTGTTTTTTCAGGAAAAAACTGAGCTGTGGCAGTCTGACACTATTGTTTCTGCTTATTATAACATATTCCTATTGCAATAAATCATTTTAGCAACCCTAACTAAAGTATTTTAGATAACGTTTGATATTCTGACTATGTTGTAACAATAGATAATTAAATAAATTTCAGACGACCTATTGGCAAATACCATGTACAAGTCTGTACTACTACTCCATGTTGGTTAAGAGGATCGGACACTGTACTGCAAGCCATCAAAGAAGCAACTGGCTGTGAAGTTGGAGGCAACAGCCCTTGCGGTAAATTCTCTATTTCTGAGGTAAGTGATTTGGAATTCGTAAAATGGATCTTTCCTGTGATTGCACTGTTAAAAAAAAATTAAATTAAATCAAAATAAGTTGATTTAATCAACTACATACCTATGCTATTTATTGTAAAATACATGTAAGATTTTTAAGTTTAAAAACAAGTTATAGTTCCCAATTAGTTATTATTCAATCAATTGCAGGTTGAGTGTTTAGGAGCTTGTGTAAACGCACCAATGATTCAAGTCAATGATGATTACTATGTAAGTACTGTCTTTACAATACATTAAATAGTTAAACATTTCTTATTAATATCAGGATTTAAAAAAGTAGGTCCTAAAGATATCCTAATTAGATATTATTGCACTGGGGTATTCCATCTTATATCAAGTAAAAACTGTTCTTATCTGTCTTCTATGTGAAAAAAAAACAATTTTTTTTTTATTTGACTGGTTTAAAACGCAAAATATATTAGTTAAGCTATTCTGCATGATGCGACAATTTCGATGCTTTGAAGCACAGCACAACTTATAAATTAACTGTTAGAACACATTTTCTCTTAGAGCTAGATAATAATTTGATAAAAGATTTAATTTATCTATTACAGGAAGATCTCTCCATAGAAGACACTAAGGAAATAATAGAGAAATTAAAACGAGATGAGAAACCAAAACCTGGACCAAGGTATATTATTTATATTTTCTTAATTAAAAGTGATTTCAAAGTAATGTTACAGAGGTACAAATTACATCAATAATCGTTGACTTTTTTCATTCATTATATTCATTCATCAAGTCATTATAAAAATAGTAATGTAATAGTAACTCACTTATTCATGTAGTTGAAGTATATTTATAGACGTTAAGACTTTAAAATCAAAATTATTTTATTTTTTGTGGTAGGGTTTATATATTTTTTTAATTATTTATATTTTTCAGAAGTGGCAGATTTGCATCTGAGCCTTTGGGAGGCCTTACCTCGTTAACGGAGGAGCCTACTGGGCCCGGTTTTGGATTACAGGATGCGTTGAAAGCGTGAAGATTCAACCGAATGTGTATATTAAATTAATAAATCATGTTGTTAGTGCTTGTTAGTTTTATTATGTATGGACAAAGTTATGTTTATTTCTTTTTCATTAAATGTATGTATTAAAATTTAATTGTATGTACGAAACTTTTTACAGTAAGTACATTTTACTATTCCGTACACCTAACCACGTAAGTATTTTTCTATTTCTTTTCTCCTGTATTTCAGGTGGCCTGGAAGAGATCGCTGTTTAGCGATAAACTGCCTTTTATTTATATTATTTTTTGTGAAATAAATAATAAAGCAATAATAATTTAAAAAAATAATCATAGAAAATGCCTTCATTTGGAAGTTAAAGTATAGTACCACATGATGGGAAATTAATTTGCCAATGCCATGATGCCAAATGAATATTTAGTCGACGTAAAGGCATCTATCAATTGGTGAATAAACAAGACGAATTTATTATCCTTTTAAGTGGTCGTGCCAGTCATTTGAAGGCCATTTACAATATTATACGCCTGATAAAAAATGTCCCAATCAAGTCAGTCAACGTAATGAATAAAGTGATGAATAGCGTTATCATAGTCGCGATAAGAAAAATTGTGAAAAAATATAGGCAACCTAATATTGACAACGGTGCATTGTATATATTATTTCGCGAATCATTGCTGAATTTATTTAAAGCTAGTGTTTTAGGGAAAATTGTGAATTAAAGTGTTATTTGTGCGTGATAGATTCGCAAGTTTTACATTTAAACCTAACCTATCAAGTTTTGAGATGTTGAATCTGAAGACTAAGACGTTTCTCATGTAAGTGTTTAAATAATACTAAGACTTACAGTTTTTTTATTTCTTAAATATATACATTTTTAGTTTTTAATTATTTTTACTTGTAAAAGATATTCCTAACGTACTATAGAGTATTTTTATATTATAAGGAATAAACGTTCTAAGTAATTATACAAAACCACTATTATTTTTAAGTTGCATCTAGATAATAATAATTTTAACGATAGGATATGCTTTATGGCTCTTTAATATTTTTTAACACGATCATTAACAAATAGTTAATGCGTTTATTATTAATGACATTAAAAGGTATCATTCCGTCAAAAAGAACAGTATCCATGCTAAAGCCATGCCAATTAAAAAAACTAATAAATGTCAATCTGTTGAAGTGACAATGACGTATTACATGTCAATTTCAGTTTGTGTCAGTTGTTTTGTGAACGTCGTTGTACTGTGTTGTGCGTTTTCCGCGTGAAAATGTTTTTAGTGGCTTAAAGCTTTTCAACACCGTGAAAAATGAAAAACAGCCCCACTCGTAAATATGACAATTTCTCTGACCACCGGGGGAAAGACAGCGATAAATTCTCCCTAGATAGCCAGGATACGGCAAGTGTGGTGAGCATTTATACTTGTTGAAATTATTGATTTTGTTTATATACGGTTGAAATTATTGATTGGCCGTATTAGTCCTTTAGGGAAATTATGGAAATATCACTAGTTATAATGAAAGTTCCGATCAGTGGTGTGGCCTGTAGCGATTTCTAGAAATACGGTCCTAGCGACCCAATTTTTTTGTTAAATTCTAGATACAAACTAGATGTCCTACACGTAGTACTTGAAAGAAACGTCGCTCGGTTAGTGCATAAGATGCGCGTATTATTATCCATAATTATTATGACTGCACTTTCTCTATTCGTCTATTACTTGCGCTGAAGACTAAAAGTGATATGTTACTTTCCAATTCTATTTAAAACAAAGTTCTGAATTTACTTTTTTTATTACACAAAATTATAATTGTGTTGTGGTTCGGTCTCCTTAACAACATCTAATAAAACTATGATTAATATGTTACTGTTATGATATTAAATGCATGCAATTTATAGGAGGACAATTTATTTTTTTATGAATTTAACTGATAAATGAAAAATGATTATAGTAGATGTTAATGTTTCTATGTCATGAAATTGAAATCCGAGGTATATGGACACATATTTATAGTAAACTTAATCCTACAATAATTGAATAAAGTAATTTGGTACATTACATAAAAAAAATATATTAACAATTAGGTATATGTTGTTCGATCAACTCCCGGCAATGTCTTTTATGCAAAACCTGTAGATCTATCTCTAAGATCAGACACTACTGCTTTAAACATTTTTTTCCCGATTGCATTTGTATTTTTAATGTTAAATGTTAGTCATTTAAGGTAATGAAATTTAAATTTAAAGTTAATTTTAGCTTAAAACTAACATTATATATTTTTCATTATGGTTATCAAGCAAATAAAAAAAAAACAAAAGGAATGGACAACGTAGTTTATGTTGTACAATAGTATGAAACCTTCTAGTTTCAGGTTAAATTGAAAGAAGCCACTGAAAACATAATGTCAAATGAGCCTTACATTTAAATGGAAAATCTGCTTATTTTAATCCACAGGCTTTGCCCAGTATTAGTAAATGTAGTGTATTATTATTATTCTCTATCGGGGATACTTGTAGTAGGTTGGGTGATCAGTCCACGTTATCGGCCGACTATTTCACTCATTTCTCCATTTCCTCTCTTGTTGGGTTTTGGGTGACTAAGTCTCCCCGCGCCCTTCGATGGATGCTTGGAATTTTATTTTTCTTTTTCTTTTGTTTTCTGTACCAATGTCTTGTCTCTAGAAGCAGGATTCAGTGAGTAGATGGATGCTTGTTTTCCCCCCTTTTCTCCCCCCCCCGCATAGGACCTATTCCTACCATTGTAAGATGTCTATTTAGGTAGCAATGTCCTGTTATGATTTCTACGATGAGTCAGATATTTGCTCTTGTTAGTCTCATAAGGTTTATGGTCTTCTTTTTATGTAGGCTATGTATAACCATTTTTGACTGTCTCATGCCAGTCAAAGAGATCCATCTTTGGTTTGTTTCTTCTATCATTCTGCGCTCGATTATTTTCCCTTGGTTGCTTTATGGGCTATCGGAAGACTCGGTTCCGGCCCTAACAAGCATTCATCGGCTCCTTCGCGAGCGAGTTGATCCGCTCTGTTATTGAAATGTAGTGTATATGCCTTGTATTTCATTGTTACTTATAATAATGGGAATTAAAAATGAAACACCCCTTTGCAATTATTACAAACTAAAATATAAGCTATGGCTCTTGGTGAATGGTGAATTGCCCAGCCCAATAACAATAACTTACGATGCGCTGGCAATCTATTTTGGTCATAGACATTGGAAAATGCGCAGATTAAAACTTTGCTAGTTATAGGCTTAGCTTTTCTGCTTGAGGAAAGAATAAGAGGTACCACTATAAATTAATTTATTATTTTACTTTATTTTGTGGCCAATACTACAAAAAATTATTTGTTATTAATTATTTGTTAATGATTTTTTTTACGAATTTACTTACGTAGTTATGAAAATAGTATGTAAGCAGAAATTTTCTATCTACTTAAATAAAATGTTGAACTTTAATTTTAATTTGCAGCATTTATCCTTGAATTATAATTAAATATTATTTTAATATTTACAGTTATCACAATTTAACTACATTTAAATAATAATTGTCAGTCTTACACTAATCAATTGAGATATATGAAGAAAATGGTTGTGTCATCACCTTGCTTTTGCTTTAAGCTTCAAATCCTAGTTACATACTTAGGACTTAATCTCAGTCATAGCTGCCTTATATTAAGATAATATACGTAATGTAATTAAAAAAATTTCCCCTTTTTCTATATTATATCATTACAAGTTCTTATTTTATTTTATTTATATGTTTGAGTACACTCTAAAGCTTCAATACGCTAATCAAGTACTAGTCTATAACAATCACGGTGATTAAATGAATATTGATTTTCAAGTTTACTTTATGTTTGTATGTGTTAATAACGATACAGATCTATAATATCCATTATCTGCAATACGACAATTGTTTAAAAATTATACGCGTGCTAGTGCGTGACTGTTGAAAGTGATTCATAATTCCATTGTAATATTTAAATTTGCTTACTACAATGTTTGTTTACTTTTCTTCACTGACAGCGAGCAGAGGCCGCGGTGGGGAAGGAAGTTAGGTCTTCCGCGTGTCTTGCTCATTGGTTATCGTATGCACTTTTCGTTACACCTAGTTTCCAAATCTTGGAAAAATATAAATCATGATTTTCAATAAGCAGGAAGATAAAAATGCGCAATTAGCTTAGACGAAAATGAGTTTTTGTAAGAATTATGTTAAGGATTTTCGGCTAATGTGCTCGCAGTTAGGCTACATATTGTCTTATTCTAATCTGTAATTAATTCAAATCTGTAAATATATTTTGCCTTAACGCACTTTATTTGGCGCACAAGACCAAAGTCCCCGTGGTTCATGTAATACGCGGCATGTCTGATTTGGAATGCTTGGGGAACATGATATAGTTACAAAAGAAGATATTAAATCGTTCACTTCAAAGGCAGCAAACCCATGACTCATGCCTATCGCAGGTGTTATGGGGATTTTCCAATTACTATATATACACACTAATATTTTCTTATGATAGGAGGACAGACAAGCGAAGGGTTCACTCGATGCAAGTGAACTGAAATACTCCAGCCGTATAACATCGGAATAAAATACGCGGTCGATCTATGTTGACTTTGGATATCCGAAAAAACCACAGACTAAATCCGAAACGTTAAACTTCATGGCTTTTTCATCTGACGGTGGTTTGTCAACTAAGCGGAATTTCAATATTCCCACCATCCATTTAATATCCAGACGGAGTCCAACAAGTTCCAGAAAAAATATAAATTAATTAGAAACATATTGGATCCGGTGGGGATCGAACCCACGGCCCGTTGGTTATTAACTAAATATACGTTGCTACTAAATACTGTCTATAGTTTACGCGAGTAGTACACATTTAAATAAAACACTTTAACGGTTTAAAACGCGATATATTAGTTAAACTTATTTGAAAATGATTTTTAACTTCGGCCCGATGTTTCGAATGCTTTGCAGCAGCCGTGGTCACGGGGAGAAATCATTTTTAAAGTAGTTTAACTAATACATATATCGCGTTTTAAACCGTTAAAGTTTTTTATTTAAATATATACGTTGCTACTATTAGATCAATGTGGCTGTTATAATATATATACCTACCATAAATAAAACCGATTTTAGATAAAAAAGTTTTCGATACCCGGAATCCATAGCGTTCTGTGGTGTTGCTCTAACCAATTGAGGTATCTATTGACAGAGTAGCTCAATTGGTTAAAGCAAACAATCGTAGTTTTTTTTTCATTCGGTTATGGCCAATATCTTATCGCCGTGAGCGACACGGTTCTAAATATAACACCTCTTTTGTGCCGGAAACAATAACTAATAAGGACAACGTAATGATTAGTTATTTTCAACAGTGCACCTCCTTTAGCTTATCAAATTGTTAATTAATTAGGTTTATTTAAGAACAATTAAATGAATAAATGTTTTTTTTTGTAATACATAAGAGGACTAATGTCTAAGGTATCTTTTATCTGTTAAATGTAAATGCTTCCAGTAATAATCTTGTTTTAAAACAGTTATTATTATAACAACAATCTATACTAATATTATAAAGCTAATTATGTTAGTCGCCACCGGTGGTTGCAAAAAAACTCATTTACTTAATAATTAATTGAATAAATATTACATTTAATAAATCCTACTTGTCTCCCTATGCACGATGCATCAGTTCGACGCTTACAATTATATTCCTACATTTAATTAAATCTAGGTGTCTCCCTGTGCACGATGCATCAGGTGGACTTTTACAATAATTCTAATTAATATCTTATGCTAAAATGGGTACGGCAACAGTAGCGTCATATACCGATCGCACGGGTATCGAATACGCGCACTATCAGCAGTTTCCCCGTAGTGGCACAGCTTAGGGCTGTCGCCTAATAGAGTGCAGCTTAGGGCCGGCACATAACAAGCTGAAGAGTTTGTTTGTTTGAACGCACCAATCTCAAGAACTGGTCGAAAAATTATTTTTGCGTTTGATAGACCATTTATCGAGGACGGTTCAAGATATTCAAAAAATATTTTCGAATAAATGATCTTTAGATGATCCGCGACAATAAGTCTATCTAATAAGATTAACTTTTAAGAACGACGGGGCCGATGTCGTGGGTTATATATGTTTTTTATAATTTAGAAGTGTTTCTGTGTCTCTGTAGTTATACGTTCGCATTGCGTTAACTGCAATAGGACCTAGGTTGAAATCACGGGGAAACAATCGATTTTTTTAGGCAGGACACAGAAGTCTGATCAACTACTTGCGAAACAGATCAGTGAAACGGACACAGAAATATGTTTGCCAAATGACCCATAGGGGAAAATGGGATTTCACACAGAACTGAGAGAATCGGCTGTCCAATAACTATTTTTTTTAAGATTAAAAGAGGACAGACATGGCATGGTGTTTACTGTATATTAGGTGAAAAAAACCTATATCATCTAAACAGGAAGCCTGTCGAAACGCTGATTAAACTTGATTAAGCTTACTACGGCTTATTCATCTGTGGACGGTGGTTCGTGACCCGGACGGAATTTCTATATTCCTACCACTCATTTAATATCCAGATTTCCAGAAGTCCAGCATTCTCAGATTTAAATTGAAAAATTAGAGAACCTATGATCATTACCGTACTTTGCTACCATTAGAACGAGCCGGTCATACATTATTTAATACTTTTTTTACTACTCATACATAAATCGTATAATTGAGTATAGCAAAGTCGATATGAAAAGTACATATTACGTGCTAATAAAATTACAACTCGATCACTGCTACTATAATTGGATGTATAAATATAGGTAGGTACTTTTGACATATATTTTTACCATACAAGGCCGAACATAAACTAGATTAAACAAATGTTCCGCGCGTGAAGTTCTGACCTGAACTAGATAATATGCCTTCTAATAATGAGCACACACTTCAAAGCTCATTCAAGATAGGTGACTTGAGACCATTTCGCCTGAGAAATGGGACCGACCTAAATGTGAAGGGTTGCTTCCATGTGTGACGTAACGTCTTGCATTCGTATCTTACACAGTTTTAACTTTTGTTGATAGTAATACGAAAAATAAATACTGTCTGTAACTCCTGAAAAAATTATAACATAAAATATTTTTCGAAAGTGTAATCAATCTAATTTGATGGTCACGAACGTGCATACTGTAGCCTTTTATATTGTCTGTAGTTTACGCCAGTAGCAAACATTTAAATGAAACCCTTTTACGGTTTAAAACGCGACATGTATTAGTTAAACTTGTTCACAAATTATTTTTAATGCAGTAGCCGGTTACGCGAAGACCCCTATCGTTAAGGGTTTTATTTAATTACGAAAAATACTTAATCGTGTTTAAATATTTAATTTGTATGATTTCTAAAGCTATTCTCTCATTTACACTGACTTATTTTTTTATTAAAGACAGGCGGCAATTGAACATACAACTGTGTACAGTACAGTGTGTACACATTGTTGTGCAAACTAAATGTCAAAAATAAACAGAGATAGAATTTTTTAAATATTTATTTTTAATGTTTCATATTTTATATTAGTATAATAGTACTACTATACTAATATAATATATAAGTAGCTGACCTGGCAAACGTTCTTTGTCATATGAAGTACATATTTCTACTATGTTTGATTACCTACCATAAAAACGGATCTTGCGAGCATTCTTAAAAGATTTTAAGAAGACAGATTATATCACGGACATTTGTTCAAAACAATTAAAGAAGAATAAATTTTCATACATATTTTTTGGGATCTTAAACCGTCTTCACAGCACACGCAACGGTAACGCTCAAAGATGAATATTATTCCCCCTTTTTTCACATTTTCCACTGTTTCATCGCTTTATTACCTCGATAAATGGTCCAACCAACATAAAACGAATCTTTCAGTTCGAACCGTTAGTTCCGAAGATTAACGCGTTTTAACAAACAAAAAATCAAACCTTCATAATAACAGTTGTTAAGTCCAATTTATTTTAGAAATAGCAATGTTGACAGTAATAAAACAATCAGTCCTAATATAAAAAAGGCATTAATTGTGAAAAATTATGCTAGTAGTTAAAAACGTCACATTTTTTTATTATACAGAGGGAAGGATCCTGTAATTTAAACCCTGCCATGTTTTAGCATACCAATCCGGAGGAAAGTGGGGGGAGGCGCAGCTTGACTGACGTCGGCGTGGGGGCTGGAGACATGTGGATCAGCGCTGTAGAGAGCTCCATTCTCAGCTGGGAGGAGGTAATACAATAACGCTGTTAAAAGTGTCAATTTCTTTGAAACGAACCTGCTGGACCTAGAATCGAATGCACGACCGATATATAATCGTCGGTGCGATGGTGGACTCGTAGTATTTCAAGTACCTCATAGCCATCAATATTATACTAGTAAGTTTTTTAAAACTCACCAATAGAATAGCTAGAATACACCGCGAATAAACGTTACTCAAACTAAATCCTTATGTGATGTCAAAACGCGGGTCATTGATCTTCAGATCACAGATGTTCAGTTATGTGGCGGTGCATTTTCTAAATTCTTTATATTTTAATCAAATAGGTTTATGGTAATTCATCTTACTGTATAAAAAAATGTAGTGAACTCTTAAAGCAAAACACATTTTTATCTTATGACGGGGTGACTTGATGGTAGGGGAAACACTCCTGCTATATGACAGTTACTCAGATGCGCGGTCGACCTATTTTGGCTTTGGTTATTCTACAATTTGAACTCCACAATGTTATTCAAAAAGACCAACAAGGCTGTCATTGCATTCGATTCCACAAAGCTCCAAGTCATATCCCGGGAGTAGAACATTAGATGATTAGGCACAGAGAGATTACTCAAACTTAGAATCAATCTAATGTATATGTCTGTGAAAAATCCCATCTCACCCCTAGGGGGACGGGGGCCCAACACATTTATGTCTTTGTTCCACTGATCGTTTTTTTACACGTTGAATTAATCAGACTTTTGTGTTCTGCCAGACCAAAACACTCTATTGTTTCCCCGGGACTCACACCCAGGACTCCTGGCTTAATACAATGCTAGGCATATGCTATATCTTTAACTACTTATATTTAAGAACAATCAATCAAATCATTAAATCAGGAATCAAATTCACGACCATACAGAAGTAGATTAGAGCCTTAATGGAATCATCTCTTTGTTTTAGGTGGCTGATCGCCTGCAAGTGGACGTAAGACGTGGGCTGACATGGCGCGAGGCGAACGATCGAATGAACTTTGTTGGTCCCAACGAGTTCCAGGTGAAAGAGCAAGACCCGCTCTGGAAGAAGTATATAGAACAGTTCCAGAACCCGCTGATACTTCTACTTCTAGGTATGTCTTAGTTAAGAGAGAGATCTTTTTAGACCATGGACGTTTATGCACATTTATATTGCCTACTGTTTATTGAGATATGTCAACATTTTTACGAGCGAGATGTTTAGAAAAGAGAGAGAAAGATTCTTCACCACTAGACCAAAACTAACGTTAGACCCGATGGGGATTGAGTACAGGTCCCGATAATTAACTATACATTGCAACTATTAGTCCACGACCCCGTCACGGTATGGTTGGTACGAATATATAAATTCTGTCTGGGCCATCAACTTATGCTACAGATGGTAAAGTCCATTCGTGATTCAGTTTTAGTCTGTGCATATTAACTAGATGATTGCAATCTGTTTAGTAATAAAAACATCATGGTATTTAATATATTAAAGTCTGTAGTTTACGCGAGCAGTACGTCATTTATATAAAATACTTTAACAATTTAAACCGATATATTTTAATTAAACTTCTTTATTTTTTTCCCCCCCTTTTTTTTACACGAGCGTGGTCACGGGGAGACTAAAGATGGAGGATGTCTCCGACGTATTAATATATTTCTTATTAATTACTCAGTTAACGTATTCAAGTATACTATGTATGTATTTTTTGACCGATCACAGTTAGAATTGGACCTGTTCGTCTTTAAAAATATTTCAAGTGTATTATATTATACACTATCTAACGCTACGTGTCAGTTCTAAATAAATATTACTATCCACGAACAATTAGTGCTATAAAAAACATCTTATCAAACGCAACGTGTTATCAAATCACTGATTAAACTTTTAAGATTGTCATCACCGTTCTAAATACATTCGGCTAACGCCAGACATTCACTCAAATAACGCATCGCCCTTTCCTTCTGGTATTTTCGGATGCTGTTCACCTGAAAACTTGTGACGTGGCCAGTTCGTTTCGTATTACACAGGTCAGAAGTACTTCAGAGGCAATTAAATTTTTGACTGGTCGATATTACTTATTAACTAGCTGTTGCCCAGGACGTTGTTCGCGTTCGTTATAACTGTCGCGGACAATGTTTGAGATCATTTGAAGAGGAATTATTGCATATGTATTTTTGGTTTCCTGAACCGTTTTTGCAGCGCACGCGACGAAATATTTTTTCCCGATTTTTGTTACACTTTTCTTTGTTCCGCTTTTTGCTTGCAGCCTGATTATTTATTAGATAGTTTATTAGAATATAAACACAAAAATAATTTGTCGATTCGAATCAGTATTTAATGAGATTAGCGTTTTCAAACAAACCAATCCTTTATAATATTAGTATAGTGATGTACAATCGTATTATCTGTATTTGGAAAAAGGGGTAACAGGGGCGTAAGTTGCTTAAGAGGGGCGCAATATAAATGAGAGAAACCTTATCTTATTACTATAAAGTTTCCAGAAATCTCATATTACTTACAGTGAAATTGAGAAAAAGATTTCTATTTTTGCACGTCTAATGTAACATAAAATTCACTTGATCTTATAGATATTGCGGTCATTCTTCGTAACAGACTAAAGTACGGTTTGAGTTTATAATTGGATGATTATTGATTCCCACAGCTGGGACACGCCGATTAAATGCGCCTCCACAGATTTCGTCAAAAATACATGTTTGGAAAAATTACGACTAACCTAGATGGTAGGAATTTCGAAGTTTCTTCCAGGGCACGAAGCACAGTCCGAAGGTAAAAAAGCCGTGAATTGATGAATCGTGTTTCGGTGTCAGTCTGAGGATTTCCAAATGTCCAAGACATATAGATCGACAGCTCATTTTGATTAGGTTTTATATGGCTGAGGTGTTTCACCGTGCTTATCTATTTTTCTACGTTATAAAATTATTCTAATTTTCTTATCACTCGTAAATAAAACTTTAAATTGGTATGTATCTTTTTTTTATCATCAATTATAATGATTTGCACAACACAAAAAGTAAGGATCGTCATTGTTTTGATGATAAATGTTTTCGATTATTCGGTTTATATCGTCTTAAGATTGTTTGATTGATTTAATATTGTAAAGACAGCGTTCTCTGTCATGACTATCTCTCAACTTTGATCCCTAAAGCTGTATCCGTATAGAATCTAAAATATTAATTACCCATATACAAATTATCATTATTCATTTTTGATGATTTCCGTTGCAGCAAAAATGGTTCAAGATACCCAAAAACTATGTAAGAATTATTCCTCTTCAAATAACCGAAAATAAGTCCGCGACAGTACATGCCTCTATTTTCTAAAAATTATTTGCGAGAACGACGGGACGCAACCGAGCGACGTCGTGGGTGACATCTATAATCTATAAAGACGAGAAGGAGATTTTCAACAACGGATTTTTATGCCCACGTAGAATTGTCTACGTGGACGAAGTCGCTAGCACAGCTAGTTAATAAGATAACGTAATGATACATACGTGCTTTAACAACTTCATTAAAATCGGTCAAGCCGTTTCGGAGCTTTATGGTATATAACATAATGACACGATACTTTTATTATTATACATTAGAATAGACATGGTCAAGTGTTATTTATACTTCTTTAAAAATAGTATCTAAACGCACAAATTAATTTCAATTACAGTGAAGATAAGTCACGTTCAATACATTAGGAAAAAATTACTTAAACGTGTAATACCGCCGACATTTATAATAGATATTATTATTTATAACCTTTATTATACGTCCTCAGTATTGAAGATAATTGTGTTGTTAATTTTACAGCCACTGGGTCAATTCTACTGTAGTTTCTTTAAATCGTAGTTTTACTCGTTAATTCTGATGCCACAATGAAATGGCCGTGGTCCCATTCTCTGGAAAATGCCATTGAAAGCTTTTATTGAGATTATTAATATTGAAATAATAATATAACCTTTATTTAAAGTAAACTCACAGAAAAGCGAACTTTTAACAGATTAAATGTATTAGTTAACTTATTTACAATTTATGTTAACTGCTTCCTGACGTTTCGGTTGCTCTGCATTAGACATGGTTATAGGTAACTAATTCCGAGTTTTAGACGGTTAAAAGTGGTTTTTGAAGAGCAAACTTTCTTCCTACTTGTAAAAACCACATTGATTGTCTACCTTATGTCCCATATAGGGAAAGCGGGATATAATACACGAGTTATGAATGTTCAAAATGGCGGATTGTCAGGTTACGGCTTATTAAACTTACTGATTGTTCGTAATTAGAAAATCAAGGTCATGTCTAGCGTGTGGAATTATCTTACAGCACTTACATTTGAGTGGCGAATTTGTGATAATATAAAAATGTTACCAACTTGCGTCATAGAAATAATTGTGGTATATAATCCTAATAAAATAATTACGGCATATAAAGTATGTAATAAAACTGCCAACTTCTTTACATTGCCCAGTAATCCTATAGAACTATACACATATACATATATTTCACTGTTTTTATGACAGATAAGGATAGACTGAGTGATTGACCTACCAGCGAAATAACATCTAAACAACATGCGTAGACCTATTTTGACTTTGGAATTTCGGAACTTCACAGACTGAAACTTCATACCATTTATTATCCATATTTGGAGATGAAGTCTTATGAGATATGTTTCTGAAGTTTTAAATTGATTACAAACGTGTTGGACCCGGTGGGGATCGAACCGACCCGTTGATTATTAGTAGTAGAGATGGGCCGAGTACTCCGTTGATACTCGGTACTCCGCGTACGCAGGCAGGTTTTTTGATACACGTACTCGGCCGAATAACTCGGTTATACTTTGTTATTTGATAACGAGTATACTTTGTTTAAGAAAGGCAATATATTTAGGTAGATATAATTTAAGCAACATAGTTAATTCAAAAGTATTTATAAGTAAAGAAGGAAAACTTTGAAAATCTCAATTAACGAAATACAAAATTACGAGAAGATGAGAGCAAGCCGACGTCTCGACCGGTGCGAACCAGTTGAGTTACTTTACCTAGTACTCGGTTGAAAAACAATTGTACCGAGTAAGACCAGAGACTCGGTACTCGCGTTTCTAAATATTAGCCATACATTGCTACCATTAGTGATTAGACCAACGAGCCCGCCATTGTAAAGAATAACCGGGCACTATGTACAGAACACATAACATGTGTCACTTGCACGTTCTAGTTTATGTATTATTTAGGTATTCTGTAGAATACCGAATTCAATAGATTGCCTGTTACATATTAAATTTGTTACTCACTACTTGCTCTATAGAAAGATCTAGAGAACACGTTCTAGTATTAGCGTGGCGAATTGATTTGCTGGGTTTGTTTAATTAAACAAAACACTTACCTATACATATTTAGTATACGTTGAAACTTGCTTAAAATTACAAACGATGACCAATTGTAGTTTATACGCTGCGATTTATTGGAATTACTGGTACGATGAAAACTGTAAATTCCAGGTCCCATTATATTACTTAAATACTTTTTAACGGTTTAAAACGCGAATATTAGTTAAACTGATTCACAGCTTACGAACCTATTTGTGTAGATTATGGTACATGTAATTTCTTCTTGTGGTGCATGGGACGAACACATTTTCTGCGGTTCGAATCTAAGACTCCGGACTGAGAAAACGCGTTTTACCATTGAGCTACGTTAATTTACATTTTAAGTTACAAAAATTTATAAATAGACGTGAATGTTTTATCTTTATTCTTATATTAGTTCATTGAAATCTAAACTCAATTAAGATATATAATACGTATTTTGAAAACCTAAATAATTTACGCGTGATGGCATAATATAGTATAGCACATCCGTCAAACGTTAAACTTTGTAATTTCATCTACAATAATTTTCTTAAGCTTAGAATGCGAACCATTGAACCCTAATAATCATACATTAAAATTGAAATTGCATTATGAAAAAGATACAATTTGTATATATATATATATGTTGAATATATTCGACAATACGTGTAGGTAAGGATCTGAATTGGTTAGACAACAGGGAACATTGTGGATGCTGGTTCAAATCATGCCGGGTCAATTTTTTTATAAACTTTTTAGATAAAAAAAATTAGAAAAAGAATAATATATAAATTATTTTTTTAGGTTCAGCAGTCGTAAGCATCTGCATGAAGCAATTCGACGACGCTGTGTCTATTACGGTGGCGATCATGATCGTGGTGACGGTGGCTTTCGTTCAGGAGTACCGCTCTGAAAAATCCCTAGAGGAGCTCAACAAGCTGGTACCCCCTAGCTGTAACTGGTATGTGGTTCACTGTGGTATTCTTTAATTCTTCCCAGTGAAAAAGTTTCCAGTAGGAAAGTTCTCTTAATTCTATCTTGAAACAAAAAAATGGTTCTTTTATGTACCATACCTTTATTCTGAAAACAAAGTCGAAAAAAGGCTAGATGAAAAAAAACAAACACACTTTTGTGTATAGTACCTACGGATTGATTAAGAGAAAATTGCAACATTTAAGACACTTTTAATGCACTTTATTAGCGTGTTTTAAACCGATAAAATGGTTTTACTTAACATTTCAGACGTGTAAATAAAAAATTAGTATAATACTTCAAATAAAACACTTAATGGTGTAAAACGAAAACGAAATATAAGTTAATATGATATACAATTCATTTTGACTACGGTCCGACAATTCGGATGCTTTGCAGCAGCTCTGGTCACGTGGGGCAGAAGATAGAGGGATCTTATCTGTTTTACCTGTACAACTTTGTTGTATCTAAGATTCAAAATTACGTCAGCGACCTTTTTCGTTGGAGTTGGTATTTTGGATATTTTGCTTTTAAACCTTTAAAATGTGTCTAATTTGAATGTGTACTACTCGCGTAAACTACAGTATGTACCATAACAATGTCATTATTACTAATGTGTGTTCATTTTTAAATTTCAGTCTTCGTGAGGGTAGTTTGGAGCACTTCTTAGCTCGCAACCTCGTACCAGGCGACATTGTACATCTCAATGTTGGCGATAGAGTGCCGGCTGATCTTCGGCTGTACGAATCCACCGATTTGGCTATAGACGAGTCGTCGTTTACCGGCGAAACCGAGCCGGCAGTGAAAAGCGTCCTTCCGAATAAAGCATCAGCTGGGAGAGTGAACAAGGATAATATTGCGTTCTTGGGTACTCTCGTTAGGTGTGGAAATGCGAAGGTAAGCTGTTCCTAGAGTGTTTATTAAGAATAACGACAAGGGCAGGTCTTGAATCGTCATCCACAGCGTTCCGTGTCGTTGCTCTTACCACTTGAGCTACGTCATCGGAAATTTCAACCTATTGATACAATTAATAAAGTTATATAAATAAGGTATTGGGGTATAAAATATATTGACTCACTTTATTTTCCACTTCACACACAAAATATGTACTCGTAAACTATATACAGAAAGAGACAAAGCAGGTTGGACTGATATAAACAGCTTTATCGCGGAAAACCGAAAAGAAAAGTTCTCAAAATAAGAAGGAACACATGGAACAACTATATAATAATTATACATTATAGGTATTTCTTGATTTATTTGGTTATAAAAAAACAAAAAGCGACACCAAAATAATAAGATACATAGTAAGAGATGAGAAGTTTTAGCCATATAAATGGATACTAGATGTGCGCACAATGTCTTCTGCTTGGAGCTTTATACATTATAGCTTTTACCCATGACATCGTCCCGCGTTCGATCAGTAGTTCCTGAGATAAGCACGTTCACACAAACTCTTCAGCTTTATAATATTATTTAATTGTCAAAATTTATCAATCTTTATAAATGTCAGGGTATCGTGGTCAGTACGGGTGAACGGTCTGAATTCGGTGACATATTCCGTATGATGCAAGCCGAGGAGGCACCGAAGACACCGTTGCAGCGCTCGATGGATACTCTCGGAGCTCAGCTCTCGCTGTACAGTTTTTGTATTATCGGCTTCATCATGGTGGCTGGCTGGCTGCAAGGGAAGGCCCTTCAGGAGATGTTTACAATTGGAGTCAGTTTGGCTGTCGCTGCTATACCCGAAGGTATGTCGGGCTAACTTGGTGATTTGCATTGTCTGTAGCTTACGAGAATAGTGCACATTTAAATAACACACTTATAACGGCTTAAAACGCGAAATATATATAATATTAAACAGCCAAAAGCGTTTTATTTAAATGTTGATTGTGATTTGTATTACTTAAAGGAGATCCTAAGGTTTCAACCTCAAGAAATCAGTCATATGCGGAGGAGGATGGTAACCAACCTTTAGTTAATTAAGATAATTAACGAATAAGGGTTATCTGGAAGAGATTATTTAATTGCGAAAAGGCCGTCCGTACCACTCCATAGTTTATTTGCCTTGGTTCGTTTGAATAAATAGTTAAATAAAGCAACTTCTTTGTTGGCATGAATCTAACAAAGAAGTTTCTTTTTTTAAGCTATCGGACGTCTTTCCTTAGAAAGACGTCCTAGCTAGAGCATAAGGCGCCCACACATCCTCCATAATATAACGTGTATACTTACTATATAGGAATTGATAAAATTTCTTCGGAGTAGTATTTAATAGAATTTATATTTTCGCAGGTCTCCCCATAGTAGTAACAGTGACTCTGGCTCTAGGCGTGATGCGAATGGCTAAGCGTAACGCCATTGTCAAGAAACTACCCACCGTGGAGACGCTAGGCTGTGTTAATGTTATCTGTAGCGATAAAACTGGTGAGTCCTTAGATATTGACTACACTCAAACGCGTTGAAATGCATAGGTTTTTAAATCTTAATTCGTAAGTGTTAAGGTTAAAATTACATTGACTTAGAGATCTATAAAAAAATTATTCAATAAATTCGTTAACAACGATGGGACGCTGTAGCTCAATTGTTAAGAGCAGACAGACAATAATGCCAATACCATTTAACTTCTTAACAAGCTCTCCTATTTTGGCGTTGGATATTCGGAAATAAATAAAAAATAATTCCTATACCGCATAGTTATGTACAAACAAAACTATATATTTTTGCTTACATTGAAGTTAAGTAAGTTTCCTTTTTTTACAGGTACACTAACGAAGAATGAAATGACTGTGACGACTCTATCGACATCTGGTGGGCATATCGCAGAAGTAACGGGCTCCGGTTACAATGCGAAAGGTGATATTCAACTGCGCGCCTATAAGGGTCGCGATTTGGATATTGCCAGGATGGGTGTCAATAGCATGCTGGAAGTAAGTGTATTCAAAAATATATAATATTTATTCTTATATTATTTAGAAAAAATAAACATCACGGGTGGATCTAGAATCGGCATCTACAGCGATTCGTGCTGTTGCTATAACCTATTGAGCTGCCATGTCTCACACGTCATCATTACAATTTTTAAGCCATTGATATATGTAACTCCTGCGCAATCTAATTTTAACCTGAACACTTACGTATTGATGATGTTAAGGGTCCTATGTTTTGCACCTTAAGAAAGTCATTGAAGAAGATTTGTGGATGCCGCTTCAAGTCCCGTGCTTATATCAAAATCTTTTAAATTAAAAAAAACTCACTTTTGTCATTTTTATTTATATAAACTTAAAAATGTAAATAAAAAAGTCTTTGAAACTGGTGAGGCTCGAAGCCATGACTACAACGTTAAGTACTGTTGATGTCTACGTAAAATGGATTTTAATATACCCATGAAGAAGTCAAGAATTAAATACTGTCTATAGTTTACGCGAGTAGTACACATTTAAATAAAACACTTTAACGGTTTAAAACGCGATATATTAGTTAAACTTATTTGAAAATGATTTTTAACTTCGGCCCGACGTTTCGGATGCTTTGCAGCAGCCGTGGTCACGGGGAGACTCTAACTAATATATCGCGTTTTAAACCGTTAAAGTGTTTTATTTAAAAGTCAAGAATTATTTTTCTCGTAAAAGCGGTTGAAAGTTATAAGAGCTTTCAGTACTTGTTCTTAGACTTAGATGTAGATTACATTTCTTAACACTACTCCTTCTATCAGGTCGGCATCCTTTGCAACAACGCCCACATCCGAGATGAGACGTTGTTCGGTCAACCAACAGAGGGCGCCCTGCTGGCTTGCGCTATGAAGAACAATATGGATGATCTCCGCGAAAATTATACGAGGTTGAACGAAATACCATATAGGTACGATCTTTCTTTTGTGGTATAATGGATTTACATGACAAAAAGACACAGAAAAGGTAGAGTCGTTTTCTCTAACAGTATGATTCATAAACGCTATGAAAAAGTCTATTTAGCTATTTGCGATGAAAAGAACGATTTCGAATAACCATTTAGACTATACCAAGTGTAAAACACGCAACATCAATTTCACTTGTTTAAAAACTTAACCGTTTAAAACCGAAATACACAGTAAACACACGTTAAAGTTATTCATTCAAATATTTACTATTTGCATAAACTTCATCCAATACTTAATATTAAATTATGTCAGTTTTCACAACATTATAAATAATAAGAAAATTGATTAATAGGCGTCTAATGAATTAACTGTTACATATATTTGAGGCTGCTAGATACAGACTGGCCTGATAAAAAAAAGATTATTTTTAATAAATAACTCAGGTGAAAACGAATTTGTACTATTATTTGTGTAAGAATTATGTATGTATGTATATATTAAGGAAACACAAACATGTGCCTTCATGTTTAAAACAGCTCGGAGACCAAGATGATGGTGGTGAAATGTGCGCCCAAATTCAGCGACGGCAAGCATAAAGAAGAAGTGTTCGTCAAAGGTGCTATAGAGAAGGTTCTACCCTTGTGCACCCAATACATCGACAGCGCTGGAAACTACGCGCCGATGAGTAGGGAGAAACAGGCGGACTTCCTAAATGAGGCGTATAATATCGCTCGAATGGGTAAGTTAATCCCCACTCGGGACACGCTTTTTTTGGGCATCGTACATAATAATAATAATAAGTGTGACCTTTTTAAAGTCAGTGTTCATAAGACGTTCTCTATGCCCTATGAAAATAAAATTAACAATTTGAAGCGAATTGTACCTTAATTTTAAAAAGCAATAAAATTATCAGATTATTGAAGTCTATACTTCTATACTAATATATAAAGCTGAAGAGTTTGTTTGTTTGAACGCGCTTATCTTAGGAATTACTGCATTACTGTAAAGGAAATGTAAAAAAATGGCTAAATATATTCATCGTTGATGGTATCCATTTTGGCGCTGCAAAAACAGTTGAAGATACTAAAAAAATATACGAAAGAATTATTCTTCTTTAAATGATCTTAAAAAATGTGCAACGTTATATGTCCATATGTATATCTTTTAAAATTAACTTGCAAGAACGATGGGACGCGACCAACGTTGTGGGTAACAGGTCTTATTTATAAAAATGTCGTGGAGGTTTGACAAAACAAATTTTCGAAGTCGCTAGCACAGCTAAAATATATTAAATTATTAACTAACTTTATAGGTCTACGTATAATTGCGTTGTGCCGCGGCAACAGCCTCGAGTCTCTAACGTATACGGGCGTCTGCGGCGTATGCGATCCTCCAAGGGAGTCCGCACGCACCGCCATCGCAGCGCTGAAGCGCGCTCAGGTCCAAGTTAAAATGGTGACAGGCGACGCCAGACCCACTGCGCTTGCTGTTGGTAAGTACAATTTAACTGCCATAGAGGGTTTGATAACTTCAATCGTGTGCGGGTAGGTGGGAATTTACGACCACCGCCACTAAGGCAATGACGAACCGGGACCGTAATTTGGTCTCCGATGCACAGAGGTGCTGCTATCTCTTATTTCCAAAGTCCGAGCAAATACTACTAACTAGAGTTTTGTTGGAAATACTTTAGTTTTAGTAGTGGATTGGAGTTTCTATAACTGACATTTGAAATATAAACTTTTTGAAGGCATTCTCTGTTTCTCGGTATCTCTCTTATGGAAATAATGTCAACTTTTTTGTCTTTGAATAAAACGGGTTTAAGGATGATAACGCTAAATGTATTAAATAACTTATTTTTTCCGACGTGGTAACGGGGGGACTCAAATCGGGTACGCTAGCGCCAAACTAACACATTTCGAAATTTAAACAGTTAAAATTGTTTTATTCAAATGTGTAGTACTCACGTAAACTACAGACAATATTTTATTTCTGTTTTAGGTCAAATGGTCGGCCTAGATGTGCTTCATTCACAATCGTTATCTGGTGAACAACTTGACTCCATGTCAGATGATGAGCTGGATGGAATTATTGATACCGTAAGTTTTACTCAGTGTTTGTATCACCAACCATTAACAGTTGTTAGAGTCCTACATTACTATTTTGGTTTACACGTAGGCTGTTTACGATGTTTTCCACTCTAATAGGTGTCAACTAAAATATATTTTGACACGACTGGGAATCGAACTGTCGAACGACAATTTGTTTAAGTAATAAGACCAACATCTCTATTGTTATCTGTAAAACACTGAAAATATGTTAAATACTGTTTATAGTTTACGCGAGTAGTACACATTTAATTAAAACACTTTAACGGTTTAAAACACGATATATTAGTTAAACTTATTAGAAAATGATTTTTAACTTCGGCCCGACGTTTCGAATGCTTTGCAGCAGCCGTGGTCACGGCGAGACCATTTTCAAATAAGTTTAACAAATATATTGCGTTTTAAACCGTTAGATTGTTTTATTTAAACTGAAAATATGCTTTTTACAGGTAAGCGTGTTTTACCGAGTGACGCCGAAGCATAAATTGTGCATTGTCAAATCACTGCAAAGACTAGGAAACATCGTAGGAATGACAGGTAATTGACATAAACTCATGATCTACGTTATAACATATTAATTAATATTTTTTAAGATTTAAAATTGAGAAAGAACATTTGTGCGGTCAAAAATGCAAAAATAATTTTTTTTTCCGAAAAAAATCTCAACCTCAAATGTTTCCATATTGTCTCAATTTCACTCTTTGTCCTCATTTATCGCTAAGAGATATAATAACAATTTATTAGTCAACGTAAGATATACATTTTTAAGCTTAAAAAATTCGTATTTTTTGTTTTGAAAAATCTATCTATCTATCTCAATCTATTTTCTAAGGCGACGGCGTGAATGACGGTGTGGCCCTGAAACGCGCGGATATCGGTATAGCGATGGGCCGTAACGGGACAGATGTGTGCAAAGAGGCGGCCGATATGATCCTCGTTGATGACGATTTCGCTACCATCATGTTAGTTACAATGCTTTATTTTATATATGTATAGCTTTTTAGGAAGTGATATTTTGAGGTTATTTTAATTTATTAAAGTAAAACAAGGAAGGACATATGAATAATTGATGTATATTTCATCGCATTATCACTTATATTAATGTCTATAAATAAAATAAAATCGATTTAAAACACGAGATATGTCAGTACGTTGACGTATATACAATATATTTTAATACGGGCTGACGTTTTGGACGGTTTGCAGCGGCCATGGTCTCGGGAGTACATGGTTTTTGATTTCATTTACATGTCATATAAATCATTGCTCTGTTTTCAGTTCAGCAATCGAAGAAGGAAAGTGTATATTCTACAACATCCGCAATTTCGTGCGGTTTCAGCTGTCGACGTCGATAGCGGCGTTGTCGCTTATCGCGCTCGCTACTCTCATGGGCATACCTAATCCACTCAACGCGATGCAGATATTGTGGATTAATATTATTATGGATGGTATGGATTTTTTACAGTAGATACGGTTTTATAGCATTTCGGAAAATTTATACGTTTCTCAAGCAAAAGGCAACTGTTTCCTTGTCTGTAGAACTTAGGAATTCTAGATTATTGTACTAATTTAAACTATAAGTAAGAAATGTTTGTAATTATTTCTCGTGGCTCAGGGTGCAAAAATATTATTTTTTTAGGCATAGCGAACCTTATTTAGTATACTCAATGTAAACTCTCTCTAAAATAATTTATGAAGCTATTTTCTTTCTATTTTACATTTCTTCATCCTAGGCCCACCAGCTCAGTCGCTGGGCGTGGAACCGGTCGACCATGAGGTGTTACGGCGCAAACCTCGAGACACTTCGCGGCGTATCATCTCGCGTGGTGTGTTGCTATCTGTCGTGCTATCCGCTGCTATTATCATAGCTGGGACTCTTTGGGTCTTTAATAGAGAGGTGAGTTGATCAATTATATGAAAATCCAAGCCTTATCTTGTACAGACTTTGACTGGGAATATGGCGTAAACACATTTAAGCAAGGTATTATTACACTATTGTAAGTGTAATTAATAAGTTAAGATTGTAAAGTTATATATATATAATGAAAAAATATAGTAAAAATAATATATATACTACTTTAACGGTTTAAAACGCGAAATACAAGAAAAATAAATTTAAAATATATAAAGTTATTAACTACGACCCGACGTTTCTCAAAATAAGCTTAACTAATATATTTCGCGTTTTAAACGCGTGTTAAAGTTTTTTATTTAAATGTGTACTACTCGCGTAAACTACAGACATCATGTAAATTCGATGATGACATGTGGGAGATAGCTCGTTTGGTCGACGCCCCAGTGGAGGTGGTTTCGAGTCCCGCTTGAGTCAACGTACGTACATACATAGTCGCGTCTACAGGGGATACACTATACCCACATGTCAATATCGCATTTATGAATCCATTTATATGTCTTATGCATTATGATTCGTGCAAGTATTTATGTCTACCATAACTATATTATAATTCTGTATAGTAATTTAACATATCATTCTTATTTCAGATGTCTGACAACAAGATAACTCCACGCGATACCACCATGACATTCACATGTTTTGTGCTGTTCGACATGTTTAATGCCCTCTCGTGTCGCTCGCAGACAAAATCCATATTTGAAGTGGGACTTTTCTCAAACAAGTAATATATTATAGCTCTAGTATTAGGCAAGGTCTCCATACCTTTAGGTATTTGATATTATATTCGTTTCAGGATGTTCCTGATAGCGGTGTCCTTAAGTTTAGTGGGGCAGATGCTAGTTATCTACTTTCCGCCCCTACAAAGGGTCTTCCAAACTGAAGCTCTTACTGGAAATGGTAATTTTGTTTGAGTTTTAATCAATTTTATTAATTAAAATCGCAATTTATTGCCATTAATATTCACAGTCAAGACGCGTATGACATAATATGAAACCAGCCAATGGTTCCTTAAATTGCTATATTTTGTTTTCAGATCTCATATTCCTAGTCTGCTTGACGTCTAGCGTGTTAATTGTGAGCGAAGCTAAAAAGCTGATCGAACGCACCCTCAAGAAGCGCTCGTTCCCAAAGTTTTCGACGAAGGCCCGCGATGCTATGGATTTTGTATGACAGGAGCCGGTGAAAACGGAGTAGGCGTGTCTGACAACTGTCAGAACGAGGCTCGTGACAGTGACAGCTGCCGGTCTGACGTGGCTCGCGATGATCAGGTCGATCATCGTCAGTCCGCTAGCTGTCATCGTAGTGGGGCCTTTGTTGTGTTAGATCTGCAGGACAGTACTGAGGAACCAAGGCGTAGTAAGAAATTTAAATTGTGCAAACATTTTCCATTCCAATCGCGACGTTATGAGCCCATGGACGATTCGTGTATAAGTGATACGCGCTATTCTAAGAAAGGAAAGATCGTGTCTAGGTCGTGTCAGACTGATCCGTTGCCAGATGACATTCTGTGGACGTTTGATGAGTGTGATATGACCGAGCAGATTCCAATATTCATAAGGCGGAAATCCACCAAACGCGATAAACAACGAAAAGAAAGAGCTCTAATAACACAATCTGAAGTGTCTCAAAGTGGATCCAGTGAGAATAACACAGTGGTTTTGGAACCGCCGGGTGGTTCAAACGTATCTCATGACAAACATTATAATGAAACCAGTTTAAATGCATGTCAAGCCATCCCTAGTGAACGTGTAATTGATGTCGAACTTCCTTCGACGTCTCACGGTAGCTGCCAAACCCCGTTTGTGACCAAACGCCTGCAAGACGTAGAGTATGGTACTTGTCAGATTTCGTCTGACAACTGTCAAACGGTGCTGTTTGATAAATCGAAAGGTAGAATAGAAAAGGGTAATTTTGACAGTGACAGTTCTTCGAATGTGGACCAAGGGCCTTTCGCTATTTACGATGGCAAAATAGATATTCCTACGCGCTTTTGACTTAATAGATTAATTTAATTTTTACTTTCCCGTTGATTTTGAAGGTGTATTTTTTATCCATAAAACATACCTTTAAGATACTGGAAACTTATTAAAGACAACAGTATGTTCTATATTTTCAGAACTTTGAATCATAATTTATTTTTCTGCAAGATTTTGAGACAAGTTAACGAACGTTAAATAGGTATTATTTCATATTATAGAGGATGCTGTCAGACTTATCACATTACTTTAAATAGAATGCGGCTCGATAGTTTCTCGACATATCTGCAAAGTTTCATCAAAAACGGCTGAGAATAATATGATAAGCACCTGTATATTGTTAGGTAAATGATGGAAGTTTTACATAATTATAAATAGAAAATAAATTAGACATCTCTTAAGAAGTTGAAGACTATTTAATCCTACACAGGAGACCAATCATAATGTATGTCGCATGTTCGAGAGTGAGTCAAAGAAGCTTTGTCTAAATGTTGTCAAGCCAAGCCCTAGATTTTGTTAGCCATGTGACGTATCCTTTGACTGGCCTCTAAGGCAAATATTTCTTCTATATAAGTAAATGGCATTTCAACCGTACTGCAATCTTCTTTGTCTATGTCTACTGCAGTTTAAGTGGAATTAGTGTTATTGTATAGTGTAAGGATGTTGTACGCTTATTTGGATATTAGTTTTATTTTTTAATTTTGGTGGCTAGTGAATTAATGCACTCTCTAGACCGAGGTTGTGGAGATGGGAGTATTATAATATCTTAAATATAACACTTAATATATAAATAATTCTATATATATACAATATTAAGAATATTTAGTTTTTTTTTCAGTCAATCGTATTATTTTATTCTCTCACTTCATTGTAGGCCTACCGGTGTTATAATATTTATTAATTATTATCAATCAATATTATCAGTTTATCGTTAAGTTAATAAGTTGATCCAGTGATGGAACTTGAATGGTCGTGAGTTTGATTCGCTACAGGTCTACTTTCTGGGTTTCTAAACGTGAATATTGTCTGTAGTTTCCGTAAGTAGTACATTTGAATAACACACTCAAACGGTTTAAAACGCGATTTATAAAATAGTTAAACTAAATTTAACTAATGTACATGGCGTTTTAAATCGTTTTTTTTTTAAATTAGCTTTGTTTAAATTTTTTAAACGCGTTAGATCGTTTGGAGAATCTTTCCATTATATGGGCTTTAACTTCAGTCTGTGGATTGTCTATATCCAGGAGCAGAATATTTCGACAGTGCAGCGCTGATGTTTCCCTGGGACAAAAGAACCTCATGGTTGTCTGTCGGTCTCTGTAATGAAAAAAAGTTCTAGGCATTTAAATAATAAATGATTAACATTTTGTGTAAGATATTGTGCGTCGTTAAGTTTTATCCGTGTGACAGAATCTACTATATATCAATATGTTTCACGTCCTATATAGTTTAGAGGTGGTTGTCAGTATTTTTGTGCCCTAAATGGTGGGATGTGGTTCTGAAAATTATGCATATAAGTACCAGTAACAATTTTGAAATTGCTTCAGCCCGTATTATTTATTTTGTAAATATTTTTTTTACATTCTGAACAATTGTAAATTATACCGACATAAAGAGATATGTGTAACAAATATTTTAATTTTATTTATTTTTTCCTTTTTTGCTTGAGAGTTGAGTATATAAATAATAAATTCTGAATTCACGAGATATATATATATATTCATACATATTTTTGCAGCGTACGCCTCGCAAACCCTGAAATGATGAAGAATTTTCCCAAAATTTTTCACATTTCTCGCTGTTTCTTCGCTTGTAACCCAGGGCGATGTTTTATAGCCTCTAGCCTTCCTCGATAAATGCTCTCACCAACACAAAAGTAATTTTTCAATTCGAACTCGTAGTTTCTGAGATTAGCGCGTTCAAACTCTTCAGCTTTATATATTAGTATAGATTAAGGCCTATTGAGCTTTTATACGTAGATCAATGTTGGGTATATGTATGGCTACCTGTTCCGTAGAACTTACGTTACTTGTTAGAAGCTAATAATTGTAACGCCTCAACGTATATAGTTTCGTAAGGTGTTAACAAAAAGAAGTGTCTACATTATCCAGTCGCATACTTATCTTCTCTATAGAGGAAGAAAAGTTAGTAAATAATTTCGTGTATCGTTGTGTTTTTGTTTTCAACGTCAGTTGTAGATACTAATGTACTTGGTTTAAAAAAAAATGTAACTTTAATTTTCTTAATTTTGAGGTATATCTCGCAGATAGTTACATAAACAAAATCTTATCGCAAGGATTTGTTGAAACCTCAGTGGTTACTTAAATATTGTCTGTAGTTTCCGCGAGCAGTAAACATTTAAATAAAACACTTACGGTTTAAAATATACCGACTAGTTAACTTATCATAACTACGGCCCGACGTTTCAGATGTCGCTATCTAAGTAAAACTAGCAAAGCTACTGCGGGCCTTAGTGAAACTTAATTAAAAATAAGTTAACTAATGTGTTTCGGGTTTTGAACCGTTAAAACTGTTTTATTTAAAACCACCCATTCGTTTCGCCGTATCGCTAGATGTTTTCACAATATATAGCTAGCCTAAATATATCACGATAATACATAAGATTGTATCATGGTTGTTAGAGTTGCGGTAAAACCGTTATGTATTTACCTTTATACAAATATGTATCAACTATTTTAAAATATCAAATAGCTTTAACATTAACTTGGCTCTAACTCCTTTCTATTAGCTTGTATTGAAAATTTTAAATTAAAAAAATACGTTGTTTTTCTTATACTGAAGTAATAGGTTGTCTGAACAGTGCCCTATTTGGAAATTGTATAAAATTTTCGAGGCCATTTCGCAAATTTATGAACATATTATGTACCTACATTTATTTATATATAAGGCATGAAAAATAGGTAACTCTATTCGTTAAGACGAAGTCATAAGGCCTATAGGGGAAATTAGTTACTAAAACTCGATGTTCATATTATACACACTTTGGAAGTAGATCTTGTAGTCTTTTATAGTTTGGCCGAAGTGCGATTGTTTCGACTGCGCCGAAATATCCGATTGTTATATCATGACGTGTGATAGAGGGATATAGGGTTTTAGGTAGTATCTGTGATAGGGATATCAAGTGTAAAACAATATTTATAGTGAATTGTGCATGCGATGGGCATTTGAAAAGGTCATCCTCAACATACGTCATATTGTGTGGTTTTCATATGTCAAAAAAACGTGAATTTTGCGTAAAGGGCATAGGTAGAATAAAGCCATCAGGTACTACTACAGACTGTAGTTTACGCGAGTAGTACACATTTAAAACACTTTTAACGGCTTAAAACTTGAAATATAGTAGTAAGCTTATTGATCATATATTCTAATTACGCTGGAGGGGCTGTAGATGTAGAGTGTACATCGTTTTAAACCGTTAATAGTGTTTAATTTAAATCCATCAATATAAGATACAAAAATGTGTCTGTCCCGGTTTTTACGCAGGGGAAATGAGTTTTCAATTTGAAGGGGCTGGATCAAGGAATTGTTGCATTGTGTGAAACTTTACGTATAAGCGAAATGATATATTGAATTTTAAATGACTAGAGATGACTTCACACTAGGAAGGGGAATAACCGTGTGACGGAATTTATGGATGAACCACAACCGGTGTTGTGTTAAAGGGAAAGAAACTTTGGCACTCTCGACCAAGATTTGTATACAATTTTTCTTAACTATTTTCTTATCTTCTAGCGAAGTACATATTCGAGTATTACTATAATATAAACAAATAATTACCGTAGACTATTAGTGAAACATTTTCTCCTTGAAGAATTTAAAATTCACATTTCGAATATAAAATTAAGGAAACAGTATTGAATTTAACCTTATTATATATTAAGCAGTGATGCAAATGTCTTTAATTCTATAATAAAATATAAATTTCTTATAGATCAGATCGCATTTTGTTATCTCCTTTCAATGTCACTAATATATCGTTTTAACACAGATATTAAGAATTAGCTTACCCAAAATTCCCTTATGTATACAATAGATAGAATATAGCAAACAAGATTTATAATTACAGTGTAATATTATTATTTAAAGTATTACAGAATCCAAACCAGATTTCTCTAATAAGCTTAGTCGATAAAAATGTTGTGATAATTAACCACAATTTATATACTGTCTATAGTTTACGCAAGTAGTACACATTTTAATAAAACACTGTAACTGTTTAAAACGCGATATATATTAGTTAAACTTATTTGAAAATTATTTTAAACTTCGGCCCGACGTTTTGACGTCAGAGACATTCTCCATCTTTAGTCTCCCCGGGACCATGGCTGCTGCAAAGCATCGAAAACGTCAGGCCGAAGTCAAAAATAAATTTCAAATAAGTTTCACGAATATATATTGCGTTTTAAACCGATAAAGTAATTTAGTTAAACTGCAATTTATATTTTCTCCGAACGAGGCATGTTAATAAATTTGTTAAAATAATAATCTTAAACCTGTCTGCAAACGTATTGTCTGATGCACAGTGGTGAAAAAGCTTGTTTTGACGAACACGTTTTTGACACTTACAAGGCCAGTACGATTTTGAATAACAGTTCCGTTTTTAGAATAATCTATCTTGTATGGAGTGAACCTCCGAGTAAATAAACTCCAAATCTTTCAAACAGACATAGACTTTGCCTGCCTAACTTTTCTCCACACACTTACTGACTGCTTTTTGAATTGACCGTGCTGGCCTTCCTTATTCAAACGTTACTTTTTGTATTTATTGTATACTATAAATGTTTCAATATTCAAATAAATAAGATATAAATGTCAAGGTTTGTTTTTATTTTTTATAGATACTAGCATAGCGTAAGGTTGTACATAAAATAAGGGAAGCGAGTATAACATATTATGTGCTTTTTTTATTACAGAACGATAGCTCGTTGATCAGTATTAATGAAATCCCGTTTCCCCCTCGTGGGGCGTGGGGCAAACACGATTCTGTGCCCGTTTCAACCCGATCTGATCCGTTCTTTTTAACATGCAAGTAGTTGATCAGACTTCTGTGCCCTACTCGACCGGAACAACTTTTTTTTTGTTTCTCTGGGATTCGAACCTTGGACCTCTCGCGCATAACGCAATGCTAGGCAATACGTTTAACCATTTGGCTACAGAGGGTAACAGTAGCATGTATGGCTAATAATCAACTAAATAGATCGACAGCCCAAGTTGTTAAGATGTTACGAGCGCTGGGATGTTTCACCTTTTTCAGAATCTAGAATAACACCATGCTAGTCTTTTTTCCCTATTACAAAAAACACCGGTAAGGGCAAAGCGATCATTCGCGCGACTTTATGACTCGTTCCGTGATTTTGCCTTTGTTTATCTCGTTCGCGTAGTTTTTTTTTTGTGCACCGTTCTTCATTTGTTTTGGTCGCTAGGTGTATCGGCGAGTGTTCCGCGACTAGGTCGTTAGATAATCGTGAGAATATAAGCTTTCTTTACGTTCTTCATAAAACCATATACCTATTGTTTGGTATGCGCTACGTTTGTCGTATACAACTATAAGATACTGGCAGTTTTGTGAGCGTTGCGGTTATTAGGTTATCGATCTCATTGAACTTACGATTACGAGTAATAAATTGTAAACTATAGCGTTTTTCCTCATATAAAAAAAAATATAAATATTAAAAACGTTGAAGTGATTTCGTTCTTTATACAATTTAATCGTGTGATTTTTAACGAGTTCTATTAAGAAAAATGGTCAGGAAATTTGTGCTCTTGTCCTTATTGATATCAATAAGTGAGGGTAGAGAAGGTCGATATCTGGATGCTCCAGAAGTGAAGAGCGTGTCCCTAGTGGAACCGGAAGGATTGTACGTTCAGTGGTCGCCGGTGACGCAGAGGCAGGATGACCCAGTGATTGGATATAAGGTAAACTTGTAAATCTTTAATTTTAAATGAGAAGTGTGTAAAGACTCATTTATTATTCCCAGCAAGTGTGAGTCGGTAAGTATATAGTGACATTTTTTCCTAGTGCCAACTTGTTATAAATATCGAACAAAACCCTAATATATATATTCTTGGTTATTATGAAATTATGACAGTTGTTTTTATTAAATGAATAAATATACTTAGCTGACAGCTCGAAACCGAAGAATCACATTTTATCTATTTCAGATACGCATTTGGGAAATACCAGAGTCATCAGACACGGAAATTCAGTTAATCAATGCAAACAAATTTCCAGGTATAGTGTCTACACAATGTTTACTCAACCCCTGGATATTTCCGGGAGTTTTCTTCGTGATTCATGTAAATTTTAAGGTGTTTCATACGAAATTTGGTATTGCCATCAATTCATGTTGACGTTAACACATACATTTATCTTATTTCTTTTTTACCAACAACGTCTAAAATCTTCAATAGACATCTAGGTAAATACCTAAATAAAACAAGATTAGCATTTGTTATATTCCTGGATATCTAATATTTACAATCAAATTAATTTAATCGCTTTATCATATTGCTACTAAGTCTATAAACTCATAATTATAAAAATAAATGTCTCATGAAAATGAACACACACAATTTATTAAATTAACTTAAAAAGAAACTCTCTCTAAATAAAACGAATCATTTACAGGTGTTATAAGAGACGAGAAAGTCCAACAGGTGAGCATTTTGGGGCATGGGGCAAACACGTTTGTTTTTTTATCCACTTATTATTATACGTTATCTATAATCGATTCTATTTACAAGTAGTTGATCAGGCCCAAATGTAGTCATTCATTTTCATTTAAAATTTAAAACGCGTACTTCTCGTGTTTGGTACTAAGCAATGCGCTTAACCAGTAAGGCACAGAACTGTCTTTTCTAATTAAAAGTTATTGTTTTAGACATTTAGTATGAACAATTCGAACCCAGCAACCAGAGAAGTCATTATAAATAGCCAAGAGTCCAAACTGTATATGGTGACAGTTGATAAAATCAAATATAACACGATTTACGAAGTGCGGGTATTGGGGTTTAAAAGAGACGTCGATGGGCCGCTATCTGTTCCCGTGAGAATTAAGATTGTGAAGGGCAGCGGGTACCAGGTCGTATTGCAGAGGACGATGTCTGGGTGCCAAGTCACTGTACCGGCTGAAGTCGAATACAGCGGCGATCCATACCCCTATCAGTATAATTCTTTCTTCTAAAATATATGCTGAATAGTTCTTTGATTTCTTTAACTAAAATACTTTTAACGGTTTATAACGCGAAATATACTTATTTACAATTTATTTTAAGTACGGCCCGATGTTTCGAATGCTTTCCAGCCGTGGTCACCTCGAATACTACTCGCGAAAACTACAGACAATACTAGAAAAGAGCTTTTATGTTGTAAATGAATGTTACAATATTGTATTAATTTTAATATTTGAAAACACTGATATTTTTCACATATAATTGTACATGATGGCCCTATGTAAATTAAAAACCGATTATAAATTAAAAAAAAATTACGACTCGGGCAGGACTTGAAAGGGGCATCCACAGCGTTCCGTGCTGTTGGTCTAACCAATTGAGCTACCGAGTCCTACACGTCATCGTCGATTTTTTCACTTGTGTATTAAGTTTCAATGTCTTATGCTTTGTAGCATAAGCATGTGTGTGGATGCCGTTTGAATTCCTGCCCGCGTCGTAAATTTTTCAATTTATAATTCGTTTTTAATTTAATTTATAAATCAATAAATATGCTGATGCTATACTTGTGTTTTAATTCATACTTCTAAGAGTTAAAAAAACATCGTTTTAATCAGTTTTAATGACTAGATCAAATGGCACGGATTCGCACATAGTCTACAATAAAAGGTTGCGACCAAGTTGGCCACCAAGCATCTTCGTCCTGCCAAAAGTTGAGCGCTGCTTTTCTGCCAGGATTCCTCCAGGGCTTCGGCCGGAAACCGGATGTGAATGTTCCATCTGGGAATTCAGTTATACCGCCTACTGCAACTCCCAACGCCAGGTAGAACTGGAAAAAAAATCTCATTGAAATTTGAAAACCGCTATGGAGATTGTCTGACGATCTCTTAAGGAGATTACGGACAAAATGAAATTCGAATTGAGCATTGACCATGTAATCATGAAACATTTGTGAAAATATGTTTTTATAGTCGCGAAGGCGCTAACAATACGTCCAAATGTTTTTTAATAAGATGACTGACATTTTGTACTTTGCGTTCTTCAATTCTGCAAATCATTGCCATCACGAGCGGACGGCATCATCAGAAGATGTTAGCTCCTCGATTGCTGGAAGAATGCGTCGAGAACCTTTTCTCGCTTACGTCGGCCGAACAGCCCGAAAAACAAGGATTTGCTTTTTTAAACAAATTAAAAAAGGGAAAATAATGTCTGCCTTCATCTACGTAAGATAAATTTTTGTATTTACCATTCAAGTAGCGAAATACAAGGCAGTGTGTCCTAAAATAATATATCTACATACATAATCATCAAATGGGGCCATGTCAGAGCCAGTAGCAAGAAGATCTCGCGGGACAGGGCAATCTTGTCCTAAAAGCCCTTGCAGACCACTTGCTGAAGGCTCCACTCGGGCCCACTCAACGCCATCTACTGCTAATATTATTCGACCTGAAATTATTAAAAAAATCAAGAGTAGAAAATCTTGGGTTTCCTACATATTCGGGTGTTGTAGTTAAGAAATGGTTTTCGACGTTACGCCATCACGAGTCGATGATGTCAGTTTAATTATTTATAAATAGTCACCCACCCCGGCCTCGCTCGGGTGTAATGCTGATACTAAATACACTACAGAAAAACTGTGAACGTTGTATGTAAACCTTCCTCTTGAATCACTCTATCTGTGACACCGCGTCAAAATCTGTTTCTGCTGTTTGAAAGATTTAAGCGTCCATAGGGACAGTAAAGTGACTTCGTTTAATACTGTGTAGTGACACCTTAATGTACACCTTTCGAGTCGAATCGAGGAACGCACACCTTCACAAAATGTCGTGGACATCTTTCGAATTACGATGCCCAACAGTTCAAAAACCCACGAAGCGTTTTAAAATGGCCGTTACAGCCTTTTTTTTTCAATAATACATAAGCATGCCCAGATACATTGATTTCTCGATTTAAACCGTTAAAAGCGTCTGTACATAGTCAAATAGACGGGTTCGTTGATCTAATGGTAGGTGTATGGCTAGTAAACAACAGGTCGTAGGTTTAATGGCACCCACCGTGTCAAATGTGATTCTAATATTTTTTTACATTTGAAGCAAAAAGCCGTAAATCGCGTTTCGGTTTCAGACTGTGGATTTCCGATACTCGAAGTCAAAATAAGTCTACATCGCGTCTTATTGAGATGTTTTATGGGTGGAGTACATTACCTTACATCGTGTGAACCCTATGCTTCTGCTCTTCACAATCATATAAAATGTAAAAGATAAATTGTATAATATATGAAATTCTGGTATCTTATAACATTATACCTGGTTCCCATCTGAGAGTGTAAGTATGAAAATCGTTACTCCACGGAAAATCATTTCGTTTCGTTCTTAGAAGATTGTTACGGCAGTTGAAGTCCAAGATAGGCCCACCGTAAAGTAACTAAAGAAATAAAAACAAAACATTTTGTAGTGCACTTACGAGTATTAAAAAGAAATCTTTATAATCTGTGTACTAAGAGTCTTAGTTAAAAAATTAGTAGTTGCGCAAGCGCATGAATCAATAAGTTGAAAAAATTCGACGATGACGTGTAGGACTCGGCAGCTCAATTCGTTAGAGCAATAGCACGGAATGCTGACTATGCCGGTCCAGTTCAATTTATAATCTATTTTTAATTTAAGTCCTAGTTCTACTAAAGATTCATCTTAGATTTTAAAATAAGAAAGTAGACTAAAATCTTAAATAGACACAAAAAATAAGTTTTATGCTACCTTGCCGACTTACAAAATGACTTGAGTTGAGACAGACATATTTCTTTGTCTGTTTTATTAATTGCTACTATTCACAATCATAACCAAGCTTTTGTTCATTGTCCGAGTGTAACTAGTTATTACGTATTCCGGGATTCGAATCTGAAACTCTATTCCCGTGTTTGTGAATGTTTATAATTTTAAAAAACATATATGAAAAGGGTGTATATGTAATATGTATATTCATATTGTATGTATTCAAACTACATCTGAATATTTAAATAAAACACTTTAACGGTTTAAAACGCGATTTGACATTTTTGTTAAACTATCTTCCCGTGACCACGGCTGCTGCAAAGCATCCGAAACGTCGGGCCATAGTTAAAATAATTTTCAAACAAGTTTAACTAAAATATGTCACGTTTTAAACCGTTAAAGTGTTTTATTTAAATGTGTACTACTCGCGTAAACTACAGACAGTATTTACTTCTAAATAAATAAAATAGAACAGAAAATACCTTGTTGCTAAAATCTTGACTTCCAGACAGCTCAACATTTCCTCTAGCACCAGCAATTCGGATAATTCCAGACGCGTAATTCATAAATCCATATTTATTCATAAGTGGTTCCAGCAGAATATCTGTAATGATTTAATGTAACCTGGATAAATTATAAGACAATGAAAAAAATATAATCTTTAACATTATACAATTAAATATCTTTTAAATCGATCAATTTTAACTGTTTAAAACGTACACGACGATAAATAGACGTATTAAGCATGAACAATAATAATTGTTATTTGCCTTCTGAAAAGTTATAAATGAAAATGTTATGTCTAACTTGCTTAAACCACAGACAATATTTATCCTTTGAAAACATTAATATTTTTTTCATGTTATTGCACATGAAGGCACTATATAATTTAAAAATCGAAAATAAATTGAAAAAATTTTTCGACTCGGGCAGGACTTGAACCGGCATCGTCAGCTTTCCGTGCTGTTGCTCTACCAATTGAGCTACCGAGTCCTACACCTCATCGTCGAATTTTTTCAACTTATTGATACATGCACCTCTCGCGCAATGTAATTTCTACCTTAACACTTGCGTATTAAGGCTCAATGTCTTATGCTTTGCAGCTTAAGAAATCATTGAAGATGAAATTACAAAGTTATAACGTTTGAAAACATTAATATTTTTCACATGTTATTGCACATGAAGGCACTATATAATTTAAAAATCGAAAATAAATTGAAAAAATTTTTCGACTCGGGCAGGACTTGAACCGGCATCGTCAGCTTTCCGTGCTGTTGCTCTACCAATTGAGCTACCGAGTCCTACACCTCATCGTCGAATTTTTTCAACTTATTGATACATGCACCTCTCGCGCAATGTAATTTCTACCTTAACACTTGCGTATTAAGGCTCAATGTCTTATGCTTTGCAGCTTAAGAAATCATTGAAGATGAAATTACAAAGTTATAACGTTTGAAAACATTAATATTTTTCACATGTTATTGCACATGAAGGCACTATATAATTTAAAAATCGAAAATAAATTGAAAAAATTTTTCGACTCGGGCAGGACTTGAACCGGCATCGTCAGCTTTCCGTGCTGTTGCTCTACCAATTGAGCTACCGAGTCCTACACCTCATCGTCGAATTTTTTCAACTTATTGATACATGCACCTCTCGCGCAATGTAATTTCTACCTTAACACTTGCGTATTAAGGCTCAATGTCTTATGCTTTGCAGCTTAAGAAATCATTGAAGATGAAATTACAAAGTTATAACGTTTGAAAACATTAATATTTTTCACATGTTATTGCACATGAAGGCACTATATAATTTAAAAATCGAAAATAAATTGAAAAAATTTTTCGACTCGGGCAGGACTTGAACCGGCATCGTCAGCTTTCCGTGCTGTTGCTCTACCAATTGAGCTACCGAGTCCTACACCTCATCGTCGAATTTTTTCAACTTATTGATACATGCACCTCTCGCGCAATGTAATTTCTACCTTAACACTTGCGTATTAAGGCTCAATGTCTTATGCTTTGCAGCTTAAGAAATCATTGAAGATGAAATTACAAAGTTATAACGTTTGAAAACATTAATATTTTTCACATGTTATTGCACATGAAGGCACTATATAATTTAAAAATCGAAAATAAATTGAAAAAATTTTTCGACTCGGGCAGGACTTGAACCGGCATCGTCAGCTTTCCGTGCTGTTGCTCTACCAATTGAGCTACCGAGTCCTACACCTCATCGTCGAATTTTTTCAACTTATTGATACATGCACCTCTCGCGCAATGTAATTTCTACCTTAACACTTGCGTATTAAGGCTCAATGTCTTATGCTTTGCAGCTTAAGAAATCATTGAAGATGAAATTACAAAGTTATAACGTTTGAAAACATTAATATTTTTCACATGTTATTGCACATGAAGGCACTATATAATTTAAAAATCGAAAATAAATTGAAAAAAATTTTTCGACTCGGGCAGGACTTGAACCGGCATCGTCAGCTTTCCGTGCTGTTGCTCTACCAATTGAGCTACCGAGTCCTACACCTCATCGTCGAATTTTTTCAACTTATTGATACATGCACCTCTCGCGCAATGTAATTTCTACCTTAACACTTGCGTATTAAGGCTCAATGTCTTATGCTTTGCAGCTTAAGAAATCATTGAAGATGAAATTACAAAGTTATAACGTTTGAAAACATTAATATTTTTCACATGTTATTGCACATGAAGGCACTATATAATTTAAAAATCGAAAATAAATTGAAAAAAATTTTTCGACTCGGGCAGGACTTGAACCGGCATCGTCAGCTTTCCGTGCTGTTGCTCTACCAATTGAGCTACCGAGTCCTACACCTCATCGTCGAATTTTTTCAACTTATTGATACATGCACCTCTCGCGCAATGTAATTTCTACCTTAACACTTGCGTATTAAGGCTCAATGTCTTATGCTTTGCAGCTTAAGAAATCATTGAAGATGAAATTACAAAGTTATAACGTTTGAAAACATTAATATTTTTCACATGTTATTGCACATGAAGGCACTATATAATTTAAAAATCGAAAATAAATTGAAAAAATTTTTCGACTCGGGCAGGACTTGAACCGGCATCGTCAGCTTTCCGTGCTGTTGCTCTACCAATTGAGCTACCGAGTCCTACACCTCATCGTCGAATTTTTTCAACTTATTGATACATGCACCTCTCGCGCAATGTAATTTCTACCTTAACACTTGCGTATTAAGGCTCAATGTCTTATGCTTTGCAGCTTAAGAAATCATTGAAGATGAAATTACAAAGTTATAACGTTTGAAAACATTAATATTTTTCACATGTTATTGCACATGAAGGCACTATATAATTTAAAAATCGAAAATAAATTGAAAAAATTTTTCGACTCGGGCAGGACTTGAACCGGCATCGTCAGCTTTCCGTGCTGTTGCTCTACCAATTGAGCTACCGAGTCCTACACCTCATCGTCGAATTTTTTCAACTTATTGATACATGCACCTCTCGCGCAATGTAATTTCTACCTTAACACTTGCGTATTAAGGCTCAATGTCTTATGCTTTGCAGCTTAAGAAATCATTGAAGATGAAATTACAAAGTTATAACGTTTGAAAACATTAATATTTTTCACATGTTATTGCACATGAAGGCACTATATAATTTAAAAATCGAAAATAAATTGAAAAAAATTTTTCGACTCGGGCAGGACTTGAACCGGCATCGTCAGCTTTCCGTGCTGTTGCTCTACCAATTGAGCTACCGAGTCCTACACCTCATCGTCGAATTTTTTCAACTTATTGATACATGCACCTCTCGCGCAATGTAATTTCTACCTTAACACTTGCGTATTAAGGCTCAATGTCTTATGCTTTGCAGCTTAAGAAATCATTGAAGATGAAATTACAAAGTTATAACGTTTGAAAACATTAATATTTTTCACATGTTATTGCACATGAAGGGCACTATATAATTTAAAAATCGAAAATAAATTGAAAAAAATTTTTCGACTCGGGCAGGACTTGAACCGGCATCGTCAGCTTTGCGTACTAAGTGCGAAATCTACCAATTGCGCTACCGAGTCCTACACCTAGTGCATGTATCAATAAGTTGAAAAAAACTCGACGATGAGTGTAGGACTCGGTAGCTCAATTGGTAGAGCAACAGCACGGAAAGCTGACGATGCCGGTTCAAGTCCTGCCCGAGTCGAAAAATTTTTTCAATTTATTTTCGATTTTTAAATTATATAGTGCCTTCATGTGCAATAACATGTGAAAAATATTAATGTTTTCAAACGTTATAACTTTGTAATTTCATCTTCAATGATTTCTTAAGCTGCAAAGCATAAGACATTGAGCCTTAATACGCAAGTGTTAAGGTAGAAATTACATTGCGCGAGAGGTGCATGTATCAATAAGTTGAAAAAATTCGACGATGAGGTGTAGGACTCGGTAGCTCAATTGGTAGAGCAACAGCACGGAAAGGTGACGATGCCGGTTCAAGTCCAGCCCGAGTCGAAAAATTTTTTCAATTTATTTTCGATTTTTAAATTATATAGTGCCTTCATGTGCAATAACATGTGAAAAATATTAATGTTTTCAAACGTTATAACTTTTTAATTTCATCTTCAATGATTTCTTAAGCTGCAAAGCATAAGACATTGAGCCTTAATACGCAAGTGTTAAGGTAGAAATTACATTGCGCGAGAGGTGCATGTATCAATAAGTTGAAAAAATTCGACGATGAGGTGTAGGACTCGGTAGCTCAATTGGTAGAGCAACAGCACGGAAAGCTGACGATGCCGGTTCAAGTCCTGCCCGAGTCGAAAAAAAAAAAAAAAAAAAAAAAAAAAAAAAAATTTTTTCAATTTATTTTCGATTTTTAAATTATATAGTGCCTTCATGTGCAATAACATGTGAAAAATATTAATGTTTTCAAACGTTATAACTTTGTAATTTCATCTTCAATGATTTCTTAAGCTGCAAAGCATAAGACATTGAGCCTTAATACGCAAGTGTTAAGGTAGAAATTACGATTGCGGAGTTAAAAATATCATGTTAAATAAGTTGAAAAAATTCGACGATGAGGTGTAGGACTCGGTAGCTCAATTGGTAGAGCAACAGCACGGAAAGCTGACGATGCCGGTTCAAGTCCTGCCCGAGTCGAAAAATTTTTTCAATTTATTTTCGATTTTTAAATTATATAGTGCCTTCATGTGCAATAACATGTGAAAAATATTAATGTTTTCAAACGTTATAACTTTGTAATTTCATCTTCAATGATTTCTTAAGCTGCAAAGCATAAGACATTGAGCCTTAATACGCAAGTGTTAAGGTAGAAATTACATTGCGCGAGAGGTGCATGTATCAATAAGTTGAAAAAAATTCGACGATGAGGTGTAGGACTCGGTAGCTCAATTGGTAGAGCAACAGCACGGAAAGCTGACGATGCCGGTTCAAGTCCTGCCCGAGTCGAAAAATTTTTTCAATTTATTTTCGATTTTTAAATTATATAGTGCCTTCATGTGCAATAACATGTGAAAAATATTAATGTTTTCAAACGTTATAACTTTGTAATTTCATCTTCAATGATTTCTTAAGCTGCAAAGCATAAGACATTGAGCCTTAATACGCAAGTGTTAAGGTAGAAATTACATTGCGCGAGAGGTGCATGTATCAATAAGTTGAAAAAATTCGACGATGAGGTGTAGGACTCGGTAGCTCAATTGGTAGAGCAACAGCACGGAAAGCTGACGATGCCGGTTCAAGTCCTGCCCGGGTGAATTTTTCATTATTTTCGATTTTTAAAATAATATTTATCCTTCTTTGTGGTAGTAAAATTTGTGTACACTTATATAAGAAAATAATTGTATTTATCACATGTTACACCAATTGAGCTATCGTGTCCAGGTAACAGGACAGATCAAGACACGACCACTCAAATGCTTAGAGCAGTAGAATGGAACGCTGTAGATTCCTGTTCAATTTCCGTTCGTGTTTTTACATTTCTTTTTAATCTAAATGGATTTTTAACATTATACTTTAACACTTTCAAACCATTTTTAAGGGGTTGAAACACAATTTTTATTATTTTGGATAAGTTGTAAAGTGTACGCAAGGCTTTGGTCGTAGGTCATTTATTTTACTTATAAACAAATCACATTTTAATTTGTTTAAAATTTTAACTCAATCTTGTTGAACTGCAGATGTCAGAAATATGAAACTGAACGTTTAAATACCTGGATACAGCCAGTCGCCCTGTGGCAGCTTAGCACGAACCTCCACCACGCCATATTTAAAAGCAATCTTAGTGGTGACCCGTCCACTAACAACGGGTGGTAGGATGCTAGCCCCCCAAGCACTGGTGCTACACCTTGATAAATACATGGTTCTACTGGTACACCTGAGACAAAGTTTTTATTAATTGTCAAATTTATTACTTCTTCATATGCATGTAGGAGCACTTAGTAGTAGTTAAACACATTATCTACTTGTACAATATAAAACACTAACGGTTTAAAACCCGATATATTATATTAGTTAAGGTACCTGTAAACTTATTTGAAAATTATTTTAACTATGGCAGACTCCTCGTGACCACGGCTGCTGCAGAGCATGTGAAACGTCAGACCTAAGTAAAATAAGTTTACCTAATTTATATCGCGTTTTAAACAAATCATGCCGTAGTTAAAATAATTTCTTAATGTCTAAAATACTTCGCGTTTTAAGCCGTTAAAAGTGTTTTATTAACAGACAGTTAAAATTCACTTCCTCCACGCTATAAAAGTTCTAAATATTCTCACCCACTGGTCAGATCCAGAGACCCAGATAGCACCGAGTTATTTGAGTAACCCGGTTGATTTATCAAAAGTTGAGGAGCGATTCTCAAATTGCCATCTTTGATAGATACAACGTCGCTTCTTGGTGGCCGCTGATAGGACACGAATGGGTAATCCTGAAATATTTTCAGCATGTTTTGTTCAAATAATGTTACCTACCAATTATTTTCAAACTCGACATCAGCACTGTTTCACGTCTACTGGAGAACGAGTCGTAACTTTTCGCGCATAAACACAGGCCGTGCGTTTGATCCCCACCGGGTCCACGTATTTCTAATAATGTTTCTGAAACATCTTGGACTTCGTGTGGATATAAAACAGGTAAACGAACCACCGTCCATAGACGCATTTCGGGTTCAGTCTGTGGATTTCCGTAAATCCAAAGCTAAAATATCGTCAACGCATAGTCTTTAGATGTTGCTAGGGTATATCACCTACCGTCAAGCGTACCCCATGCTTCACTGTCCTCCTCCATCGTAGAAAAATCTGACCCTTAAATGTAGGTACTCACAGGTTGTTCCGGTATGTATTGTTCAATATACCACAAATCCTCTCGAAAGCTGTCGAAATTGTCTTCAAACACAACTTGTCCGGCACAAGCTTTAGCACCAGCCACTTCAGTCACTGTGGCTTTGCAATCACGCGTCGAAGGGTTTGGCCTTGATGGATCAACGAGCTCTGAAATCAATAGTGTTTAATATACAAACTTTTTTCTATTTATGATTTAAAAACTAAGGTGCGGGACTCAAACAAATAAGCAGCGAAGAATTCTGTGCTTCTGTTCGGTAACAGAGCAAAGGCTTACAACACAAAGCATAGATTTTTAATTCATATAAAGCTATTGTTTGTTTAAATAAATTTACTTACATTATGTAAGTTTATATGAAAAAACATATATTTTAAAAACTGAAGAAACATGAACACATTCTTATATTTATTGTTTTGTAGTAATTAAAGTTAATTTGACATTACGTAAATTAAAAACTTCTTAACGCTTTTAAACGCGAAACTTATAGTGAACTCATTTTAAATTTATTTTTAGTTTGAGCTAGATTATTATATAAAACGACATTTCATTTATTAATATTGTCTAACCAATGGAGCTACTGAATTACCCGTCATCGTCGAAATGTTTCAGCTAACATGCATTTCGCGCAATATAATTTCAATCTTAACAGTTATGTTTTAACATTAAACATTAATACGTAAGTGTATTCGATAGCTCAATTGGTTAAAGGACAGAACGCCGGAGATGCCGGTTAAATCCTGCCCGAGTCTAAAATTTTTTTAATTTCTAAAATTAGTTTGTTATTGATTTTTAAATCATATAGTGCCATCATGTGCGAAGTAAAAGTTTTAAATTTTTTAATAGAAACTGCTACACTTACCAGTCACAGTAAAGGAAAGATTGTCATTAACATAGCCCTTTCTATCTCTCGTTACGTATGTGTAATAGCTTATGACATCACCAGGCTTGAGGCTGATGCTTGGGTCCTCATAGACCCAAACGCCATTTTTGGGTTTAAGTACTTCCCCCGATATTTCGCCCACATCGTTGCTTCCTATCTTTCTGTTCACATTTCCTTGGAACACAAACTGATTTAGTTTGTTTTCAGGGTCTGTAATCCACGATGTTATATTATTTATTTATCTACTTACATATTTTCATCTTTGTTAAAAAAACCATGTCAAACATACAATAAAAAGAATTATATTATACTGGCTGTGTCAGCGACTTCGTTCGAAAGAATCGTTATTTAAGCCATCCAAATTCGTTTTTGGAAATCTTTATAAACTCAAGCTGTTACCCACGACGTTGTTCGATTTGTTTTCGCTTGTATTAATCACAGGACAATATTTTGCCTTCCTCGATAAATGCTCTAACCAAAACAAAAAGTTTTTTTTTTTAAATTCGAACCCGTAGTTCCTGAGATTAGCGCGTTCAAACAAAGAAACTCTTTAGCTTTATATATTAGTATAGATATAAAAATGTATATCCAAAATCATGAAATTTATAAACATATAAACAATGAGCAGATTCCCACATAACCATTAAATCTGAATATAGTTTGAACAAATATATATTAACTGCCCTAGTATTCAAGTTTTCTAACTTAAATTATAACTGTAAATAAAATACATACCCGATATAGAAACTCGAATGCCCTTCGGTTTCAAAGCTTGTATTGTCACCTCTGGAATATTAAACTGCGCGTGCGCATATGAAAGCACGAGATATAAAATCAAGGAACGTACAACCGGTTTTGAATACATCTTGCTACTGAAGTTAACGATGAGTCGACGTATGAACCAGAATATGGTTAGCAGTTTGGGTGAAGTCCCGAGTTTTACACTTCTTAGAACAACGATGCATCTTCGATATGCACTAGAAAAATCCCGCGGTTTTATCCGCTTAACATTATTACAATATTTTTTTTACCCATTCTGAGGGCATTAATTTTAATCATATACGATTTATATTTACCCACGAATTTTTTTTTGTTTTAGTAAATCATTTGTGTGTCCATGATAGAGCATGTATTCTTAGCGATGTATTAATAATATATTTCCGTCTGGGTCACGAATCACCGTCCACAGACAAAAAAAACATGAAGTGTAATCACGTTTCGTTTTTAGTCTAGTCTTGATTTTTTAAATAACTAAAGTTTCTTTCCATTTCTTGGTTTTGCATATTCAATGGGCTTGGATGGTGGACAGAGCACCCTGAGGCCATGTTATATGATCAAGTGAACATCATCTTCTCTCTTCTTTCATAAAAAAGTCATTCAGTCGATCAGGACAACAATTCTATATGTGTAGATTGATAAATATTTCTAGCGCAGAAAATCTGACAGTTGACTCTAGACATGATAACTATCGTTCACATTATTCGAACCGATGATCTCAGTCTGGGTTATCGCTTTGCGTTAAACAATAATGAAGACGAAAATAATAATATTTTTAATTTTTTCCCTAGTAATATCAGTGTTTAGTGCATTGCCTCCGGTAACTGGAGTTAGAATGAGCTTCTTGGAGCCGATTGGGTTTTTCGTACAGTGGGACGTAACCCGGTCGTCCATACCAAAAATTAAGGGTTACAAGGTAATTGATAAAAAGACTTGGTGACGTCATAGTCATAACTCGTCAATTTTTTTTGGTTAATAAAAATTTTACAATGTTAAATTCGGCTACAAGACCTTTATTGTGGTTTATTTATATAGATGTATAATCCCTTTTTCCCTGTGAAACAAACATAGAAATGTATCAGACCTGGGTCGGGTCGACTGATCAGTTTTAATTACCGACAACATTATATTTCCATGATATCGCATTGAGTTAACCCTTGAGTCCTGAAATATCTAGTTTTCCATAAAAACGGACACAAATTTCATTATTATAAAAAAACAACCTTTTTTCTTTGCCGTGACAAGGCATAAAAAGGCATTCAAAACATTTTTATTAAAAAGGAATGTAAGCATATTTTTCATTCAGGTAAAGCTATGGTCAATTGAAGAAAATACAACGAGAAACTACAAATTGCTGAACGGTGATCAATATCCTGGACTAGAGAGAAATGATATTGCTCAAGAGGTAAGTAAGAATTAATTATGTGTAACTTAAGTCAAAACTTCTAAATAAAAGCTCGCTTTGTTTGTGCTTTGCTATTTAAACCATAAAAATGTATTTAATTAACAATAAAAAACATATTATTATTTTTTGATTATCTGTAAAGTAATTGTATCTGTAGTTAACGCGATTATGTGCCTTGAATAAAACATTTTTAACGGCTTGAAACGCGGAATAAATTAGTTAATTTACGTTCAACTACGAGCCATCAATATAGCATTCAAAACATAGGATCAACCTTTAAAAAATAACAAGCAATATATATTTATCGTACTAAACTGTTAAATATTTTATATTAAAAGATAAGTACTTGCGTAAGCGTAACTAACTTAAAAAAAATTGGTACAGACTATGATGTTAAAATAAGTATTTTTTAACTCATTTTTAACTATAAGAATCTAATTAAACGAGCTAGAGACAAATCGAGAAAAAACAACTTATTTATTATAGCTTCATTGTTTATAATAAATACCACATAAAAATAATATGAAACAGTAAAAATCTATACAAATACAAAGCGCCCTTATCGCTAAGCAGCGATCTCTTCCAGGCAACATGAATTACAGGAGAAAAGAAATAGAAAAATATTTATTAATCAACTATTATTATTATTGCAAGGTAACTAAACTATATGTGTGCATTTCATTGTTACAGGCTTTCAACGAAAGTTACACAGCCAAGAACGAAGTAACAGAAATAACTTCCATTAATGCATACCATAATGAAGCAAGACTACTTAGCATCGCGAAAGACACATTATATGAAATACGTGTTTTCACTTATAAGGATGAAGATGTAGGACCCATGTCTGACCCCATTAGGGTCAAAATAATGAAATCTAAAACTGATTACACTGTATCAGAGGATATAGTGAAACCTAGACCAGTTTATACGGTGTTGGCTGAACGACAATTTGATTACTGTAAAGTTTCTATCATCACGAACACGACAGATGGCGATCCTTTTATCCATAAAACGTTTATATGAATAAGAAGAAGAAGAAGAAGAATGGCACGTTTGTTTTATTGACATTATAAACAGCTTAGAGAAATTAAAATTTGTAGTGTTCACAGTTTTAATTTTTTGGTTAGTTTATTACACAGGCAGTCTTAAAAATTAATTGAAATTTATTATACTTAAATTTATTTAAAAAATTAAAAAAAATGGTCCTTTTCATCAAAATCTATCTTTAACCGTTATATTTTTCTACTCCATGTGGAATTATTAACATTAAAAAGACATACTTGAAGTACTAAAGTGTTTTTTACCTCATGATAAACACATTTGTATCCGTTTTCCGATGGGTTAATTTACAGGTTAGTAGTTGATCAGACTTCGATGCCCCGCCCGACCGAAACAATTTGTTACCTCGGGATTCGAACCCAGAACCTCTCGCGCTCATCTGCTCGGGGATAGGTTTGACCATCTGACTACAGGGGCAATAAAAAAAGACATGCTGTGATGAATGTCTTCTTTTTACTAATAAAATAAAAGTAAAAAAATAAATCGACCTATATTTTTACCGTGCTGTCCTAAACATCTTGAACGCCCTTCAGAGGCTCTAGTCTCCAGTCGTTTCCGTCATCGTGAAACTATCCCGAGCTTCATATTTTCAGACCTGGACACCGACCGAGGTCCTTAGAAACTCCATCCCACCAACGCAACTATCATTCCATACCGTTTCCTAATTGCGCAGTTACTTATTGGCATTCGTCCTGTTAGCGTGGATTTTTAGTCCAAAACTATATTCGTGGTGACCTGACGATACACGTCTGATAAGTGTAAAGTTATTTCCTCAAGATGCTAATTTTTCATGTTTTGCTATTAACTATATTTTGTTGCACGTTTGCGTTAAATGATTATGAAATAACAGTTCCGACGTTCTTGAGGGTTTCCTTGTTGGAACCAGTCGGCTTGTTTGTTCAATGGAGAACTATTCCATCTTTTCAAATTAATCCAATCGTTGGATACAAGGTAAGAACTCCTACATCATTATATTTCTAACAAAATTTTGGCCTTTGACTTTAATGCAAATTGCCTCTTTTGTCGTGAAGATACGTAAAACTTTAATTCTAAGTGTGCTTTTTGACGCTCCTTTGTTAGTGCTACGTTTTCGTTATAAATCCTCAGTGCCGTTATATAATAATAAATATTACCAAATCGAAGTAATCATCATGAAATCTAATGGGATCCAGAAAGTTATGTCTTACATATAATAACATAAAATACTTTTGTTAGGTACGATTATCGGAAATAAACGAAGATTTACAAGGGACTTATACCATTTTACATGAAAATGAGCTGGTAATAATTTCCGATGAGCGTCCAGAGGAGGTAAGAAGTTGTACAAAATTTATGAAAACTTTCATTAATGTTTATATGTATATAGTTTAAACAATATTTACAATACCCAGGTAATGTAATAACGATATATTTTTAGAGGAGGATAGAAGGCCACGGGGCGCACTTGACGGTGGGTAAAATATCCCAATCATATAAATGAACTCGAAACGCCATTAAACTTGACGGCCTTTTCTCTTTGGACGGTAGGTCGTTACCGTTTTATTTAAATATAATATTTGTTTTCAGCCTTACAACACGGAAAAACAGCAGGATAAATTCCGCGAGTTTAAAGTTCCCGCTATCGATATAAAAGACGATTTAAGTATTAAAATAAGGGACAATATAAAATACAATAGACTGTACGAAGTCCGCGTTTTAGCATATAGAGAGGATAAAGATGGGCCAATAACAGATCCGATACGGGCCAAGATTGTTAAAGGAGACGACTACGTTGTGTTAGTGCAAAGGGAATCAGCCTCTTTATGTATTGTGTCGATGTCAAGTAATTCCACTCCGGAAAACGAAGTTACGTATTATCATAGTGAAAACGTGTATTTGTAAATATATATTATAATAAAGGGGTAGTCTAAACATTTATTAAAGTTGAGAGAGTGTCACGATAGAATGGACACGGATCTTTTATGCCCAAATCAATATGGATCTTCAACTAAGGTTTAGTTCGACAAAGATAAAAAGAATACGATTAAATGCTGTTAAACATGTGAAACGTCAAAATGTACTTGATAGACATATTACGCCGTTTTAAGACGTTCAAGGTCAATACCATACCATACCAAGGTCAATAACAGATTTGAGTCTGTTTCAATAAACAGACTCAAATCTTCTTCTGAAAACACAATTAGAAAAGTGTTTAAGCAATAAATTTGGTATTATTTTGAGTTCTAATGACAACTTTTTTTCTATAAACAACATGAGTTACCTCACAGATCATGAAGTGATCATCTTACCAAGTCGAGACTTGCAAGACGAACAGATTTCTGACTCCGACCAAAGCAAGTACTTGATCAGACTTCTGTGCCCTGTCCAACCGAAACAATCTTACGTTTCCCAGGACCACTAGTTAATAGGTCAAAAATAATAAGGGTACAAAGGAAGGAAGAACTGAAGTTAAGTTGTATCAAGCTAAATTAATAATTATGTTGTTGTTAATTAACACAAAACCGCAATATTTACGGTCACTGGAAGTGGATTGGCATTTATCTTGAGTGGACATTATCAACCGGTCTGGGATTAAACATGAAACGTGTTCTACTAATAATCGTTTGCAATATTATATTTGCGAAAACTTTTCAAGTACCCAAGATCACCAGTGTCACCACTTTAGTTCCAGCCGGCTTACTCGTCAAATGGGATTCCAATAATGATGTGGTTGATGGATTTAAAGTAAGTAGTATTATTATTCTCCATCGGGGACACCTGTAGAAGGCCGGGTGATCAGTACATACCATCAGCTGTCTATTTCACCCATTTCCTGCTGTAGAGTACGTAAGTATACATTCAAAGAATTTTGTCGCGACGGCTAGTTCAAGCTTTTTATCGTTGGCTTGATAAAAAGCTTTGCCTATTTTAAAATACTGTTAATGCTTTAAATCAAAATATATTACTTGACTTATTTACAACTTTACTCGTAACTACGGCCCGCAGTTTCGGACGCTTTGCAGCAGCCGTGGCCACGAGGGACTAGATCTCGCCTTTTAAACCGCTATAAGTGATTTATATAAATGTGTACTAGTCGCGACTTAATTATTATATTATTTGCAAATATTAAATATAGCGTTCCCCCTTTTATCATTGTTTATAATAAAATATTTATGTTCAAGTAACTCACCCAAAATGTCAAGTTGTTGTTAATAATGAATAAAGTCACATATATGTATTTCGTTTTAAATCGTTAAATTTTATTTATTAAAAAACACTTAAAATAAATATAAAGTTCCTAATGTGTAATATATTATTTAAGTTAGTCACGATTTATATTAACTAACGGTATAACCAACTGGTGGTGCGACCGTAGTTATTCCTCGTTTTGAATCATTACAAGGGTTTTATTTAATGTCATAATGCAAGCATTGTCTGAAGTTTTTTTGTTATGATTTTAGATTAGCGTGTGGGAAGTGGAAATCTCTAGTCAGGGTCGTTTCAAACTATTGAATGGGGATGAAATACCAGGATTACTTCTAGAACACAAAGCTATTGAGGTTAGTATTATTTCAGTTATTAATACTCTTATAATACTGTCTATAGTTTACCATAGTACACATTTAAATAAAAACTTTAACTAACTTTAACTTTAATCGCGTTTTAAACCGTTAAAGTGTTTTATTTAAATACTCTTAGTACTTTCCGCCCCCGTACTATATTTAGTAAATACTAACAAACTACGTTGTATTCGACTCAGAGGTCAAAACCTATACCAAACTGTTGTTGAAATGGCGTTGAACAAGTGAGATTATAAGAGATGACATCAGACAACGTCGACGCCCAACAAGAAGACCTTAATAGCAATTCGACGAGGGTAGTACTAAATAAAGTACAATGGAAGCATTTGGAAAAAGCCTATTTCAAATAACATCGAACTAATAGATATTTCTAATTATGTAAATAGTCAAATATCCGGAAAACATAAAGGTTATTAATTAGTTTTATTTTTTCAGCCAATGGCTCATAATAAATTGCCCAAAAGCAAGCCGATTCAAGTCGTAGTGCGAGATCCGGAAGCAAGAGAAGCAAAGATAAACAAACTAAAGTATAATACTCTTTATGAAGTTCGTGTTTTAGCGTACAAAGGTGATGGAGAATCAGGGTTGTCTCCACCTACAAGGATACAGTTGATAAAAGCAGATGACGCCATCAATGTCGTAGCTGCGCAAAAGGAAAATGACGTCTGTATTGCAACTGTAGTAACCACCATTGACTATAAGGGTGAAAAGTACAATTATCATAGAAACGTTTATATATGAACATAACTATATAAAAAAAAAAATTGATCCAAAAATAAAATAATCAATAACATTGCAAGGTCTTTTATTTTAATAAATATTACAAAGCTACAACTTTCACATAGTCAACCAATAAATCCGGTTGAGTCCAGGTTGGGTACCAATTCTCCTTATCCTGCCAGAAGGAGAAGCCGGCCTTTCTACCTCTGTTTCTCCACGGTTTAGGGATTTGTTCGCCTGTGGTTAGGCCATCAGCAAACTCTACGATACCACCAACAGCGACACCCAGTGTTATGTAGAACTACGAAACAAAAAACTCTTTCAGTCATATGATAAATAGATCTTATTTGACTTTGACATTAGAGATGCTATGCTGCAAAGCATCCGAAACACCAGGCCGTAGGCTTTTCTTCCTTTGTCCTTCATACTACATACTAAATGAAAAATTATTTCGCATAGAGCTGAATATTCTCCTTTTCTATATGATATTTTAAAAATATTTCTATCTACCAACTTACGTGATCGTCAAAAGGTGCCATAATACCGCCGTTATTAAGCAATTCGAACCAATCACCACGACAAGAAGCAGGTAACCAGGATCTAAGTCCAGTTGCTCCAGGTGTGTACCGACCCCATTCTTCTCCATCCACAGACAAGACTATTTCTTCTAAAATACGAAGTATTGCTTAGTTATTAAGCAGTGTCTTAGGTGTTATTTAGTAATAAGTAAGTTTTGGTGAAAAGTCAAGGCATATAGTCACCCAATGGTATTGAAGAGAAGGTAAAAGATGGAAGGGAAGACCGTTTAAAAGCGGGATGATGACTTGAAAAAGATAGACCATACTGGATGAGACTCAAACGCAAAAGACAATGAAACATGAAAGTTTGTAGAGGAGGCCTATGCCGGGCGGCAAGTTACTAGCACTTAAGATAATGAATAAAATGTTAGTGATCAAAGGAAGTTGTATAGTCAATAACAATAAAGGCTTATTTTATTTATTATTTTATAATTGTTGGTTATTTGTAGTAAACATACCTGGACTCCATTTTAGTGAGTAGATGTGAAAGTCGTCCCCCCACAAACTGTCACCCTCAATCTTCTTGTGATAAAACTCGAGTGCGCTTCTACATCTTGAATTAATTATGGGACCACCTACGAGCCACTGAAATGTGAATAATGCCATGTGACAAGATTTTAACCATGATGCATATTTTTGGGACACTAAATTTGTACTGACATAAATAAAGTAGGCTCTCAATTCGATCTTTTTACATTGTTTGTTTGTCTTTAACTTCGTCGTTTGGTTCTATTATGTTAGAAAGAAGATGTTTTAACACTGTGAATTAAACATTTATATTTGTTAAATAATTTCTAATAAATCAAATCACAACACGTATTACTTTGTGTGTAATAAATTTATTGTTTTCATTTTTAGTTTACTGCTTGAAGATGGAATTCTTGTTCTGTTCTTCTTATTATTTAAATACTGTCCATAGTTTTTCGCGAGTAGTACACATTCAAATAAAACACTTGAACGGTTTAAAACGCGAAATATTAGTGAAACTTTTTTGAAAATGATTTTTCACTTCGACCCGACGTTTCGGATGCTTTGCAACAGCCGTGGTCATGGGGAGATGCAAAGCATCCGAAACGTACTGGTTGTAATATATTTACAGACAGAACTTTTAGTTGAAAAGTACTTATAGCGTAAAGCGCTCAAAGGTCTGGTTTGAAATAACAGGAAAACGAAGCTGCTTGGGTTACCAAGCTGTCTAGCCCGTCGTGCCCATGATTGGGAAATGTTTGTAGAAGTTTCGCCATCATTATCTTGATATAACGATTTGTTAAATCTAATAATTTGTGTTTTCACTGTTTATAAAAAGTTATTAGTAACTTACATTATTACTGTATCGCTCCGTATTGACGTCTGTATTTCCTCTCACCATCGCTACCTTCAAGACACCGGAAGCGTAGTTCAAACTACCATACTTCTTCGAGAGTGGTTCCAAGAGTATTTCTAAGAGATACAAAATAAAAAATATCATAAACTGTTTCTTTTGAATATGTATGTTTTTTTATTATAGAGATTATAGATAAGAGATATTTTTTTTATTATAAACAAGCCTGCAGCCCTAAAGCCCCAGCTTAAAGCCATATTTTAAGCTTTACATATTCAACACACTGAACCAAACTTCACGGCTTTTCATCTGTGGACAGTGATTCGTGACCCGGACGGAATTTCGATATTCCAACCACCCGTTTAATATCCAGATTTCAGACACGTACATTAAAATTTAATTCAAACTCTTTAACGGTTTAAAACGCGATATATTATTAAACTTATTTGAATAGTGTACTCCTCGCGTAAACTATAGTTTACGCGAGTAGTACAGTATTCAAGTGCATTAATTCAATAAATAAGATAATACATTTCGCGTTTTAAACTGTTTATAATGTTTTATTTAAATGTGTACTCCTCGCATAGACTACAGACAATACTGAGGATGTAGGTACTTATGAACATACCAGGATACAACCAATCGCCCTGAGGAAGCTTCGCTCGCACGTGTATGGTTCCATAGGTGAAGGCAAACCTCGCGCTGGTGACACGGCCGCTGACTATGGGTGGTACAATATCCACCCCGATGGACGACATGGCACAGGTTCTTAGTTCAGTGCAACTGAAACAAACATTATTTTAAATGCTTCCTATTTCTAATATCTATAATAATATTATAAAGCTAAAGAGTTTGTTTGTTTGAACGCACTAATCTCAGGAACTATTAAAAATTCTTCTTTGAGGATTTCCGTTGTGTGTACTGCAAAAATAGTTGAAGATGACCGATGATACAAAAGAGTTATTCTTCTTTAAATAATCTAAAATAAAATATGTATGTCTATATTTTAAGATTAACTTGCAACGACAATACGCGGACCACTTCGTGGATAACACATATGTGAATAAATATAATAAAAATAACATTTATAAAGATGAAGTTTGATGCAAGAAAACTATTTGACGCGGACGAATTCGCTGGAACAACTAGGTTTAGGTTTAAAGAGAATTTATTACCAGAAGAATATACATTCACTTAAGGTAACATATTGTAACTAATGCGTACGTAGCTTATAATTAATTACTTACATATAAGAGTTATACTACTCACTATTTTAATTAAATACACTGAGACTTATGCAACATTAAAATAAATGAATTGTAACAAAGGCAGGTAGAAGAACATTTTAAGCGAATACAATATTATCTACCTACAGCTACTCACTGAGTGACATTACAGTAATAGTAATTACATTGATACAAGGCTACTAGATATGACATTGGAATTGATGCTTTTCTATGTATCGTATTTTGAAATATACCTATATTTTAAATAAGGTTAGTTCTCGCTGTTGATAAGTTATAAAGGATTATATATATGTATGATGATATATAGATATGTATGATTTTATATTTTTATCTTGTTAAATATATAAATTTTAAGTAAGTTTTTGAATGATTTAATAGTATTTGCGTTTTTAATGCTATTGGGGAGATTATTATATATTTTTGCGCCCTCATATTTGACATTCTTTTTACCATAATTCGTTCGAGGATTTATTAAAATTAAATCGTTAGCATTTCTTAACTTTATTTTTTGAGTTTCATTTTTTTTTGTAAAGTTTATTTTTGAATGTATTTTATCATTTATAAGCTTATATATAAATATACTTGTATTATAATAGTATGATTGCTTTACGGTTAATATTTTTGTTTCATTGTATATTTTATTACTGGGTGATAAAAAATCATAGTTAAACAACCTTTTTATTAGTTTATTTTGGGCAGTCTGGATTTCTTTAATATTAGTTTTGGCAGCAGAGCCCCAAACTTCGATAAGATAGTCGATATGAGGTTTAACAAGAGAATTGTAGATTGTGTATCTTACGTCTTGTGGAAAACATCGTACCAGGCCCCGTAAGGCACCAGTTAAGGACAGTAGTTTAGATTTTATCTTATCTATATGCGGTTTAAAGGTTAAGGTGCTGTCTAAGATAAGGCCAAGATATTTTTCATGGTATACTCTATTAATTGGGATGCTGTTAATAGTTAAGGGTGTAATAATGAGGTTTTTTTTGTTTTTTGCGGCAAATATGATAAAATTGGTTTTTGATACATTTATAGTTAGTAGGTTAGATTTAAACCAACAGCTAAGGAGATCTAGATCATGTTGAGCTTCTTTTAGGACGGAATCTATTGAACGACCAAAGTAGAAAAGACTTGTGTCGTCTGCATATAGAGTTATTTCGCCTTTAAGACCAATGTCTTTTATGCTATTTATATATATAAGGAATAATAGTGGTCCTAATATTGAGCCTTGAGGTACACCGTAAGATATAGTTTTGGGGCTGCTTTGGGCGCATCCTATTTTTACTACCTGTGAACGATTTTGCAAGTAGGATTTAAAAATTTTTAAAGCAGGACCAGTCAATCCAGCATTACTTAATTTTTTGATTAGTAGGTCATGGCTGACGGTATCAAACGCTTTTTTCAGATCTATAAAGATGCCTATTGCTATCTCTTTTCTATCTATAGCAAGTTTTAATTTGGTCACTATATCTATTGTTGCCGAAAGTGTGTTGGATTTTGGTCTGAAGCCATATTGTTGGTTGTAAAGAAAATTTATGGAGTTTAAATGTGATTGAAGACGTGTATATAGCACTCTTTCAAGGATTTTTGACAAAACTGGTAACACCGAAATTGGACGATAGTTACCTGGTTCTGTTTTATCACCACTTTTAAAGATGGGAGAGACCTTTGCTATTTTCAACGAATCTGGAAATGTACCGTTATGCAGACAATGGTTTATAGAGTTAGTAATGTTATTTAAAATAAGATTCTTTATACATTTTATTGATTTAGTGTTGATCCCATCAATTCCTGTACTTGTATTTAAATTTAAGTTGTTTATTATAGCATCCATTTCAGTGTTAGAAGCAGGTTTAAAATGAGTTAATATGTTTAGTTTATTATTGATTCCGAGTATTGATGTGTTACTATTACTTACAAAGGTAGTATTAGATGTAATTTTATTGGCTAAGATCAAACCAATATCAGAGAAGTAGCAATTAAAAGTTTCACAAATTGTTGGAAGATCCGTCTCGAAACCACTTGTCGTAAGTATCTTGCTTGGGATTGGAGTATCTCTAGTCTTATTATTTGACAAGTCATTTATTAGTTTCCACATTTTTTTTGGTTGATTTGTAGTATCGTTAAAAGCTTTTATATAGTATTTACTTTTAGCCATTTGGATATTTGATAACGTAGAATTTCTCTTCTTCTTAAATATTTCTTCTTTAAATTTATTTTCTGGTTGTTTCTTGTGTTCTTTCCATAACATATTTCTTTCATTAATTTGTTCAATTATGTCTGTATTTATCCATTCTTGTCTTGGAGAATTTATGATTTTATATTTTATAGTCTTACTTATTTTTATGCTTGATTTTATATTTTCTTCCAGTAGAGTCAGACCGGTTTCTTTATTCTCACTTTCGTATGTTTCTATTATTCCAAATAGTTTTTTATAATTTATAGATTCGTATTTAATCTTTCGACGCGGGGGAGGCTTATATCTTTTTAATTCTAAAAACATCTGTTTGTGATCGGATAATGCACTATCAATTAATGCCAAATTAAAACTATGTTCCTTTAAATTTGTACTTATATGGTCTATTAATGTTTTTGTGTTTGTCGTCACTCTAGTACAATATTTTTTGTCTATGTTATTTAAAATATTGAATGATGATCCTTGTAGTATATCACTGTAAGCAGCAATGTATTTATCATTATTGAGTAGATTTATATTAAAGTCGCCAAAGATAATGCCTCGCTTCATTTTGTTCAAGTATTTTTGATAAGTGTCTAGAAATAGATGGATGTTTTTCATGTCTGGTTTTCTATAGATTGCAAGTATATCAAGTGAGAAATTTTTTATATAGACGCGTAGGAAATGATTGTCATCGATACATTGATCTTCAATTATCGTGTGCGATAGGCTATTGTGGGCAAATATAGACACACCACCACCTCTTTTATTTTTTCTGTAATTATAGTAGTGACAATATCCGAGAATTTTAAGAGATTTTGCTTCATCGTCATTTTTTATCCAGGTTTCTACTAGAATTATTATGTGTGGCGGAGTTGTAAATGATCCAATAATACATTTTAATTCGTCAAGTTTTCCCATCTTCACTATGCTGCGAACGTTTAAGTATAAAAAAGTGAGAGAATTTGAGGTAATTATGATGTCACTATATTTGTTCACAATTTGACTATTTGTTATACATTCAAAATTTTCGTACTTATGATCTAGTGTAGATAGTTTTTTGCATGAATTATTCTTGGGACATCCTTAACATACTCTATAATAAGGTCTTTCTCTCCATTATTAATACGACGTTCTAATTCTATTTTTAATTATTTTATTTGCTCCTGTTGCTTAGGTGTTTTGTCAGAAAATAATTTTATTTGTTCTGAAGAGACAGCGTTTTTATTGCGCAGCAATTCCTTTACAAGATCTTTAGAGTCATACGACACTTTAACTGGGCGCCTTTTTTTCAGGGTTAAATTTTCCAAGCCTCATAATATAGTTAGGTTCTGGGCATTGCGGAATTATTTTTTTTGTTATACGTAGTATTTCCTTTGTGTCTGCTGCTATTTTTTCTTCCTTATTTTCATATTGCGCATCAGATATACCACAGATTATTACATTTCTACTTCTTTCTTGTCTTTCATTCAACTCACCTAGTATAGATTCAAGTGGCAAGTTTGTCGGAGTACTCAGCTTCCCAATATTTACCTCTAAGCTTTCAATTTTCGCCTCGTTCTCAGAGGTTTTTGTTTTAAGGGAGGTCATCTCAGAGCTAAGCAAGTGACATTTTTCAGTTAATGTTTGACTTATACCTTTTATTAGCGTTATTTCGTTTTTAATATCATTAATATCTCCTGATACTTTATCCATAAATTCTTTTTGATTTACGTTTTGTACTGATAACATTTCCATCATAGCTGATAGTTGCTTCTTAATGTCGAAAAGTTCATCTTTTACACTTGTATCATCATTAGGATATTTCCTCTTATTACGCGTCGCTACTCTATGGGAAGTGGAGGAGTCTTGATTTAAATCGGATCCACTAGTCAAGTTAGGATGCGAACCCGTTAGACTCTTGTCCCGGTCACTTCTAGTTGGAGAGCGTAACATTATATCTGTGTACTTTGCAAACCTGTTATGCAATTACTCCGTCTTTTAATGACCTAAGTAACACACTGTAACACGAGATTGTAAACTTTATCACTATTGTTAAAAGATTCAATTTTACTTTTCTAATTATTTTGTATTTTAAAAAGTTATTTTACGATACGTCCACTACGTACGCTGGCTGAGTTGGTATCAACTAGTATGTATATATAAATTGTTTAAAGAGGTATCATTCTTTGATACATATTTCAAACAAACAAACTCTGCCGCTTTACAATCTTAGTATAGATACAAAATTTGCAATGTGAACACCGAGTCTAAAGTTCGATCTCTGGTTGGCTCAGAATCAGCAGATAAGAACATACCCACTGGTAAGATCCAGAGTTCCTGATAAAATTGACTTATTCTGCTTCTGGAAGAGGTCCTGTTGCAATTTGGGCGATATTCGAAGAGTTCCATTCTCAACCGTCACCGTTGGGTTTACTTGTAAGCGCTGATAAGATACGAATGGATGTTCCTAAAGACAATGATAAAAGTCGCATTAGTAAAAAACTTAACTTCACAGTCGGAAGTGAAACGGCAAAATTTCTCGACCTAGTTACGTACGTTATGTTATAATTAATTACTTCTTTATACAAATATAAAAGCTATACTACTCACAATTTAAATATATAATAAAATAAACGAATGACATAATTGTAAGTCAGTCAATTATTTTTTTATAATATGTATTAACATTATTATTATTAGTATCTCTTAAATAGTAAGGGAATCATTAAAATACTCTCTGTAGTAAACACATTTAAATAAAACACTTAACGGTTTAAAACACGAAATATATTTGATAACTTATTTACACATTCAAGTCTACCCGTGACCACGGCTGCTGCTAAGGGACAAAAGCGTCGGGCCGTAGTTAATGTGTAAATAAGTTAAACTAATATATTTTGCCTTTTAAACCATTACAGTACCTATTTTAATTAAATAAAGTAATTATTATCGTATTATTCTTTTCGAGACTGAACTTCACCCATTGTAAAAGGTGCAGGCAATGTAAAATTCTATCAAAATCGATAAGGCCGTTTTGAAGTAACAAACATACTTTCTCACTTTGGCGTTTTTATATTAGTATAGTATGTAATTCGTACCGGATGATCAATTGGTATATAGTGTGCAATTTGCCACTTGTCGTCACGAAAGGTATCAAAGTTATCTTCAAATATCGTCTCGCCAGCGCACACTTCCCTACCCCTGACCTTCGTAGCCGTCTCACCGCATTGGGGACCGCGAGCATTTGGATCCACCAGGGCTGAAATATTATGAAATTATATGCAAACATTTGTAATTTCCACATCCTGACCCTGTAGCTTAATTGGTGGAACAATTAATTTGTCGTGTGATCAAGTCCGAGATGTATCGCAATTTTTCTCAAATATTTATTTACATAATTTTTTAATGATAGAGGGGAATTTAAAATCTTGTGTTTCAATGGGTGGTGGGTCCAATTTTCCCCCCCCTTTTTTTTTTTTCCCCCCTTTTTTGATTTCGTGTGGAAATCTGCATATTAAATGAGCGGTAGGAACGGACCGACCGGGTCACGAAACACCGTCCACAGATGAAAAGCTTTTTGTTTGATCACGTTTCGGTTTCAGTGTGTAAATTTCCAAATATCCAAAGCCAAGATAACAAGGTACTCACAGTTAACAACGTAAACTCGATTCATTACACAATAACCAGGCAAGGTGAAATTCGAAATTCCGTCGCTGTTCGGTCTTCCAACATCGCCGAATCCCGTCGACACAAACACATGGTAGTGTATCACTTGGTTCAACTTTAATTCAACAAAAGGATCTTCGAAGAGCCAACCACCGAGTGCCTGCTTCGCCCCGAAACCCCAAATACGTCCAACAAGGTTTTCTTTTGCAATGGTCTTCGCATTTTCTTTGTAAAGCAGGCCATCAAAAAGGAACGAGGTAAGGGGGAAATTATCACTGCTATCTATATAACAAAAAAAAAAAAATATTTATGTTTTAACTCAATTCCTACTTTAACAGTATAGTTAAAAATAATGCTGGCTGTAAAAAAAAGTTCAATATTAATTTGACAGTTCACGCGCGATTCGATTTGAATCTGTTTACTTATAGTCTATGGGTAACCTCAGTTATAATAATAGACAAACGCGACCACAGTGCTGGTTGATATCTATATTTCTATAATATTATCTATGGGTATTATTGGCGATAAAAAAATAATTGTTTTTTTTCTTGTTTAGTAGTTTTAATTATGAAATAAAAATCTCAATTGAACATTGCAATTTGGCGTTTATTGTGTATTGTGAATTTTAAAGTTTTCGTTTAAGTTAGTACATTAGCGTGAGATGGAGTTGTAATATTCCCTAGGTGACGCAAGCCCCAGTTGAAAATGAAATAAAATAATTTATAAGAAAAAAAATAAAAATATAAGAAAAAAATCAATTTAATTCGCATAACGTAATATGTATATAAATCTATTTAATAAATATTTTTATAATATAATGAAGTCGATGCCCCTTGGAAACATTCACATTGCAAGAAAAAAAGAATCATCAAAATTTAACAAACAAAAAACATACATACGTATTGAATTGAAAACCTACTTTTTTGATGTCGGTTAAAAAATACCTGGTAAAAATACACGAATTCCTTTTGGATTTAATCCCTGTATCGTAACTTCTGGGACCGTATATTGTGCCCGAATGGGTACAAATACGAATATTAAGCACAGTATAGCACCAACTAGGAACGACATTTTGCAACTGATCCTTGGAACTGGTTTGATAATCTACAGAATAAGGGTGCGTTTACAAATTGCGAGTATAGCGAGATACAATCGTTCGTTATTTTTGCTAAAAGAAAAATGCACATTTTTCTAATCAATAGAGATATATATACATAGGACGTTTTACATTTTTCTACTTTACACTTGAAATTTGAAAACAGTAATTTAATTTATTCTGATTACTTTTCCTTGGGCGTTCTTTTTGTCGCACAATTAAAAAGATGAAGACGTCTTTGACCTTCATAATGACGGAAATTTATAGAGACAGTCCCAAATAATAATTCTAAGGAATGCGAATTACGAAGCAGGATAAAAAGCCTCGTTAGAAATTGTTTTCAATTTAAAGGTGTTTATTTTTTATACTTTAATCGCTACCGCTTTCTATGTGTTATAAACCTAAGGTCATTTAAAAGTAAAAAATTAAACATCTTGAATTGACCTTAGATAACGTCACTCAACAATAATGTATAGTATACACATTTTTTATTGTGTAATTATAGCTTTCGTAAATAAACATGTATTTTAAAAATTAAACGCCACGACAATATTTTAGTTACTAATTTTAAATTAATTTTCAAACAAGTTAAACTAAAATATACCGCGTTTTAAACCGTTAAAGTGTTTTATTTAAATGTGTACTACTCGCGTAAACTACAGACAGCGGGTTTTTGTTTGTATTTTGAACTTGCTCATATACAGGAAGCAGTAATAAAAAAGGCTTGAAAAATCGCGTTATTTTATGGAGAAGACTGGCGCAAAAGACGTAATATTTGGAGGATGAATGTTTCCAGGGCTCCCTCAAAGCACCGTAGAGGGCTGGCGGTGTGTTTAGTGGTTCTGGTCGGCTATACGATTTACCCTACCCACGTCACACTTGCCCGACGTAGGCGTCTTAGCTTCACACCAACAGTAAAAAAAGGATGAATGATGAAACAACACATCTTTTCTAAAAGATGGGTTCTAAATAATTATGTATTAAGAATGACCCAACGATAGGTCCACTGATCATTTAAAATACAAGGAAAAACCACAGTTAATAATGATTTAATAAACAACAATTAATACTTGTCATTGACATGTTTTCCTGTTTGTATGACTCAATCTCAAATTATAATTATCATACGAATATTAATAGCTTATTTATATTTTGGCAGAAAACGAATACAAAATAATTACAAGTTTGAGAACATCTCATTATATTTGAATAAGATTTATCGACGATATGTCAATGTTTTCAAAGCGTCTTATCTTCTTGCAGTTGTAAACTTGGCTACGGTTCTCAATGATAGATTTAGATTGCTACAATTTTAACATAGTCCACAATCAGAGTTGGTTGTGTCCAAGTTGGGAGCCAGTTCATACGGGCACCCCAGAAGTCGCGAGCGGCCTTTGGGTCACTGTTTCTCCATGGTTTTCCATAATCAGTGACGACGTCGTCGGGAAACTCGTAAGTTCCGCCGACAGCTACGCCAAGGCTTAGAGAAAACTGCAAAATAAAAGTATGACATGTAAAATTTTAGTTTTAACTCGTTCAAAAATAGTTTGAATGTGTCTTAATTTTTTAAGTATATATGCAAATTGAAATTAAAGAAGTATTATTTAGTAATAGAGGATGAGGAAGTTGAAATAACCCCAGCGATGTAACATCTGAACTAGATGCGTGGTCGACTTATATTAGTTTTAGAAATCGGAAATCCACAGACTGAACCAATAACGCGATTAAACTTAACGTCTTTTTTATCTGTGGTTCGTAACCCGGAGAGAATTTTGATATTAGTTTTGGTAAGAAACATCTTGGACCCGATGGGAGTCGAACCCACGTTTCAAAACGTTATTTGATCCCTCAAGACTACGCAGTGGGCAAAGGATTTTTTATGATGGGTATAAGAATACCAGTTCATTAAACGGTGCTATCTTAGGACCGGATAGCAGGGTGTACCACTCGCGCCTGCATGACTTAGGAAGCCAAGACCTTAGACCAGCCGCACCAGGTCGAAATGTTACCCATGCTTTGTTATCAACTGCCATCTGAATGAGCCCTGTTGAATTACAGAATATTTATTTAAGTAAAAAACAACATACATACAATATAAATAACATACAGTACATCAATCCAGTCTTAACCTGGACACCCTTTTGACTAAATAACCTGTGCTTGTTTTCCAGCTCTTCCGTATTCCATTAATTTGAATGGTGATATTTTTACTATTATTACTTTAACGGTTTTAAACGCGATATATTTTTGTTAAACTTTTTTGAGAATTATTTAACTACGGCCCGACGTTTCGGATTCTTTGCAGCAGCCGTGGTCACGGGGAGGGTTTTCATAGTATAGTGCATACGGTATCTTGCTATAGCTTATGCATTTTTTTTAAATATACATATTTCAGATTGAAAATAATACATATAACGATCTCCTCCATTGCATGCATTGAAAACATTAAGTAAATGCCCTCATGACGGTTCGATATCCGACAGTTTTATTTTCTAATCTAAGTATATTTTGCGATTTCTTAAGTATTTATTTGTGTAATGTAAATAAGCAAATCAATTTGACAGTATATAGCATAGTAAACTGGCAAAGTCTGATAGTACCAATGAAAAGATAAATTAAGAAAATCTAATCTCATTTCATCGTCTTTTGTTTTATGAAGCAAGTTTACACCAAAATAACGTTTTTTTTTTTTTTTTTTTTTTACTTGTAATTTAACAGAACAACATCACTGTTAAAAATTTCATCTATGCATCTATTGAGGAAGATAATCATTACCTACGTAAAAAAATGTATTTCGTCTTTGAATTCTGATACACTTGAACCAGACAGGCAATCAAAGTAACTCTAAAATTAGATTACATGGACGTTCTATTAATCATGTTTAAATAAATAGATCTACTATAGTATCTACTATAGTTACCTGGGGTCCAAGTAAGGGAATAAACATGGAAGTCATCACCCCAAGAGCCACCGTCTGTCCTTCGATTCTTATAAAAATCGAAAACACCTTTACAGAAAGAGTTAAGAATGGGTCTGCTCTGCAGGACCTGTAAATTAAAGACATCTTTACGCAAATTACGTAGATATGACAGTAAAATTACACAAATGTTATTGTCCACTTAAAGAATTATTGGCAAATATAGAAATTCAAGTAAATTCGCGACTTTCGCGACCACTTTACCAAGTTACTCAAGTTTTACGCGTTTAACCTTCCATCAGGGAAGTGGTCTTTTAAACCGTAGTTGTACTTGCTGCTTAAAGTTTTGAGTGTTTTGTGAGTTTCGACAAATACTGAACATATGTCACCCATTTGTAATGGAGTCAACTCAAAATTCCAAGGGGCGAGTACAACTAGGGTTAAGATAGCTTCTGTCTGGTTAGACTTGGAAGTTAATTACCATACATTCTTATCTCTTATGTTACAAAACGTCTTATTTAACCATTTTATTAACTCACCTCACTGCTGTAGTCGGAGTTGTTCATATTCTTATTTCCCCTAGCCATGGCTATTTTGATGATTCCCGATGAATAATACATGCTCCCGTATTTGTTCCATAGTGGTTCTAAGACGATCTCTAAAAATATAGTTAATTAGTTTTAGATGGAAAAGCCTAGTAGTTTAATCGCGTTTCGGTCTGTGGTCTTGTTGTGATGTAATACGTGCTGGTTTGTCCTCATCTATTAAAATAAAAGGACTGTAAACTTACGATATTAATATCTATACGAGTTTTGTTTTTAATTTGTTTTGCAGTACAAAATTTAAAATTTCTCTGATTGAGTACACATCTTGCTCCTTCCTACTTCATGACTACCATTTCTATTAATTTATCTTTTTCATCTTAAAGTTAAATAATCTTTGACAAAGTAAAAATATTCAGAAAAAAAATATATAAAAATTAATTTCTCATTTTCCCTTTATGGACTTGATCTATTAATTAGTTTTCAATCTTACTCGACTGTGTTAATTGAATTCTTATAAGGAACTCTTATGTTATTAACATACCTGGATATATCCAATCTCCAATTGGCATTTTAGCCTTAATATGTACAGTGCCATATTTGAAAGCTATAAGGGATTTAACTCGTCCGCTGGCGATGGGAGGCAAAATCACTGGACCCATCGCTTGCATTGAGCATACGCGACCCGTGCATCTATAAGGAAAAAGTAGAAAAAAGAAGGAACATCAAAATTTATTTATGAGAAACAACAGAACACGTAATAAAGTTTATCAAATTGATGATTAAACCATGATAATGAATGTATGATACAATTTCACAAGCAAAATTGGTTTATTTTTAGTAATGTCCATTTCACTTTTTGAATTACTTTTTTTTTAATGTTTTATCTCTTTACACGTGTGGTACTAATCGAACGCTTTTCCCGCAATTTGAAATATCGATTTATATTATGATCTCACATAAATTTCCCGCTTGTCCCTTGATTTGAGAACCGGTAGTAAATGTAAGTTTAGAGTCTTTCGGTTTTAACTGATGTGACGTTCATAAGTGTACCTAGTGCTATATTAATAAATGATTTTCGACTTTCACTTTGATTGTCTGCCGATTAACGTGTATAATAAAAAAACACTTACAGACAGCATTTTTCTTTTAACGGTTAAAAAAGAAACATCGGGCCGTAGTGAAAATAATTCATCAGTTAAAAGTGTGTTGTTTAAGTTTGATTCTTATGTATTAAAGGTATGTACCCACTATTGAGGTCTAATGATCCTTTATACAGGGACTCTTCGGTGAAGTCGTATAACTCGGTTAAAACAATTGGCTGGATGTAGAGGTTGCCGCCAGCAACGAAAACAGTGCCGCTGTCAATATTCTGATACGATACAAAGGGATGTTCCTGTAACAGCAGTTAATTATATTACAGTAGAGAAGGAAGTACTACTATAGTATTATCGATGTATACCGGCACGACTTAGTAATGCAGCAACGCGGTAAAACGTGGTAAGAAATGTATTTGTTTTGATCAAAGTTTAATTATATTCTAATAAATAGCAATGTATACAATTCAATTAAAATCCTATATATTTTAAAATTACATTTTCGTACTTCAGATGGCGCTTTGCAGTCTTGGAGATCTCACTTTGAGTTGCTGCGCTAGCGCAGTAAGGATATTTCACATGAAAATAGTTTTAGTTGAAGCTAGGCGAGTAGAAGACGTCAAAGATTTTCATTATTTTAATATTGTATATGTTTTTCAGTACATTAAAATTAAAAAAGTACGTTAAAACTAATGATTGGCAACTAGGTTTTGAAATGATTTTATTTTTGCTATGAGGATAAATATATTAAACTCACGTCAGTACTCAGTACACAATACTCAGTCAAAAATTCCTAAAAGAGAACGTCACTTATGAACGTAACGTTGATGTACAAGTCTTGACTCCTAGCTGTACTAAGGTCGTGCAATTTTCTTTGTCCAAACTTACTGGATGGTCAAGAGGTATATAATGTTGCACTTCCCATAATTTGGGATCAAGCAGATCGTCAAAGTGTTCCTCCAATAAAATATCGTCAGAACACAACTTCCTATTCGGCATTTCAGTTAACAAAACGTCTGTGGTACACTTTTTCTCTTTCTTTATTGATATTTCTTTGCGATCAAATAATTCTGAAAATAACATTTATGGCGATAAAACACTTTTTAAATAAATTTGTGTAGGATACTCTAGGTCATTACCAACAGCTAGACACAGTCTTCGCGGTGCTCCGGTGTGGTTTGGTATATTTTAACAATAACCGCTACTTTGAAAACTTTCATATTTTTCACACGATGGCGCTATATAAATTAAAAATTGATTTTAGATTGAAAATTGCACAAGAAGTGCTTATACCAATAGTTAATCGACGATGACGTGTAGGACGCTGTAGCCCAATCGGTTAGAGCTGTAGCACGTCAATTCTTGCTGCTGACGTAATTTTTTAAATGTAAAATCGATTTTTAATCACCGCTAAATCGGAACAAGGCAACATGTAACCGTCTTGGAAAAGGTTTTAATTTTCCGAATCAGTTATATACATACCTTCAACAATGAAAGTCTTAGTTTTTTCATAACCGCTACAAGAAAACTGCTTCATGTCATCAGTACTAAGATTGTCACCGATATGAGCATTATTGGTTCCAAAAAATATCTCATAATTAATTAGATTTCCAATTTTTAATTGTATATCCGGTTCTTCGTAAATCCAATATCCGTTTGTTTCTTGGAATACAAATTGTCGAAATTGTCTAAAAGCGGTTGAAGATGAATTTGTTTCATAAATATTCGCCATCATTCTAATAAATATTATCTTTGGATCGCCTGAAATAACCAGATCACATTATAATATATTATTTGCTAAAGCTGTATCACTGTAATGGGAGTAAAAAACCATTTACCTCATAAGAAATTGCAAAGTTGGGCATATAACTTATGTTGGAAGGCGGATTATTGTAGATCCTGCAGTAGTCATCATAACAAACACGACGAGGGTTCGATTCACGTCAGATCAAGTCTCAGGTCGGATCTTTTTGAATAATTTGTACATTAAACTCGGCTGGCCAATGGCCAAAATCAATTAGTCTTGGGTTCGATCTTCACTGTCCAATATCTAATCTAGCTATATTATTTCTGAAACATGTTGGACTTCGTCTTTATAAATGGATGATCGGAAAATCGAAGTACCGTCCAGGTTACGAACCACAGTGCACAGATCAAAAAGCCGTGAAGTCCCTACAAGGTATTGGTTTTGGTCCATGGACTCCCTACTATCCAAAGCCAAAATAGATCGACAGCGTATAAAAGATATAATTTATCCATCAAAAGAAACAATTTAATCCGTTATAGAACTGAACTTACATAATATTGATAAAAGTATACATTTTTATTCTTTTATTTTTTGAAACATACCTGGCATATGAATTCTAAATCCTTTAGGCTTGAAAGCTTGTACTGTAACGTCAGGTGGAAACGTTCCATTTTGCGCAAGACATTCGTGAGTACAAACTGAAATTATTATATAAACAAAGTAATGAAGAACTTGGGTGGAGGCCATTTTGTAACTGTCTCATTGACCGTGCGAAACTCAAATGCGTACCAATGCGGATAAACACAACCGACGCTTGCGCATCAAAGGTCAATTAGTATTATATGTAAGATAAAACACGTTTTAGTAGTATGTTATATTTATTTATATTAATACATAGTCGCCGAATCATTTCGCTTTATGTTTCTACCATCAAAATTTTGAGAAGCTGACTTAAGTTATTGATTAATAAGACGGACACAATTTTGAGTCCGTTTTATTAATCAATTTAATTTAGAGGACAATTATATTTAATTTCTGATTAGACTAAGAATATCAATCAAAGTGCCTAATGCAATGCTGGACATGCGTTTGCCATTAAGAGAGAAAAAAAGAAGAAGCACCTCCAGAATTAAAAATAGTCAAATCAAAACAAACATATTTAATTTACAAGAATTTTATTCATGTTTATCACATTCTATGAAATATAATGAAAAACACAACAACAATGTTTAATTAAGTATTGAAGAATTTTAACGGTTCAAAGCGCGAAATATATTAGTTACTTTTTTAAACTTTAACATTAGAGATACCCTCGGGAGACAGCAGAGCATCTATAACGTCAGGCCGTTATAATGAAAAATAAGAAGGTAAATAACAAAAAATATAAATAGTAGTTATAGTAAAAATTAATTATAGCAATAGTAGTAGTTTTATAAGTAAATAGTAGTTAACTTATATATTTTACGTTTTAAACCGTTAAAATTATTTTATTAACACGAAGTTTAATTTCATTTTATGCTGTAAAATTTATTTTTTTTATTCTTTATCATGGTGAAGTCATCACAGAGCATAAACTCTGACGGAATCTACCCTCAATGGACTAGTGTCAGCGAACCAAGTGGGAAACCATTCGTCCCGGTTTTGCCAGAACTGCAGCATGGCTTTTGCTGAACGGTTCTTCCAGGGCTTATTGTGAGCATCTGGGAACTCGTGGATTCCACCAACTCGAAGACCGAGAGATATATAGAACTGTGGAAAATATACATTAATTTTTTTTATATTAATTATACCAAGTATCAACTGTTTTATTTTTTGTGCTCTGAAAACTACATTAAGAATTAAATTTTGCCATAATCATCGTGTTTTGCTAGCCCATTTATTTGATACCCATAATGAGCGGGGGTTGGGGAAAAATATATTTTGTTTAGGCGGCCATCTTGGATTTATAATGTTTTTGATTTTATTATATTGTATTGTCATCTAAATTAAATGTATGCACTGAATTTGAGATCAATATGACAACGGGAAGGTGCTTAAAAATAAATTTCTAATTTTGACCTAAATAAATAAATTCCGTACGGGTCGAGCCAAATAAAACTGTTTAAAAACGGATCTTGCAAGTTCGCAATATGTCGCATAATGTCGCAAACATTTATTTAGATCATTTAATGAGGAACCATTCTATTATACATGTTTTTTAACGGTGAGCGGTTAAAGTAACTGCTTTTTTTGACAACTATTAAATTGTTCAAATGTAGTATATAAATTAAATTTTGAAAACATTTCACGACACGGGCAAGACTTGAACCGTCATTCACAGCGTTCCGTGCTGTTGCTCTAAAGTAAATTGTAGTGATTAGATAATGCACTTTATATAAATATAACTTTGAATAAAATCACCTCACGTCAACGGTAAGTCAAAACTTTATTTCATGAAAAATATGAATATTCTTATATCGATATTACTTGGGAATATATATTTTTCAAAAAATAAAAGTAGTAAAATTAATGTTACCAGTTCATCAAATGGCGCCATAGCCGATCCTGTGAGCCATCTTGAGGCTGCTCTAACGTGGTGTTTTCTCGCTTCTTGGTAAAAACCCTCACCAGGGTCTACCTCACCATACTTATCGCCATCCACAAACAGTTCGATTATATCTAAAATAACATGAAATACTGTCTGTAGTTTATATAGAGTACTATAGATTTAAAATAAAAAACCCTTTAACGGTTTAAAAATCGATGATATAATATTTACATAAAATACTTTAACGGTTTAAAACGCGATATATTAGTTAAACTTATTTGAAAATGATTTTTAACTTCGGCCCGACGTTTCGGATGCTTTGCAGCAGCCGTGGTCACGGGGTCTCCCCGACAGAGCATCAAAATGCTGCAAAATTGCAAACTATATTTCGCGTTTTAAACCACTAGCGTGTTTAATTTAAATAACATTATTTGTTTTATGAAAGATAATTACTTTCTTATGAAATTTTATTTAGTATTATTATATAAGAGCTGAAGAATATATGGGATACTCACCTGGTTTCCACACCAAAGTATAATTGTGATAATCCTTATTCCAATTATCGTATCCAACCTTTTCCTTTAAGTACATGCTCCTAATAAAAAATATTGATTGTACATACATATAAATTAAAAATCGATTTTAGATTAAAAAAATAAAATGTGAAAAATATTAAAGCTATCAAAAAGAAAACCACGGATACATATTTCGCGCTTTAGCACGTCACGCATATTAAATATAGGTACGACCTGAACGTGCAGTTATATATATAGTTGGTAAATAGTATAAATCGCGTTTAAAACCGTTAAAATTGTTTAATAAATTAGTTTTAGTTGACAAAGGCTATTCTCAATAAATGCTCTAACACAAAAGATATTCGAACAAACAATTCGAACCAGTAGTTTATGACGCTTTAAAACAAATAATCTATTTAGCTTGGTATTTTAGTATAGATTACTTTAAAATTTACAACAAATAATATATGTCATAAAGTGAAGTTTTTGTCAATTCACCCAAGCTGGACGTAAAGTGCGTTTTATTCGTAGACATATGGATATATGAAAGCTTAAAGTTATGGAAGTAAATAGTTTAATCGTAGTATCGAGTGGATACCTAAACGGTTCTGTATCTGACATAACTGGTCCACCGACGAGCTTCTTCGCGAATTCCACGTTTCCCTTAACGAGTGCGATCCTCAACAATCCGGAGGCATATCTCCTCGTTCCGTATTCGTAGAAGCGCGGCTCAAGTTGAATCTCTGAAATAGCCCGACGTTCGATGGAATGGAAAATATTCATATTAATATCGACTAACAGTGAAGTTTGAATAGCGCCGCACTATAGTTCATTAAAAACGGCTTTATTTATTACCAATATTGTTTTTTTTAGAAAAAACAGAAAAGCATAGGGCTCACATGGTAGGCAGGATACCCTAGTCCCCATCAAACATGATGTGTTTATTCCTATTTTGGTCTTGGATATTCGGAACAGACTTAAACCGATATGCCATTAAAGTTGACGGTTTTAATATGTTGGTCGAATTTCAAAATTTCGACCACCATTATATCCAGAATTTCTAGATGAAGTCCAACATGTTTTAGAATAATTGATAAGATAAATGTTGGACTCAGTGGGGATTGAATCCATGGCCCGTACCTTATTTGCTATATATTACTACCATTATACCAACGAGCCTGTCAAATTATAATAACCCCCCTTCCCCCCGGGGCACCTGGTCCAACCCTGTTTTTTCTATCATGCTGATTCTATTAACAATTAGATTTGAAACTGTCTGAATGTTTCATGATAATAAATACTTAACGATTTTCCCATATTATTAGCTCGATAAACGTTTAAAAATCTTTTTAATGAATTTCTACCTGGAATAAGCCAGTTTCCAAGAGGCATTTTCGCTACAACCTCTATTTTCCCGTACTTGAAGCTAAAACTTCTTTTGCTGTTTATCTTTCCCGTGATTATAGGTGGTAATATTTCTGGGCCGGCAGCTTCTCGGTAGCAATCTGGTGTTCCGATTTTACCAGTACATCTTAAAATAAATAATAAAAAAACTTAAACAAAACTGAGTATAAATTGTTTTTCGGGCTAAAGCTAAGTATCTCAGGCTTAAGTTAGGTTGAATCTTATGAAAAATTTAATATGAGTTTAAGTTTATAATATTATTCCATTTGTAATACTTTACTTGAGAGTAAGGTCCAAAGCCTGCCAGATGAAGCCATCACCGTATTTTGACTCCAAAGTCATTGGTTCGATTATTAGTTTTCCATCCCTTGTCCGAATATTTTTGTCGTATAAATACACGTTGAATGGGTAATCCTGAAATTAAAATATACATTGTTAAATGCTTAACGGTTATAAATTAAAAATCGACTATAAATTTACGACATCCACAGAGTTCCGAGCTAACCAATTGAGCTACAGTGTCAGTGATCGTATTTTTTTTATTTACAATATTTTTTTAATATATATAGTTCCATCATGTGGAATAACATGTGAAAAATATTTAAAGTTTTCAAATTTATCAGTTATTTTCGTCTAAATATCGGTTTCCCTACATCCAGCATGAGTAGACTCAATAAAAAAATTTAAACAAAAAATAATATGACAATTTTAAACTACCCGCATGAGTGGGAAATGATATGGATATTTTTTAGGTTAAAGTTTGAATGAAAAATGAATGTCCTTAAAGTAAACTATTAATTATAATTATGTATTATTGAATACATAATCAAAACTCACAGGTGGTCCAGGCATTTTGATTTCCGGTGTCCATATTCTGCCCTTATCAATGTCCCCGTCAAAGGTATCTTCAAATAGCAATTGTCCCTTGCAGACAAAGCCAGGTGTTGTAACCTTACTCAAGGATATCTCGCAAGGGTATTTGTATGGATCTTGGCTGGCTTCTGTTGTTGGTTTCGGCTTTGGCGCCTCTGTTGTCGTGGTAGGGGCCTCAGTTGTCGTGGTAGGCGTTTCTGTTGTCGTGGAAGGCGGTTGTGTAGTTGGGGCAGCTGTTGTTCCATCGACAACGCTTACTGGATTACCCAATTCGTCGACGTAACCTGTTAAACAATACAAAATATACAGGTACAGTTTATACATGTATGTCGCCGTCGCCGCGACTTCCCCGCCGTGCGAGTTTACTGCGACACCTCTCCCATCCGCTCTCCAGACTCAATAGAGTCCCACTTCCTCCGCTTTCGCAGGGCTCGCCTGAGACCCTGGACGCGATGTTTCGGTCCCTGGCTGGGGACGTCCCACCTGCGCCGCGGGGTTCCCCGAGGGCGCTTCTTTATTCTGATGCGATTGCTTATGCAATCGTTAGGAAGCAAGTAGCGTTCTCGGATGGCCTACACGCGGCGGTCCGGACGTACCTTGACAGGGTTGAGGCAGAGCTAAGGGCCGAAGGCCTGCTCAGCACTCCCTTGACGCAGGACGAGTCGGCAGTTGCTCATTGCAAATCGCACGCTCGACCCCCTGCGTCGCCCCCGTCCCGAATCCCCTTCTTCACCCGACCGCGAGTCCAAGAGGCCCTGCCAGGACTCGTCCTTCCCGTCCCTCCCGGATCCCCTCTCTCAGCGGGACCCTCGGTTGCGGCGTAGGCTCGCGCTCCCCGTTACGGAGCCCGCCGCTACTGCCGCGCCCGTCGCACCACCCGCGCCAGCCTTGCGCGCCGCGCCTCCGGCGCCCTGCCTCCGCGCCGCACCGTCCGCGCCCGCCGCCGCGCCTACCGCCGCGCTCGCCGCGCCTGTCGCGCCCGCCGCCGCGCGTATCGCGCCCGCCGCCGCGCTTGCCGCGCCCGCCGCCGCGCTTGCCGCGCCCGCCGCCGCGCTTGCCGCGCCCGCCGCCGCGCCTGCCGCATCCGCCGCCGCGCCGGCCACTGCCCTCGGGGTTGATGCGCCACTCGCACCTGCGCCGTCCTTTGCGCAGATGGCCGCTGCTCCTACAGTGGGACGCCAACCCACCTCACCTCAACCGAGAGTACCAAAAGCCGCCACAGAGAGGTACCCGCCATTAATTGTCGAGACACTTCCGGACTGGGTGGCCCACTTCCGTTCTCTCAAAAACGCCTTGGCCGCGCACAAATGCACGGCCCTTCGGAAGGGGGGTCCGCTTCACCCCGCAGGATGGCGACGAATATCGCATCATTCAGAAATACCTGACGGAGCTGGAGCGGACAAATGGAGTGTCCTGGTTTCGTATTCGCTCCCTCGGAGATCTTAAAGTGGCCATTCGAGGATCCCAGTGGAACAAACCCCGAGGAAATCCTGAAGGAGTTGCGGGGATTGGGTTTCTCTCCTGAACATGCCCAACCCATTCGGGCTACTCAAGGGCGACCCGGCTGCCTATTCCTCGTAATCCTTAAGAGGACACCCGAGCTCACCCCGGCAATATACAACGTTAAGGAGCTCCTCTGCATGCCAGGGGTAACGGTGGAGGCGTGGCGAGGGAAGAGCGGACCGTCAAATGCCCATGCCAGAGATTCCGCCACTCCTCCCACCATTGCCACCGTCCACAAGCCTGCGTACGATGTGGCGGTGAACACCGTGCGACAGACTGCCCTCGACCGAGAGAGGAACCGGCGACCTGCGCAAACTGTAAGGGCGCGCACCCGCAACCACACTTCGTGTCCCGTATTTCCGCGGAGGCAAAAACAAGAAAGCGGGCCAAAGCTCCACTGTCACCAAGGACGCCCCAGGAATCGAACCCCGTCCCCAGCGGCGGAAAGCGAAAGCGAGAGCGACAGACAAAAGAAGAGGAGGGCAGAGAAGGAGAGAGCGAGAGAGAGCGTATCGCTGCTCGCTCCGACCCTCCCGCTCCCCCGCGCAGCTTGCTCAAACTTCGTCGGCCCGCGTAGCGCGGCCCGCCTGCAGAAAGCAAGGAGAGCGGTCCAGCCCGCTGCCACCGACCCTATCCTAACCACTGCTCTAACAAGCATTGTGGAAGCATCCCCCAACAGCGCTCGCCCGCAGGCGCACCTTCCGCCCCGAAAGCGGTTCCCAGCCGAGGCAAAACGGGTCAGAATTCCAGAATCCTGTTCTGGACGCAAACGGCCTAAAGCGGAAGGCCGCCTTTAAAAAATGCAACTGAGGTTGCATAACATGATTCCCTCTCAATGAGACGCACTTACCACGGAAGATAAATTCCAAGTACCGGGACTAATCTAGGCAGGAGCACATTTCGCCGACGGGTACGGCCTATCGCGGCCTCGCCGTGCTCAAAGGAGTAATCGGATCCACCAACGTCTCCCGGACCTGGACCTCTCGTTCGTGCATGCGCTAGAGTCGAACTGGAGTTCGCGGCCAACCGGTCCAATGGTCTATGACCCGGACGGAACTTTCGATACAGGATCTCCGCAAACGTTGCCCCCCCGGCTGCTCCAGCGGCGACTGGAACGCCAAACACGAACAAGGAATCCCGCATGCACGAACACCAGGCCGTCCTCTCCCGACCAGAGGCCGGCTACATTCGGCACCGGACGTTCCCACCCACTATCCGGAAATGACTCCCACAACCCCTCAACATCGACCTTCTCCTCCATCGTGCATCTCCTGTATCCTATCCCTCGATTCATCATGGACGAAACATTCCGTCATCTCCCTGTCATAGTACTTGACTCCCTCAACCCCCGCCTCCCCGCCCCCCGAGAGACGTACATAATTGGCATCTCTTTCGCACGATCCTCGCCTCCCTCGTTCTGCCGCCGACCTCCCGCTGCAAGTCGATCAGCTGGCCGCCACTACACAGCCATGGGAAGCCACCACCGTTCCACGGTCCACCGACGGAGCCAGAATCCCGCCGCACTTGTTGAGGCTAATTAGAAGGAAGGCGCACTTCGCCGAACCTGGCGCGGTCGTTGCCACGACTTAAGATAGCGATACGTCTGTTAGCGGAAAAGAGGCGGAGCTACAACGTATCAAGCGCAATGGGAGCACGTATCGGCGAGGCCACGACAGACTGGAGTAGCCTCAACAATTATGCCGAAGCCTGACGAAGACCGCCGTCCCCCGCGGCCGCTTTTGCACCCCGATGGCTCAAGGAAGTACGCCGCCCTGGATAGGGCCAAATCTTCGCGGAGCATCTCGACGCCAATTCTCACCGAACCCGCCGCTAACATCTGGAGGATACGTGAAGGCACCGAGGACCCGCCTTGAGATTCGCGTCGCCCAGCATCCCTCCAGACGAGGACCCCATCGCTTTCTCGCCGGGTCAGGTGAGAAGAGCTCTCCTCCGCGTCAAACTCAAGAAGGCCCCAGGACCCATACATCCCGAACATCGCGCTGCGCCACCTTCCACCGAACTTCGTCGTTGCCGTCGCACGGCTGTTTACGGCGATCGCGCGGCACACACAGTTTCCGGCGTGTTGGAAGGAAGGACGAGTCCGGATGTTATTAAACCAGGAAAAAGCTACTGCGGCGGCCAGCTATCGACCGATCACACTGTTGCCGTCCTTGTCGAAAGTGTTCGAAGCGCTATTGCTGTCTCGCTTTAACACTTTCTACACCCCGCGCCCCGAGCAATTCGGCTTCCGTGCAGAGCATTCCACAACGCTACAACTAGCCCGAGTGCTGCAGCCGCCTCCCCTAAACAAGAAGGGCGCAGCTGCTGCTGCATTCCTCGATATGGAGAAGGCGTTCGAGCGTCTGGCGCCGGCCTGATCGCGAAGCTCGACGCCATCCTCGTCCCCCGCCGCATCACCTCAATCCTATACTCCTTCCTCCACGGTCGCACCTTCCGCGTTGCAGTCGACGTCGACACAAGTTCGAGTCCCCGCCGAGTCACAGCGGGCGTTCCGCAAGGCAGCTGCATCTCGCCAACGCTGTACTCGGTCTTCACAGACGACGTCCCTCCCAGCACCAAGGTGGCCCTCTACCGGACACACAGCTTTCATCGCAACCTCACTGTCGTCCCGGCACGCGGCCATCAACTCCAGGCGCCTTAGACCTCCTTCCCGATTGGCTTCAAAATGGCGCTAACTGCCAATCCCGCCAAAACCAAGCCATTTGTTTCGGTCGCGGCATTGCGTCCCTTTCCTTTAATGGCACCGAAGGCTAAGCCGCGTCACGTACCTCGGCCTTACGATCGCCGGAGCCTTACTATGCGACTCACATCACAAGAGTGGTCGGTCAGCCAAAGCGGTCTTAGCCAAACTCGACCCATCTTATCCTCCAACATTCCCGTACATACAAAGAAGTCCCTGTACAATGTTTATGTCCGTCCCCACCTCACGTACGCCTCACCAGCCTGGTATGCGCTGGCGTCGAAAACAAACAAGAAACGCCTCGAGCAGTGCAAAACAAGCACTCCGGCGTATTACCAAGGCACCGCGCTACGTAGAAACTCATATCCACGAGATCTCGGCAAGCCACACTCCAAGAGTCCATCGTCCGGATGGCCGAGAAAATGTTCGCGAGGGCCGACTCATCGCGCGAGCAACATCTCCGGCGCCTCGCCCCGTGGCACACCAGACCACCGGACAGAAGATTCCCGCTACCGCGAGACCTCCTCTCCCCTCCCGACTCCCCGCCTCTCCCTCACAGCAGCAGACGGCAACAGCCAGTGAAGACACACCGGATTTGACCCCGAACGCCGATCCCGCGTCTTCGTCCGCTGGTCGCCTCGCTGGGCCTCCCCCGGGGTTACCGGGGGTCTCACCCGGCGGTGCTTGACCGCGAGACGCGGGGGCGTTCACCACCACCGACAGAACCCAACGACCGCCTTGTATTAGCAAGGCGCGCCAATCACCCCTTGCGGAGCCCGACAGGGCTGATCAAGGAACCCGCGCCCCGCAGGGCGCGGAAGGGAAAACGCACGGCACATGTATGTAATTAAACTAATTATGATTGGAAAATTGATTGTTTTCTTGGTATATATCCCTCACTTCCCTAATATGTCGCGTTCTCACATCCATCTGAAAACAGTTATATTAAACATGTGTAGAATCGTAAAAAATGATCTTTATGACCACTTAAAAAAGTTGTTTGGGTTCGCTTCGATATTTTTATTTTGCCCCCTCCATTTAGTGGCTATATACTATAATTTGGTATTCAGGTGTGCGTTACAGCCTCATACAGAACGAAGTTCGTATGTGTGTATTTATGAAATAATTGTTCAAGTATAAATTATAAAAATAAGTAAGTGAGTAAGGAAGAAAAAAGGTTGACTTAGTAAGTTGGTTATATTATTGCTTAAAAAGATATGTATGATAAAAGCTACGTAAAAATGTTATAGGTAGAAGCAAACCCGTTATCTTTTATCGCTTCTGCTTCCATGAAATGGGAACAATAATTTGTACATTCACAGGTATATACTATAAGTAGACCCCAAGAGACTTTCCCAAGAGTTATTTAACATATTTTAGTAACATACAGGAAGTTCTTACCATCGACAGTCCACTCCCCGTCGTCTTGTCTATAACCTAAACCATCTTTAATGATATACGTCCAGAAGTATATCTTGTCGCCAATTTTTAATTCCACATTATTATCTCTGAACACCCATTCTCCATTTTCGGCTTTGCTGATATCTGCGGACCATGTTCCGCCTTCCAAGCCATCCATTTCTTCGTTCAGCTTACCATGGAATGCAGCCAACGTGAAGCCATCGTCTGAAAATGTATTATAAGACCTTATAGGTAACTAGCTGTTACACACGACTTTGTATGCATCCCGTAGTTCTAGCAAATTTACACTTTACACATTAAAGACATTTTTAGATCGTTTAAAGAATAATCATTCTGTCATACATATTTTTTGGGTATCTCGAACTGCTTTCGCAGCGCACGCAACGGTAACCCACAAAGAAGAATAACAGTTTTTTTCCACATTTCCCACTCTTTCTTTGATCCTATTGGTCGCGGCATGATGTTTTATAACCGACACAATATAGTTTTTTCAATTTGAACCAGTAGTTCCTTAGCTTAGCAAGTTCAAACAAACAAACTCTTTCTTATATATATTGGTATAGTTAAACAAATAGAATTCAAATAAAACTTAGACATTTCAGCGTCCTAGTCATTTAACATTTGATTTGATTTCATTATGATGACAAAATGAATAAGTACTAAGGTTATAAGCTACGGCAAAACATTTTTTCATTTAGCTCATATTGTATTATATATATTTTCTGCGGCCATTTTGTTATGCTTTTTCCGTTTGTTCGAATAGTAAACAACGGCATACTAATTCGACATGGCAAGCAATCCATCGACCGGTTTCATCTTGCTATTTTTCCTTCTAACATATGTATCTCCATATTGTTAACGTTTGTGTAGTGTATATTTGAATATATAATAAATCGTATATTTATCACGAATAATAACACAATTGCTACGTTTTTATAATTGTACTTATAATTTGCAATCCCATTAGCAAGTTCAGCAAGAATAGTGATAGACAAAATTTGAACTTAAGAAAGGCTTCATAAAATTACTAATTCATTTGCGAGGAATTGTCTTCGTATGTATTGGCCTTTATTTCATTGTCAGTTGAGGTTTCAAATGTATCAATAAATAAGTTCAAAAGTCATAAAATGTAGATTGTCTCAAAATGCGTATTATTGTTTAAAAGACTTCTTTAATGACAGGACTGGCGGTGATATGAGTTGATCCTTACGTCATTAATTCACAAAAATGTATTAGTTTGTAAGACATGTTGAAAAAGCCTGACTGAGTTTCTTGGTGTTCTTCTTGGTTATGTTGCTCTTTTAAACAATCACGACGAACGGACAGACAAACATATTATTTCATCTTTTTTTGACGAATCTAAATATATTTTACAATTTTACAGAAAAAAGAGAAAAAACAATAATCCTACACCTAGGATTAGTGTTTTTAGAGCCACGCTTTTCCAGCGTGGGTTGGCGGGCTTTAATAACCCGTTGCTATAGAAACACAAACCGACAATTTAAGATATATAATAGTACATTAATTTTACGTTAAACTATCACAACATCACATTTGTACTAATGTTTCGTGGGCTAATCGTCTGTTAATTGCGTTTTGTGGTTACATACATTGGAATTCAATATTCGCTCCAAAATTACTCAGGGACAGCATTAGAATGGGTCCATGGCCCGCAAATTGGGGGGAGGAGGTGTACTGAGGCCCTGTTCCCAAAATCCACCACATTTTTTTATTAAAATAAAACTCTTCACCGGTTGAAAAACGCAATATATATTATAACGCGACTGACTGTCTCCCCGTGACCACGGCCGCTGCAAAGCATCCGAAACGTCGGGCCGAAGTTGAAAAATAACTTTCAAATAAGTTGAATATATCGCGTTTTAAACCGTTAAAGTGTTTTATTTTATTACACAATATATATTTATTGATATATGACAGAAGAGGACAGACAAGCACGGGGTTTGGATGGTAGGTGAAATACCCCAACCACATAACATTTAAACAAAATCTGTTGCCGACCTATTTTGGCTTCGGATATTCGAAATTATATACACTGAAAACGAAAAGCGATTAAACTTGACTTTTTCATCTGCTGACGTCGTTTCGACGGTTTCAAAATTCAACATCCAGATTTCCAGACGAAGTCCAAGATGTTTCAAAAAAACTATGAATTGACTAGAAGGATATTGGACCTAGTGGGGATCGAACCCAATAATCATTGGGTCGTAATTATTATATACATTGGTATTGCCTCTATTACACCGACGAGCCTGCCAAATATTGTTTAAATAAAACACTTTTAAGTAAACTCGAACAATACTGAGTATAAAATCGGTATACAATACGATTAACAACATTTTTACATTTAAATAAAACACTTTAACGGTTTAAAACACGATATATTAGTTAAACTTATTTGAAAATGATTTTTAACTTCGGCCCGACGGTTCGGATGCTTTGCAGCAGCTGTGGTCATTTTCAAATAAGTTTACTAATATATCGCGTTTTAAACCGTTAATGTGTTTTATTTAAATGTGTACTATTCGCGTCAACTATAGACAGTATTTAACATTTTTACTACCCGTACTTGCCTTGTATAGAAACTTTCAATCCTTTCGGGTAAATAGCTTGAAATTTCGCCCTTGGCACTTCATAAGAATGGACTAGATAAAAACTGATGCACAATATCGCACACTTTAGTATTTCCATCATTTTTCACTTCAACTTAAAATACAAACATGATACAATTAATGAAGATGTTGACAAGCTGGCGGTTGTCGGTAGAATAAATCTATAAGGTAACTGTTATTTATAAATTACAGAATACCGGATCTCTGATGTGTAGTTGGTTGGGCATGTATTATACGCTGATCTCAAGGTTACGAAGATTATGGGTTTTTTGATTTTTTACACTATTGCAAACCTACCGGCGTTGTCGGTATCTTGACAAAATGACAGGTGTTTTTAAAGTACTGTCTACTGGTCTAACTGGTCAAATAAAATTTTAATGTTACTACTAAACAGGTCGCCGGCGCATCTTGTCGATGAGATTAAACTAGACCTTATGGATTTAGCTGATTCACTACTATCTATTTTCCATTACCCTGTAATAAGGGTTGTCTACTCCTAACATTTTATAAAATTATTTAATAATGTTTAGGACAGTTCGCTATCAGACTATCGCTTGAGATTCACTGGTTGAAAGGCAACAAACACATTATTAAATAATTTTGTAAAATGTTAGGAGTTGACAACCCTTATCACTAAGGGGTATGGAAAATAGATAGTAGCCAATCATCTCAGCAAATAATTGCCCTGCTTACAAAATGCATACAAATTTTAAGGGTCAAGTTTTCAATATTCTGAGAAGTATGGTATCTATTATTAAGGTTCCGCACTAAGAATTTTTCGTGGTGTACTTTTTTAATATTTCTTATTATGAAAAAGATTTTATACTTGTGAAAATGTTACGTTTCACGAACCCACAGAGTTCGTTTTAAGCTATGCTTACGGGATCCTAAAACTTGGTGCTTCTTTTTTGTAACTAATTTTTAATGCTGGAGAAGCCTTTTGACATAATATCGAAGTAAAACACAGACAACGATCATGTTGCCTTAAAATCTAATAACTAAAGAATATTATGCTTTTAAGACTGTATGGATTTAAATTGTTTTCAAAATACTGTCCATAGTTTACGCGAGTAGTACACATTTAAATAAAACAGTTTAACGGTTTAAAACGCGATATATTAGTCAAACTTATTTGGAAATTATTTTTCGGATGCTTTGCAGCAGCCGTGGTCATGGGGAGTTAAAAATCATTTCCAAATAAGTTAAACTAATATATCGCGTTTTAAACCGTTAGTGTTTTATTTAAATTGTTTTCAAAATTTATGTAAGTGATAGTCGAAGGAAAAATTAAACTTAATAAATAAATAAACAGCAGTTAACGACGACTATTTATTTTAATTGTTTTTTTTAATTGTAGTAAAACAAAATGTTATTTCTCAATCAGTATCACAGCGTTTAAATGGCGAAGTATTGCAATTTTTTTTTAATTAATAGTAAATCCGTCGCAAATAAAAAATAAGTTTATTATCTTTAATTGCATAAACATAATTTTATTTAACTATCTATAAAGTAGTCTTTTGAATCACAATAAAACGGTCTTAAACTCTCACAAAGCGTATATTCTAACATAATCGACTTTCATGTTCGATTGGTACCACGATGGGAACCAGGTGTTCTTCGCTTGCCAGAAGTCATACATGGCCTTGCTGCCTCTGTTCTTCCATGGTTTATCTGAAGTATCTGGGAAGTCGTGGACACCACCAACACGAAGACCTAGACTTACGTAGAACTGAAACAAAAATATCATAAATCGATCTAATTTCTTATTTAAATAGAATTAACACGCTTAAGAGGATTTCTCGAGGACCCTACGAAAGGGCGTGTTAAGCGGGATAGGAAACATAAGTACGATATATTATTATGTATTAAATTATACATTTCATTAAATAACATATGTAGTGTAATTATAATTACGACATTTAATATGTATAATCATTAATTTTTGTTTGACAGAAACATTTTTGTCAATTTATCGAATTTTTCTATTTTTGATACCTTGAAATCTGTATTTTTCTTTCATCTCTATTTTTTTAAATGGTACGTAAAGTAGAAACAGGTAAGGCTAACTAACATTATAATATTTGACTGAGGTTGTGTTTGTTGTTTGTGATTTTATATTAAAAATTTCCAATATTTTTTTTTTTTCTCGGCTCCGTTCGTTTTAAACAGGATAACAAATCATTAGAGCGTTAAGAAATGTACGAAAATGTATCTCAAAAAGCAGGATAAGGTGGCATATTATGCGAGAAATCGTATTAAGCGCGATCGTCTTAAACGGGTTCTATGGAATCCTTAAGAAATTCCTACCAGTTGATCTAATGGTGCCATGACGGAACCCTTAAGCCAAGCTGCTGCATGAGGCACGGCGTGTTCTCTAGCGCTTGGGTAAAATCCTTCTCCAGCTTGTATTGTACCGTATTGCTCTCCATCCACTGACACATCTATGCCGTCTTAAACAAAAACAATTATATTAATATTAATTAAATACATATATAAAGCTGAAAAGTCCATTTCTTTGAACGCAAAATGGTTTGAATTGAAAAATTATTTTGTTTTGGTTAGAGCATTTATCGAGGAACGCTTAAAGTTATATAAAATCACGCTGCCACCAATAGTAGCGAAGAAATAGTAGAGAAGGTGAAGGAAATTATAAATCTTTGAGGGCTTCCGTTGCGAGCGCTGCTAAAACGGTTTTCGAAACAAAAACATATGATATGAAAGAATTATTTATCTAAATGCTAAGTAGACTAATGACATGTTACTAATACGACATAATGGTTGTTGGTTTGAGTTCGATTTCCCTAAAATTAAAAAAAAAAATTAACGTTCTATTTACATCGCGCACCAATGCTTTAAGAAGCTTAGCAGAATACCTATTCTCTAGGTACCTACCTGGTTTCCAGATCAAAGTATAAGTGTGGTAATCCTTATTCCAGCTGTCGATGCCAATTTTCTCCTTCATCAGATAAGACCTATAGGGCTCGGTGTCAGACAGAACAGGTCCCGCGTAGAGTTTCTTCGAATATGTTGGGTTTCCTTTAGCAAACGCTACACGGATGAGACCAGATTCGTAGCGCGCGTCACCGTAAACTTTGTCGTGTGGCTCCAAGTTTAATTCTTAAATAGATTAAATACGGTTAAAGATTAACTTGTAAGAAATATAGGACGCGTCCGACGTTATGGATATAATTATCACGTCAGCTATAATTGATAAAGACGAGGAGGAGGTTTGCGAAACCAAATTTCGATGTTCAAAATAAATATTAAGGCGCACGAAGTCGCTGGCATAGCTAGTTTAATATATACGCATCTATCGTGAAAAACTCTCTGAAAATGAAGTTCGTGTCACAAGACCTGGTATAAAAAGTAAATGATCCTACTAACTAATGATTCTGTTAAGAATAAATAAGGTTAGAATGATTATGTTTGATATATATGTAAATAATTTATTTCTTTTTAATTCTAAAGAGAATACGTTTGAATTCGAATGTAAATATCTATGATATTGCTAAATTTTACCTGGTATCAACCAGTTTCCGCCGGGCATTTTGGCTTTAATTTCGATCTTACCGAACTTGAAATTAAACCTGTTCTTGGTTGTCACTTTGCCTGTGACTACGGGTGGTAGGATCTGAGCCCCCCCATGCGGTTCGGTTGCATTCCCTGGTACCAATCGTCCCGGTACATCTGAAGGTATACATTTAATTTTAGAATAACTGTGTCGCTGTAATTTGTACAAAAAAATAATAGTAACATTGCAACTAATAACTAAACACATAAGCGGAGAATTATATTATATGGTTTTCTAAAAATATTATTGTATGTAATTGTAGTAAGTACCGATGTGTGGTATACTAGAAAAAACACGAAGATGTAGGTACCTAAAATACTGTCTATAGTTTACGCGAGTAGTACACATTTAAATAAAACACTTTAACGGTTTAAAACGCGATATATTCGTGGTCTCCCCGTGACCACGGCTGCTGCAAAGCATCCGAAACGTCGGGCCGAAGTTAAAAATCATTTTCAAATAAGTTTCACTAATATATCGCGTTTTAAACCGTTAAAGTGTTTTATTTACATGTAGGTCCCTTCTTTACGTTAGAAGTTAAGGTCAGTTTACACAGTATAGTATATTGTTATCGTTATTTAAATAACTCTTAATGATGACCATTTTCTGTTGTTTTATCTATAAAATGATTTACATACGTCAATGGTACAGACATACGCTTAACAGTTTATTTGAAACATTCGTTCATTTATTTTTAAGTACGTCGAGTCGTGGTTAAATATTTCACGTTTCGAACAGTTCTAAGTTAAATAACTTTATCTCAAATATTGTATTAGAAAGTTCAAATCGTGAATTTCAGTGGAAGCTTTTAGAAGCATTTTAAGTGATTCTTAAATTCGATTCAATCAAGAAACTTACGTGTTACTTAAATCGAGTGAGTCATCAAGGATACCTTCTTTAAATTTATCCTCAGTGAGAATGGGATAAATCGTCAACGCTCCTTCTTCTATATTCATTGTTCCATCAGATAAGTAAACGTTGAATGGATAATCCTGCAAAATGCAAAACATAAGAGACGAAGTTGTCTAAACTTATTTATTTTTTTATAATGTTATGAATTTAAATGAAACACTTTAAGGGTTTAAAGGGGTAAAAGGGGGAAACCCTCCGTGACCACGGCTGCTGCAAAGCATCCGAAACATCAGGCCGAAGTTAAAAATCATTTTCAAATAAGTTTAACTAATATATCGCGTTTTAAACCGTTAAAGTGTTTTATTTAAATGATACAAGACTATAAAACAGTTTGGTATTTAACAAGCTAGAAAAGTTATAAACTTACCGGCTGTTCAGGGAATTTCACTTCAGCTTCCCAATTAGATAAGTCTCTGACGCTTGGCTTGTCAAATTCTTCACTGAAGATGAGTTGACCAGTACAAACGTTTGCAGAACCGCGTACGACGGTACTTGACAACTTACAAGCCGGTCGGCTCGTTGGGGTCGGTGGTGGTGGATTATAGATTGGTGTTGGTGGGTTTGTACTGGACGTTGGTACCGGTACAGGCACCTTATCAGGATCCACTGGTTTACCATCTTCAGTTACGTATTCTGTAAAGTTCAAGGTCAAGGAGAGGTCACTTAAATTTCATTGACATAAATAAAATCAAATTACTTTTACTTTGCTCTTATTTGCCTTGAGCGCGAGAAATGAGATGAAATACCTACTTTTAAATAAAACCGATTAGTGAAACGAATTCGAATTCGACCCATATACCACTGGGGGAATCGGGATTTTTTTTACAATAAGAAAACATTTTCTTGTGTTCGCTCTATGCCATATAGTTGTTGACTTCAACACAAGTTTTAAAAATACTTTTAATAAATGAAAATAGATTTTTTTACGACACGGGCAGTACTTAAGCCAGCATCGACAGCGTTCCGTGCTGTTGCTGTAACCAAATGAACTTCAACCTATTGATACTTGCACCTCTCTCGCATTGTAATTTCAACCTTAACACTCGGGGTTTAAAGTTTATTGTCTTATGGCTGTGCAGTTTAAGAAAGTTTAGTTATTTATTAGTTTAAAATCATTTTAATCTAAAAGACTTTAATGTTGCTCCTTTCAACTTATTTTTCTAATTACCTGTAACAGTCCACTCCCCGTTATCCTGTCTGTATCCCAAACCATCCTTAATAACATAAGTCCAGAAGTATATCTTATCTCCTATGTTTAACTTAGCGTTACGATCTCTAAAGTACCACCTTCCATTCTTGGGCTTGGTGATATCTCGGGACCACTGGCCTCCTTCTAAGCCCTCCATTTCTTCGTTAAGTTTTCCATGGAATGCAAATAATGAAAAGCCATCATCTGCAACATAGACCAATAAAGATGACGTAGGTTTATTTATGTCTCTTTCTAACCCCCCACTTCTTTAAAACAGGGGGGAATGAAGTTTGTATTGAGCATGTTACAATTTTCAAGGTTGGTATGAAGACTATTTGTGACTAAAAATCCGTTAGTCTTTTCTGTGTTATAAATTGTGTCGAAGCCACGGAAAAAGGTAGTACAACATAATATCTAGTCTTGTTATAGCGCTTTTATTTACACGGTTTCAGGCCTGTTGTATCGTGAGTCTTAACTATTTTACATAACGCAGACATATAATGTTTACGTCTGTTTAAACGCGCTAATGTCAGGAACAAGTATATTACTTAGATCATTTATAAAGAAAGGCTAGGCTTTAGGCTATAAAACAAATAGAAACGATGGAAAATGAGGAATACTTATAAATATGTGAGGGCTTCCGTTGCGCTTAAAAACTTCTTTAAATAATCTAAAAATGTCTGTAACGATAGCAGACAGGCAGACATTCTTAAATTAGTAAAGTCAAGGTATTCCTTAATTAATTGAATCTAAAACGCTGCTAGAAAAAATAAACAAGTTCTCAAAGCGAGTTTTTGTGTCTCACAACAGCGATTTTGTTTTTTTATATTGACACTTCAAATGGCCACAGTTCAACGCCCGTTTGCCCGTTGAACCGATAAGTTGCTACGTCAAACCAACTTCACCAGCACTAGATAATTCTTATTTATTAGAGAGTATTAATGTAACATATATTATCGGCCTTATAACCTTTTGATTTCATATGTTTTTTCCTTCTACTGCACTATTATTTATTTTAATAAGGTTAATAAAGGTGAGAGGTAATAAACTTTTATTGCTTATTGATTATATATGCAAAGCTTCTACATTATACTAAGACTAAGAAGCTGAAGTAGTTTTTTGTTTGTTTTAACGCGACAATCTCAGGAGATAATGGTTCCAATTGAAAAACTATTTTTGTGTTAGTTGGACCATATATCGAGAAAGGCTTTAGGCTATAAAACAGGCTGTGACCAATCGAAAAAACAGGGAAAATTATTCATCTTCGAGGGCTTTCGCTGCAATAATGATTCAAGAAACCAAAAAATATGTATGAGATAAAGATTCGTCTTTAAATAATCTAAAAACAGTTCGCGAGAATGTATTATACTATCGTTTAAAATTAACTCGCAGGAACGACGGGTCGCGGACGACGTCGTGAGTAACCTACATGTAACCATTAAATTAAAATTATTGATTACTTATTGTCATATTAAAAAAGTCTAATTTTTATGTCTCCAAATAGCGATAAGTCTACATCGACTGTGTCGTGGGTCTAGTTTATACCCCGATTAGATATAGGGTTGGAACCCCGGATTAAGTGTTAGTTCGGTATTGAGATTTCTTCAAGCAAATTTCTAGCATTTAAATAACATGTGTCCGTTACATCTCGGAGTTTATAAGGTAAAGTAGATTATCGCCACTCATATAAGGTACATTTTAGACTCTCGTATTGAGGTTATGTGGTAGTACTAAGCTAAACCTTCCTTCGATGAGAGAGGAGTATCTGTGGTAAGGACAAAGGTAGACTTTTATTAATTAACTCCGGATCCGGAATTGAGGTGACATTCTTCTTGAGTTTGTAACCAATAAAACTGAGTAACTTTTTCAATTAATTTCAGTTTACAAGTTGACTTACTTGAACTTTAATTTGGAATTTTTCATCGGAGTGTAATTTAATCAAAGTTCAAGTTATCAATTTTGTTTTTGATACCTATGACATATGAATGTAGCGTAAATTTTGCAAATTTAGTACTTAGTACAATTTACTTACAAACTACTAGTTTTTAGAAAGATTTATAATATACACATACACAATTATCGCTTTACTTGCTACCCACTCTAAAATTATACTATACAAATTAATTCAATTTTCTGTTTAATTTAAACAAAATACGTATTACTTTGAACGAACTGATTTTTTTGCTTAGTCTACTGTTTATAGTTAGTTTTTTTTTACATTTGCACTACTTTCTACATGATATATTAAATATACAAAACGAAATAATGCAAGCTTTATCTTGATATTATATTACTATAATGTTAGTCGTAAGTAACGTGGGAAGTAAACAAGGAAAATACCTTAAAAATAATTAACACTTGATTCTCATATTGGAAAACACAGATTGTTCATAGTGGGTTTGAAAATTTAATTTCAAGATAAATTATTTAAAACATTTATATTTTTATAATTTCAACAAGCAAGAATTGCGTGAAACTTGACGGTTTCTGGGTTCGAATCCCAGGGAAACAATAAATTATTATTGCCTGGCGGGGAACACAAGTCTAAAAAAAACAGTTTCTTGCCTACTAATAAAACCCGTTCGGTGAAACGGACACAGAAATGTGTTCGGCCGTGCCCGGGGGGACAAGAGATTTCACACAAGTGAGCGATTTGAAAATCACAGTTTAAATTGGTTTTATATAAAATAAATGACAACAAAATCTTACCAGGAACAGATACCCTCAGTCCTCTCGGGTAAATAGCTTCTAAGGTAGCCGGTGGGACATTGTATGCCTGAACATAGTACAGTAAAGCCGATAACAACAATATTGTTTTCATCTTGACGTCCGTCCGCAAGCACGTGTCTTGACGGACTGAGGAAAATCAATGACCAGACCGCGCGTGAGCATCTTCTTGTTACATGGAAATGAGTGGAGACGAATTTAATTATTTTTATAATTTTTAATAACTGCAAAAAGATAGAAAATCGATCACGTTAAAAAATAATTTAAATTTGCTATAAACAATACCTATTAATAATTATACTTTATAATAATGCTTACATTTTACTTTTTTTTTAATTAAAAAATAAAATGTAAGTATTAAGATTAAAATTTAACTAAATGACTAAAATACTAAAGACTTAACTTATTGACTGTACAATTTAACCATAATCTCAAGAGAAAAAAGAAGGTCATAACTTCGAGACCGATTTTGATGTTTAAAAATAATTACAGTTTGAAGCCAGTTATTTTTTGTTACAATATATGTTTGCAGCTTCGGTACATGTGTAATTTTGTTCATACCTAACTGTTAAACATTGTGCTCATGAAGCCGCATGAATAATACTTTTATTGTTATTGAATGTCGACTCATTGGTTTTCTTGTTCTTGAAATTGGCGGTAATGACCCTGGCGGTACTGGTTTAAGTCATAGATCGTATAACTTGTTTTGTATGCTTTGTTTGTATAATGCAAAAATTATAAGCGACTTTTTAAGACAAATGAACAAAAAAGTAAATAAATGTAATGTTGTGGACGTGATACATAATAATATGTTGAAATCGACGAGCTCTTGGCAGTGAACCCTTATTTCTTTGGCAGGTATTGGGGCTTTTCTTGTTATGGTATTTTTATCAGTGACATAATGTAATGATTCGGAAATTCATAATAATTGTTACTCGTGTATATGAACGTAAAATTATCTGCTTACATTGTGAGATTATAAGTATCTGAAATTACCTCTTGTCTTTATATCATTCCATCTGCTGATGCTGAAAGCTGCTTAGATTTTTGCAGATGGCGGCCCTTCAGCTTGGCTTTACATTCCCTGCGTAAGGTATCAGGGAACCTGGGTTGCAACTCCGAGGAAACACTTTTTTATTATTTCGAAGTAGGCAGTCAATATATGCGAATGTTTGTTTTATAGTGCATTTTAACATGTTGGTGCATAGACAGACAGTATTATTATTTGATATTAATAACACGATTTTTATCAAACGTTTTATAATTAAAATAAGGAATTATCTTTTTTTAGTGAAATTTAAGAAAATAGTTTATATTATAAACGATTTATCATAATAAATTTAAGAAGGAAATATAAATATTTCGTTAGAGAGAGATTTATGAAAGGTTGAAATATTAAGACGAATATTATGTTAGGCCGCGATGCTTTATATTTTTTTAGTTATGATTTATTAAGATATATGAGTGTATATTTCATAGATCTATGAAAACTTGTTTTCCTTCAGGGATTTAAAAATTGTGTGAACATTTGGTATCTTATTTTTTTTTAACTATGCTAATTGTTACATAAACAAAGATGATGATTACTTTTTCCGACATTTAAACATTCCTGTATTTTCAAACTTATCATGCTAAATTGCGCATATATAATGGACACAAACCCCTAAAGTGTCCGGCCTTAGTCGGTGCTGACCGAATCATTATCATAATATCGAATCATCTTTTTCATAAGCCAAATGAAATTATCATTTAACCGCCTCACCTCTTTACTATTTCGCAATCTATACAATTTATGGTTATACCTTATACGTTATAACTATATAATTATTTTGTTTATAAAGATTTGTAATGAAGTCACGACTGTATGTGTGTATTATAAACTAGCTGTGTCAGCGACTTCGTCCGCGAAGAATAAGTAGTTAAATTTGGACATCAATTTGTTTTTGCAAACCTCCATTATAGCTGTTATCAACGACGTCGGTTGCGTACCGTCGTTTTTGAAAGTTAATCTTAAAAGATAGACATATAGCGTTGCATTCATTTTTTTTAATCATTAAAAAAAATCTTTGTTATATTTTTTGGGTATTTTTAACAGTTTTCGCAGCATATGCAAGGTAAACACCCACAGAGATGAATTATTTTTCCCGTTTTTTCCAAATTTATGCTGTCTTTTCGCTTCTATTAGCAGTAACGCGATTTTTTGTAGCCTTCCGCGATAAACGCTCTAACCAACAGAAAAGAATTTTCAATTCGTCCCAGTTGTTCCTGAGATTATCGCGTTAAAACAAAGATACTCTTCAGGTTAGTACAGAATATTAACCCCCTCAAAGTATACATTTTCTTAGAGCAATGCAAGTATAGTACAGGGGCTTTCATCTGTAGCTCAAAGCTGTATGTCCATACTCTGTATGGTTTCTTAGTTACATTGTAATTTGAAAACTTTATTATTTCTTCAATTTATTTTCGATTTTTAAATTACATTGTACTTGACATTTGTAATTGAAACGTGGAGCTTTAGTAAAGACACCAATAAATTAGTTTATTATATCATAGACGAAATATCCTAATAATACTAATTTTAACCAGTTAAAAAACGTTATTTATTTAATATTGTTGTACAATGCTGAAAGTACAGAATAGTTTCGTTTTCCTCACTGTAACAAAGGCCCATTGGGACCAAATGTTGACACAAATTAGTGGGCATTTAAAATCCGTCTAAACTCCAGATGCAACAAGTGCGCGGGTGAGCGGGGGGCGCCTTCAGTCGCTTTCATACTTCCAACGCTTACAGCGCTAAGTTTTTCCGAGCCTTATTAAGCGTCGAATTTCATCTCTCTATTAAAAATAATATGTAATAACTGCAACAAAAAAAAATATTTAAGGAGAAAGAATAAAAAAAAATACAAATAGGTACTGTATTATTTGATCAATATAAAAGTTTTTACGTAAAATTTTGTATTTATAACCCAGATTATAAAAAGAAGTATTTGTTATTTATTACAAATAATGAATTACTTATATATAATTTTTACTTCTTCCGTTGTTGTAGTTTTCTATACATAGAAAAGGTGATATTATATAATATAAGCGATAATGTTTATTATTATAAATATTACTTGTAGCATGTACGACTGTTAGTTTTCTAAATTATTGTAGCACTGTTAAATAAAACAGGACTTTATAAATTAAGCTTCGATCAGAAACGGAACGTTTTGAAATTTTCAATTGAAAGCCCACTCGTTGCATTGCACGTTCTCCATCGAGCGCTTTTCCACGTCGAGAGTCGGCCAGCCCGCTTCAGTTTCAGCTTCAGTAACGTCGCGACCATGGCTACGGACGGACGTACAAAACGGTCACAATCCATCTGCGCGCCCGCTTCCGCGAGCATGGAAGCGCTGGCTGCGCCGATAGAAACCACGCCGGCCCCTCGCAGACGACCGGCAGCCAGGTCCCAATCCGCCAGGATCACAGGCGGTCGCTCCGTGAGGCACAGGAGGCAGCAGCAGCAACAGCAACTAGACCGAGACACGAGGGCTAGGTACAGCTCGGAACCGCGCCTGGCTGAAGCGGAAACACCGCCGCAAGTTCGTAGGCAGGCGTCCGCGAGGCGTAGGCCACCGGCCGGTCAGCATAGCCAGCCGAGGCGGTCCAACGCCTTCTTAGACGTGCCCAAAGCCCACCAGCCAGAAGAGGAGCCCGACGAGGACTCGTACAGGCTACGCACGTTCAACGTCACACAAAAAGGAGGTCAGTGCCACGTTCATTCACCCTGCTCTATATTTAAATGGACTTTTTCGAACTGACTTGGCAAACGTTTCGAGCTGACTCCATTAAGGATTATTCGCGATTTGATTATAACACGGGCGATGGGAGGCGAAACCTCGTTCGTTATCCAGTGGAACACGCCAAACGGCTAAACAGCGTTTACGATGTCGTTAATCATGATACAAGAACGTACGCTTACTTTTGAGGTAAAAATAAATGAGTTAGGAAAACGCGTACGTACGTAGCTCTTGCTCGGTAGCGGGCGTAAGAATTATAAATACGCGATAACCTAAATATTATTTCCAAAAACTAAACACGCGGCTCTTACAGTGATCATAAAGTTCGCGACGTAAATATTATATTTTTACACTTGTTTGAAAATCTTACGTGCTAGAGAGCTGATTTACAATCAGTCCATTGATCAAAGGCGAGAACTTGTAGAACATATTTCTACATGTGAAAAATTATATATTTAACGCCTTACAAACTAACATATGTCTGTGACTCTTTTATAGGTAGGAAATGTTAAAAAACGAGCTTCGATCCAGTTGAAGCTCGAATTTTTTATTGAAAATTGAACTACGGCCTCATGATAGGGTTGTCATGGTCACTAAATACCCTATAAAAGAAAAAAACTAACATCCGACTATTCGAGTGGCTTTCAGCAAGTCACGAATTGTGTTTCAACTGGATCAGAATGTTGTTCAAATGTGTTATACCCCTACTACAATGTCACGAATAGTTATAGGAAAATCACTGAGCCGTCTTGATGTATTTTCATCTGTGGTCGACGTAGGGGTCAGTTGGTTAAGGTTCTGGAAAATGCCAACAATTTTGTATATTTATCCGCCATTTTATAATAAAAATAAATTTAGATCCTAAAAAAAGAAAGGGTTATTTTTGTATAAGATCACCGATATGTATGTTTATATATAATTATTCTATTTATACAATCAATGAGAATAGCCAAAATCAAAATAGGTCAATAGCACATCTTCTTTATTTTGCCATATGCTTGTCTTTGTCATTAAAAATAAAAATTTTAACGGTTTGAAACGGAAATATAATAGTTTATTTATTAGTAATTTAATTTAACTATGTCGTGACGTTTCGGATGCTTTGCAGTACCTGTAGTCACGGGGGGGACTAATATACGATGCGTTTCGAACCGTTAAAAGTGTTTTAGTCAAATTCGTAATACTAGCGTAAACTACAGACACTACAAAATCGATAGTAATTAACTTGCAACACAAGATGCGAAATAAGTGGAACAATACCTTAAGCGAGAGAAGTTCTGGATTCGAATCACAGCAAAAACATTTCATATGTCTTTACTACACACTACTACTGTTATCAGCGAATCGGCCATAGAAATGTATCTGCCAAATGCCGTGTGGAAAACAGGATTTCTTGAACGTATTAATGCTCAAAGCAAAATTGTTTGATAGCTAAGTTTTAATAAGTAATTCCTATATTAACGCTTAAAGGTAACTAACTCTTCATAGTCAAAGTAAGTATTAAAGTCAGTAAAAAAGGTCTAACGTTTTCACCATTCTCTCGTTTTAAATGGATTGCTAACAATATTTCATCTTTTATGATGTCTAGACGGCAGTTGAGTGAAGAAAAATTTCTATAAAATGAAACTTTCTATTCATAGTTGGTTTTGTATGACAACCGCTCACATTTCCTGCATGCGATGCGATATTGAAGTTACGCTCTATATTATTGTAGGGCTTTGCATAACATTTAACGTTTTATTATTACATTACCTTTGCAAAAGTAATAAATACACTGATTCTATATTCCGGACGAATCTTAACATTTAATTGTTACAAGGATTACGAAAATATGCTCAAGGCTCCTGAACACAAGCTGAGTCTGATGCCCTTTAGCACAAAGCTAAAAATGTTACTTCTTTTCTGATTATTTATTTGTTTTTGTTGTTTACATAATACATCGTTTAGTTTAAACACTTTAACGGTTTAAAACACCATATATATTAACATATCATTGATTTTCGGGCTGTTCGGCCGACGCGACGTGCGCGAGAGGTTCTCAACGTTCCGCCATCACGTGCGGACGGCATCATCAGGAGATGCTAACTCTATTGCTCGAAGAATTATTAATTTTTCGAGCAATCGAGGAGGAGTTTGGTTTCAACACAATTTACGATATACATATATTAGTTAAACTTATTTGAAAATAATCTTAATTACACCCCGACGTTTCGGATGCAGTGCAGCAGCCGTGGTCGCGTGTATATATCGCTTTTTAAACCGTTAAAATGTGTACTACTCGTGTAAACTACAGACAGTATAATATATCTTAAATACTGTCTATAGTTTACGCAAAACATCCGAAATGTCGGGCCGAAGTTAAAAATCATTATCAAATAAGTTTAACTAATATATCGCGTTTTAAACCGTTAAAGTGTTTTATTTAAATAATATATCTTGTTAAAAGATAGTAAAAAAATGTGACGGCCGGTTTTTGTTTAATCCATTAAGTTTGACCCATAAACACGAAGAATGAGCAAATTGCGCCCTGTCCGACCAAAACGTATATGAGGAACCCAGGGATATGAATTTAGGAACTCTGGCTAGGCAACAAAAAAAATGTTTTATCATGGAACCGCGAAGGCTTTGTGCTAAATAATGCATATCAAGGCAAACAACATCCTTGCGAAAAATGTATAAAAACCCTGAGCCTAATTTTATGAAGTTTGGAAAATATCTATCCGCACAAAAAGGTCCTTCGTCACGTAATATCGTGGTACACGAAATTTTACGTTCTTCTGTAAACTCTTTACCTTCAACCTTCAGTGCTTTTGCTCGTTTATAATAAAAGTTATATTTATAAGGCCGATTTTCTTTTAAGTACTAACACTTAGCAAAATATATAAGTATATATATATATATATATATATATATATATATATATGCTAGCGACTTCGTCCGCAAGTATCGTTATTTTGGACATCCAAATTCGTTTTTGCAAACCCCATCTTAAGTTTTTATAAACTTAAGATGTCACCTACGGCAAGTTAATATTTTTTTGGTATCTTTAACCGTTTTTGGAGCGTACTCGGAAACCCATAATGATAAATAATTTTTCCAATTTTTTCACATTTCCCGCTGTGTCTTCGCTTGCTTATATTAGTCACGGGGCAATATTTTATAGCCTATAAGCCTTTCTCGATAAATGCTCTAACCAACACAAAAATATTTTTTCAATTCGAACCCGTAGTTCTTGAGATTAGCGCGTTCAAACAAACGAACAAACTCTTCAGCCTTATAATATTAAGTACTAGCTGATCCGGCAAACGTTGCTTTGCCATATAAATAATTTCATATATTGTATTGTAGCCTATATGACATGTTTGTCGGTTTACCATAGCAGTGCCATCTATCGATTACTTACTCAATCTATTGTAACTGTCAATTATTTATTGACAAATAATTTGCAATAAAATAAAATTGCGACTTTAAAGATTTGAACTATCCTATGTCTCAAGTAGGATCAGGCTGCTCACGGTGTGCCAATTTAATTTAAAATCGGTTCAGTAGTTTAGGAGTCCATAGCGGACAAACATCGTGACAGATTTATATAATATAAGTAGTTGATTAGCGAATACCTTTAATGAACGAAAATTAGAAGAGACAAATATCAAACAATACAGCTATTTGTAATGTATAGGTATTAAGATGAGTGAACTGCCATTGTGCTCTTTTGGGGACTGGGCCAGGAAAATAGGGTATTTTGTGTGATAAACAGTTACCGTTTAACAGTTCATTTATTTACAGAGAAATGTTTCGGGGTTTCGAACCTAAAGCTTTGAGGTCTAAATTGCTAGGAACTCTTTTTATCACTGAGACGCAGAAAACATCATACAGATTAAAAACCTACAATAAACCTGCGATATTAAGTAAAACACGAGCAAATGCGATCTAATGCTAAAACAACTTTTATAGCGCGGGTTCACGCATGATAAGCTTTACGACGTAAGATAGTAAAAAGACTATAAATAATGGAACCTCTTATATTATTTTAGGGTTTGTTCCTAACCCTTGTATTATGTACTTGTCAATTTAGATAAGGCTTATTACGTTTTTCATCTTGCCAAATTTACTGGCACGATCACTTGAACAACATAATAAAGATTCTCCTTTGTGGGGCATGCCCCATGGGGTAGATATATTTTCGGGTGTGTTAGATGAATTTATCAGAGATATAAATCACATACATTTTTAAATAGTTTACTAATAAGTCTCGTTTTAAGCCGTTAAACGTGTTATTTAAATGTGTACTACTCGCGTAAACTACAGGCAATATTTAGATAAGAAGTTGGATTTCTGTGCCCTTCTATATCTAAACGAATTATTGTGTTTCTAAGAACTAGAACCCACATCCTTCGCGCTTAAAGAAATGCTAGGATTGAAGCAAGGAGGGGAGAGGAGGAGTTAACATAATGAAACGTTAGTAAATATTAACGTTCGAAGCATAATTTAATATTATACCATTCAGTTTCTAATCTGTAGTAGGTACAGATAAGATATGGATTTATTTGGTTAGCTCAGCTTATACAACACAGCTTTACCTAAATGAATAAATGATTTTGACTTTTGACTATTTTGGACTAAATACTGTCTATAGTTTACGCGAGTAGTACCACGGCTGCTGCAAAGCATCCAAAACGTCGGGCCGAAGTTAAAAATCATTTTCAAATAAGTTTAACTAATATATCGCGTTTTAAACCGTTAAAGTGTTTTATTGAAATGTTTCCTAGGTCATTAATACTGAATATTGTAAATTCATAATTCCAATGCGATTTTCAGTTACACAAGTATCGTACATTTATAAAACATGTGGATACGTTTAATATAAAATGTGTCACGTACGTAAAATGTTTGGCCAAATCCGAACAAGCCGATTATGGAAAGCCGTTGTTTACATCCGCTAGCATTTTATGATCTCATTTCGTGTAATAGTTGTGTGTTACCTATTTTTATTAACATATTAAGATATATAATACTGTTTA